GACCGTGAAATGAATTTACAATACCCAAATAGTCTGACCAAATTTCGCGTTTCCTAGAGATGTCTGGTTCGTTTAATCAGAAGTACAAAGTTCCTTGACAGGCAATGTGTCCGGCGCTCTCCAAAGGTGTCTGGAGGAATGCTTAAAACTAATTACGAAAGTAACGCTTGTCTGTTATTGGAAACCGATTTGCGGTGGTTGCTGTGGAAATTAGGCCTCCTCCGGCGCGCACTAAAATCGGGGCTCTGGCCTGTTTGCGCTGGCGCGCTTCGCGCGCGAGAGCTCCGCTATCATTTAGCGATCGGGAAAGCGCGTAACCTCCTTCACTAAAAGATAACAGAGCTAACTTGTCTAGTGAAATACGGTAAAATGAAGCTTTCCGGGAAGTTAAAATTTTGGGAATATGCGAAAAAACTTTAAGTCAAATCTCGTACTCGTAGTCGTCGAATCTAAAGATCTCTAAAAATAAACGAAAGCAAGGTAGAATAATGGGACAGAGATCGAGGGAATCTTACAACGTTGGCTGGGATATGTCACTTTCACTTAAGTTATTTTTAGATGTTGTAATCAAGAAAAACTTATTCCTGAGATGTCCGCGTATTTTATATCATTTGTTTGAAACGTCATTAAGTCCACACGCGACCGGAGAGGGTAAAAGCCGGAATGAGTTTGCAGAATGACATGTGGCATATCTTGCGGAATGTTATAATTATGTGGAATTTAATATATGGAAAATGGCGCAAAGAAATATATTAACTAGGAAAGCATGCGCCCGTCTCTGCCGCGCCTTTTTGTGGCGCCAATTTGAGGGAGCAGCCGCTTTACCGGTCCGTTTATCACTGCTATTAAAACAAGGCTAAAATTGAAACACAGCTGATACACCAATACTTGATACGTCATCGATAACTCGTTTCCACCGAAGCGCTACTGCCTCCGAAGCAAACAGTGCAAAATATTGTGCTAGCGACTGTTGAATTCTCTCTAGAAAACTGTAAATAAAAGTTTGTGGACCGCCTCTGGAAACAAAATTCTTTTAAATTTCAATTCACATTGAAATTTACCCTTCCAAAGGGCGTTGATTGGGCGTTTCCTTCTTGTCCCATTATTCTCTCTTGATGAAAGTTATTCGTTTCAAAAAGATTGGTGGTAGAGTTATCCTCCTATTTCTGTCCCCCCATAATAGTTACGTAGCCTATGGTGGCCGTTGCCGAGAGACTTGAGTCATGATTGTCACGTTGTAAAGTAAACAATTGGGTATACCGGCTTGTAAAAATATTCACTTCCTCATAAGCTCATTATCACAAGAAAGGTTTTGCACTTGGCCTTTTTCAGTTGAAAGTTCCGTACGTGTGCATTTTGCCACCCTCAATTTGTTGTGTTGAACTGTCAAAATCAAGTTACATACGTGGATATTGGACGTCTATTTTGATCTTGTAGCCTAACTCAGAACCACAGTAAATCTTCTTTGATCCACAACTTTCCTACAGAGCTGGTGCTACCTTTACATACCGGAACTGGGCTACATTGAAAGATTAGGAACTCGTAACACAGTGAGTTATTTGCAATCATAGCCTTATTTGTGATACATAGGTTTGTTTTGTATCGATAGCTTGGTTGATTAAGTTTAAAACTATTCTGCAGACGCGAACAGGCGAAGTGAAAAGACAGCTTCTGGAACGAAGTCAAGTGAAACGAAGCTAAACAACCTGACAAAAAACCCTCCAACCTGAACACGACGTGGCTCTATCGGATAAAAAAGTGGCTTTTAAGTTCTCAAAAATAATTCACCTCAATAGTAAGATAAACCAAGGGGTTCCATTCATCTCCTTTTGGATGAATATACATGTATACTGTTCAGAACAAAATCGCTCTGGAGCTCTCTAGGAAAACGGTTAGTATCTGCTTCGTAGGTTAAGTAAACTATCACTCTATCACATACGTTCAGATGAAACTGCTCAACCGATGTACTCAAGGTACATTTAGCGAATTTATGATTCAGCCAAGAAATGACCATTTTAATGGTCATACTTAAAATATAAACAATTATGCTCATTGATCAACTTGGTAACCATGGTAACAACTTACAGGTTACATATCAAAAAGGCTATACTCACGCGATGACCACTATAGTTAAAACCTCAACTTCGGTTCCTCTCAAGAGAGTGAGAACCGTTCTTGTGCCTATAATGATTTCGCACGTAACTATCCTTTCTGATTAGCTGACCCTTGGTTTCCGGTAATTTGGATCCAGCCTCCCAGTCACAACGCATGCTATCGTAGACTCGTAGCCAGACACTATATAAATTTAATAAGGGCGAATAAATGCAAGTGACAAATGGGGAAGAGGCTGTCTTACCATGCCATGCAGTATTTTTATATCGTATGTGCTTCACACGGCATTTTTTATTTCAGGGAAAAAAACAACAGTACAGCTCCCAGAATGAAGACGTTGAGGAATAAACACTTGTTGGGTCCACTGCCTGTTTGCATGTCCAATGCATGACATTTGGCTTCCGCTGGAGTGAGAGAGAACACTCTGAGCTTACCAGCTTTGCACAGGCTAGGAGAGATGGTCACTCATGTTAAGTGTAGTACACGTTTCTTAGAAACTGCCCACCTAGCCCTCCCCCTCCCCCTCCCCCTCCCCCCAAGCCAACATTAGCACTTACTTCTCCCTTAGGGCAAAATGTTGGCTTAGGGGAGGGGTAGGTTATAACAGTGTCGCCCAATGTAAGATAATCCAAGACAGTCTTGGATTGTTGATGCCACGCTGTGGATTCTGGATTGCAGGTACGGGATTCCGGAATTCTCGTCAGTGGAATTCCAATCGTTAGCGGTATTCCGGATTCGGCTTTACCTGAATTAAAGATTCCAAAGCCCAGGATTCCGGATTCCACAAGACAAAATTTTCCAGAGTTCCGAAATTTGGATTACCTTACATGCGGCGAAACTGTGTGTCGACATAAAGGAGAATATCTCTGTAATTTACATTTAATGGTGGCAAGACGTAAACTAAAAAATAGTTTTGTATAAACTCTTTCACCCTCATACCATGTAACGGCAGAATGTTTTGCCGCCATAGCTTTGTCCACCTTTTAGGTATGTGGACAGAATTCGTTGCTGTTACCATTGAAATGAAATCTTTTTGGCAGAATTTTTGCATTATGTTATTTACCTCTTAGGATTTTATTAAAAGATATTTGGAATTTTTGAAGAAGTTTTCACAAAGGGCACTATAAGTTTTTGTAGATAGAGAGCGGTAGCCCAACGAAACTCAAAAGTCCAATATCAGTTTCGAAACCTTTTCATCTATTTTGTCACTGGCAAAATATTCGTCTGATACGTGTCGCACTTTAACCATTCTGTTAACAAACTCCCGCTTCAATATTTGCCTGGTGGTTTAGCCAAACTCACCCGCTCAAAACCTAGCGTACAATGGCTTTAACGCCGACCATTGCAGTATGTGTCAATCAAAAACTTCTTATTGTTACATTATATACGACTGCAGAAATATTTCGCATTCATTTAGTTTTGTGCCTGAGGAAATTATCCTCATGATGACACGGCTCCTTTTTTTACTGTGGATTTTGTGTAGCATGTTGATTGCATTCTCTAGTTGCAGAAATTTGTGTTCAAGGATTTTCTTTCAAAACATCAATGAAGAAACCATGCCTTACAAAATCATTGAAGGTGTATACACCAAGGAGAATAACAACCACAACAACTTCCCGGTGTATCGTCATGAAAACGGCAATCTACTGTTTTACTATTACATTTCCAAGAAAGGCTTCAAATTTTTGTTTTTTGGACTTAATCTGGAAGACTTTGACGTCGCTGCTGAAGTTTACAGCGCCGTTGATCCTGTGTCTTGGTTGAACCACGGGAGTTTGGATAGAAGTGATGTCTTTGGAGGATTGATAAAGAAGTGGTGGTTCTACAACACGCGCAATAAAACCCATTTTTACTACGTTACAGTTAATAATTGGTCACCCATGATTAAAGCTGTGTGCGTGGATGAAGATTTCAGAGAATGTAACTCAGACAGACTTTACTTGAATGTTAACTTCACCGATAGATGGGGGAATGTTTTAAACGATCACAATCGAGATTATTTTTTTCGCAAGCAAGGTGTCTTCCGTAACCTTCGTCCTTTGTATGAGCACAGTAGACAAACGTGGTACCTTCAATACGTTGCAGACGGCTTCTGGGTGGTAACAGAAAGGTACTCACCAAGCAGTTCAAATGATCACGTTTTAATGAAGACAAAAGATTTTGCCCTGCGACCAGAGTACATCAGCAAGACTTGGTCGGTCCATTACAATGGATGGCGTTATATGCCTAAACTTAGAGTCTTGTGTAGAGGAGTAAATTCCATGTCGAATACTTGTCTATCAAAGCCATGTGATAGCAAAGCTACATGCATCTACACTTCCGGTAACGAAACACTTTGTCTCTGTCCTTTCGGTTACACCGGCATGACATGCTCTAGCAACAAGCAGTGCCCCACTCCCTACCCCTTAGCAGGAACCGAACTGAATTTTGCATACTTTGGAAAAAGGCCTGGTGATCTCGGCTTTTCCTTCTGCAGTGGATCGTATCCTTCTGTAAGGTTTGCCTTGTGTGTGGAAAGCAAATACAGTGTTAATCCTTACTGGAGCAGACAAGGCAGCGCCTGCCGTATAGGGAATACTGGAAGCACTTCTTCTCCACGGACGCCTTGGAATACACAAACCACCGAGAGGTCCTGGACGCCATGGAATCCACGAACCCCCTGGAAACCCCCAACGCCTCGAGCTCGTCGTGTTAACTTTGATGACAACCCTAAAATCACCCCCGTGGTCCTTACTTCTGCCGTCATTTTGGAATTGCTCCTGCCATTTATCATCTACCTCTGCGCTATGTCCAAGAAAAAAAGGAAAGAAGAGAGAGAAGAACAAGAAGATCAGAAGAGGGTTCAGGAAGTTGGGGAGGAAGTAGAAAGGAGACTGCAGCAAGTTGCTAGGGCCGGATGCCGATTGGAACTCGACAGAGGTGTTCAGGATTATCAACAAACCGTCCAGGAATATCAACGTGAGAACCGAAACAAAGAACTGAGCCGCAAAAGAGGCTTGTTCAGAAATGCGAGATTATGGCGAATCATTTCCATCCACCTCTTTTTTTCGTTTTACCTATGGATCTTGTATCTTGTGGGTTGTGAAATTTCCCAGTGTACTCAATACGGACATGTTTTCGTCTCCTTGAAAAACTTTGGAATTGTTATGCTGTGCATCTCGTCTGTGTACATTTTCATAGAAAGCATCTTCTCCCACGAGCTGGATTACTTAAGAAACATCATGCAGGACGAGACCGCTTGGGGCTACATACAGAAAATGCATCAAGTCGCACCCAGAATTAGTATGATTGTGGAGTGCTATCACTTCGAGATGCGCAAACGTGACGTGTACTACACGGACGCGAATGGAAACCGGCAGTCCCGCACAGAAACTTATACCGAGAGGGTTGTGACATCCGAGGACCACAATGAATTCTCGTTTGGGTCGTGGGTTGATGTTTCTAAAAGAAAAGTGCCAGCACTGAGTACAGTGTCTCTCACTCGAGTAAGAATCGATCCTTATGTCTTATTCGGTGATCAGGAGACAGCAGATGATTACGAGAGACAAGCAACAGCCATGATAGAAAGGAATCGTGGCCGAGATACCTTTACGGATTTCTCAGCAAGTAGAGAAATTCCTGGGCTGAAGAAGAGGATCTCTGCTTATGTGGATTTGAGGGTGAAGCCTTGGTGGATTCGACCTCTGTTCTTTTGGCTGGCCACGCTGTTGCAGATGACTTGGCCTTATCGCTGGCTGTTCAGAGCTAAGACCAGTAAGAGTTTCTACGCTCTAAAGAAGATGATTTATAAGAGCACCACGCCCCCACGAGAAGTAAACCTTATGGATCAAATAGCAATGCTGGTGGGTGATCTAACTTGCAATGACTCCAGCGTCCTGGAAAATAACCAAATTTCTTATGAGATGGTGGAGATCCACAATCCCGGCATAGGTAAACTTGCCTACCAAAATGACTTCGCACCTTATCCACCAAGCAATCCAGCTATGGGGCCTTCCTGCCCACCCGCACCAGAACCAAGTGCACCCCCTGAAACATACGTCACAGGGACCCCATACCCTCTGCTGAATGCACCGAATGCTTCTGCATCTCCTGTGTATATTCCATATCCCGCCGGGGGACCAACGTATCCTTCCCAGCCATTGCAAGGACCTGCCTACCCTCCTTATTTTGTGAGACCACAGCCAGACGCACCACCGCTGGTACCACATGAAGGTGCTGTGGGTTACACTCCTCAAGCACAGTGACCAGATATGTCACGCTACAATCTGAGAGAATGTTTAGAAACTGAACACAGTAGTGATGGCAAGTAAGCTTTAGACTATTATATTTGTCATAACCTGGAACCAGGAGCCGATAATTCCTGCCTGGAACAGATTAGGAGTAGCGAAACAAATGTTGAATCTTAAATGTCAAATATTCTCAAAGCTCACACTTGTTTAATTAGGTCGTTACCAAAACCTTTGAGAGGTGAAGTTTGTCACGATGGTAGTCCACATTGCGCTCCACGTTGATAGCTTCTTATTTACGTCCGCTTAGACCTTTTGGACAAAGTCTTACCCGCTTTGTGCATTTATCGATTTTTCAAATATTTAGTAATACAGTCAGCTCTCTCTCAACGGACACCTCTGTAAGGCGGAAACCTCTCTAAGGTGGACACCAGGTGTTGGTCCCTGCCGTTTTTCAGTCATTTTACTGTAACTATACTCTCTATAAGACGGACACCTCTCTAAGACGGACTACTGGTGTTGGTCATTTTACTACAACTATAACTCTCTATAAGACGGACACTTCTCTAAGATGGACTACGGACACTATGAAACCGTCAACGGACATTTGAAAAGTGCTTTAAGCAGTGAAAAATACCCCAGAACCGAAATGTAAGCGCTCTACATGACAGTTGCCTGCGTGCAGACGTCTCCTATTTCCTTTGTTGCACGCGGAACCTTTTCCGCGTGCAACAAAGGAAATAGGAGACGTCTGCACGCAGGCAACATGACAGTAAATTGAAAACTTTTTAATATCCCTAGTTCGCAGAGTGTATATTGTTGCGCTTTTAGACCACGAAGCCGTGAACGTTTGCTTGTAATGAAAGTTTGATTAATATCGTACGCGGAAAGAAAATGATTCCACTTTTCTGTTACAATGTTCCAGTTTTAGCTGTTTTGCGTAAGTTAAAGAGACGTGTGCTCATTGCGAATGGGTTGAGCTTTTACTGGTGTCACGTTACCTCGACTCTCGACAGTCAGAGCCAGTCTTGAAGTTGTCCGACTTAGAGAGTTGACTTTAGTTTTCATACTAACTCTCTTTGCTGGCCGCGTGACTGTTGGGAAAAGAGAAGTGGAGCGGGGAGAAAAACGCGAAAGCGAAAAGGGAGGGGGAGCCATTTCCCTCTCTCCCGCCGTCTTCCTTGATCTCCCACCCCTTTCGAAGCAATAGTTTTTATACTAAAACACAACTTTGTAGTCGCGTGACAGGAGAAAAAAAGGGAAGGGGGAGGGGGGGGGGTGGTTGCGGGAAAAAGCGTGAGAGGGAAAAGGGAGAGGGAGCCCTTCCCCTTTCTCCCTAATCTCCCTGCCTTGATTCGCCCGCCGCCCTTCCCGCCCCCTTCCCACTCCATTTCCTGTGCCTGCCGCGCAGCCTTACTCTTTCGTATGGGCTCCTGTCTTTCGTAAGTTTCACAACTGACAATTTTTGAAAGTGTAATGCTATGTTCCTTAGGAACCCAACCGTAAGCTCGTTCGAACAATGTATCTACGTTCTTTGTTGTTTCTGAACGTTATTCATAGCTAATAGTTCCTGTAATGCATTCAGGTGAGACGTGTTCCTGTAGCTGGTGTAGTAACCAAGTGTGTTGGAGACGTATTTTCAACGCTAGCTTACACGGCACCGGACGAAAATTTCGACCGGTTCGTAAATTCGTGGGTTTAGGTGTTCTGTTCGCACGCGTACGAAACCACCTTCATTGAACGAAAATTTAGACGCCTAGTCGTTAAAAGAGCACAAATACTGAACGGTCTCTTGTGAACGAAGTGTCCCGTTCGGTGCCGTGAGAACTATAAAAGCAAGTAAACTTGAAAAGACCGACAGGTTGCATTAACGTTAAATCTAGGTCATGTTTAGAGTTACGGAAATTATATGGTTTAGTTCCCATTAAAGCAAATTTAAAGATTTCACGCTGATTCAGAGAGTTTGGAGTATTAGCTCTCCGTCCGTAGTCACGGTTGGTTGATTCCTTTGTTTCAATGGTGCAACGAGCCTTGCTCTCGCTAGAAGCTTGATCGCTCTGAGTTGGATGATTTGCTTGCTCAAAATACCCAGTTACGCGTCAAAGTTCCGTGTTCGATCCCTCGCGCGTTCAACATGCAAATTGATCTTCTGTTCCGCGTTTTTGCTTCTCATCACAAGTTTTACTTCCGCGTTTTGCCTCTCATCACAGGTTTCAGTTCCTCTTTTTGCCCCTCATCACAAGTTTTAGTTCCGCGTTTTTCCTTATAGGAATCCTGAAACTTCTTCTTTCCATAACTCGCGTAAACGTTAACGTTCCGTTCCACCACAAAACCCTTTCTCTCTCGGGCAGGATCTTTATTGGCGGCACAAACAACGCCACCACCAAGAACATCAGTAGACTGCACGTGTTTCACGTGCACGTGCCATCTATCCGTGCAACAGCGACTGACCAGTAACAGTTTCATTCCCTGCCTTACTGCTGCTGATCACGAGCCCTCTTTCTCTCTTGAAAGCGTAGTCTGGCAGCAGTGATGGTGTCCTCTGTGTTTCTTTTGGAGATTTTCGGAGTTTTTTCGGTTGATCCTGGTGGGATAAAGAGATAACGTTTTGAAATGAATAAAATGGAATACAGTCAGAAAGCTGACTATTATCTTCTCTTTAGAGACCATCGAGCACACTTGCGAAAATAAAAAACGCAAGGGATTTATTGGCCGCTAGCCAGGGTCGAGGCGGCGGGGGGGGGCGTTGACCGGAGCCCTGGAGCCCTAAAATGTTTGCTGCAGAGCCCGGAGCCCCATCGTTCGGTGCTTGGGGCCCTAACATTATTCATTTGCGGAGCCTGGAACCCTCGAAACGTTTGCCGCGGAGCCCGGAGTCCTTTCATACTAGCATTCGAACATTCTAGCACACCTGAGATGGCGGTTCTTTCCTGGTTGATCGATTTTGGATAAAGTACTAATAAAAAAAATGGAGCCTGGAGCCCTTCATTACATTGTTGGGAGCCCTGGAGCCCTGTAAACTTTGGCCCAGAGCCTTGGAACATTTTTGGAACCTTGGCTAGCTCAATCGGGTGGGGGAGGGTAAATGGTAATTTCCGACAACAAAGGAAAAGGTCTGGAGTACAGACAAGGAATTCAACGGGCGGTTATTGAAATTACTTCTCTGTTACAACGAGATGATCCGTCCCCAATCCCATTGTCTGGCAAGGATTGATCCATTCACAGTTTAAGACACACGCACATGAGTTCTTCCTTGACAAAGAATTAGGGCTTTACCCATTCTAGCAAATTTTGTGGGCGGTATTATTAACAGCTCAATACCATTTATTATTGTACTCTACAAAGGGCAAAAAAAGGCGAGAAACCTGCTTGACGAGCGGTGTTTAGTTTACTCTCATCTGCTTCTTGTTCCCTGGTTGTAAGTTTTCCCTCTGCCCAGCCTGACAATGAATAGCTATCTACTTCATGTAACCTTGGAAGAAGGTCTCTCACCCACTCGTATCGTATCTGAAAGAGAATGGAAAAGAGAGAAAAGGAATCAATTTAGTACATGACACAGTAAGTGGCTTCATTCAACAGCACGAATTCAGTAAATCACTCGATCATTCAACTGAAAAACTATTGCAAAGCCAGTTACAACGACATTTGTATTCTAACTAATAGGTGAGCTATCCTTCCCATTAGTGAGCCAGTGTGTTAGTAAGTCAGAAGTCCAGTTTCGAATTCGTCGCTGCCGCTGCAGTTATTGTTAATCAACCAATCATCCAGTCCAACAGGCAGACCAGTAAACGCTTTTTCAGTCAACAAAACCTTTAGCAGGTCAGACGGTTAGTTAATAGGCGATAGCTAGGTAGACCTGTTCGTCTGTCAGACGGTCAGTCAACTTGCCAGTCAGTCAGATGACGGTTGGTCAGACGGCAGTTAGCCGTTAGCCTACGTGGCAGTCGTCAAATGGGGAAGGGGAGAGGGTAAAAAGGTCCCGCATTTCTCCCACCCTCGCCTCCCCACGAAAGGCTAGTTAGCTAACCAATCCTTCGGAAGTTCTATCTCTTAACTAACTCTGCCGGAAGCCACTGACAATTATCGACAAACGGACAAACAGTCAGACATATGAACATTAATTCTTCAGTCGAGGCAATTTCTTTGTAGTTCTTTAAACCAAGCGAAAAATAGCTTACTCACCGGACATACTGTTCTGACATAAATTTTCGAGGTCCATATGATATCATGAAATATTATCCACTCAAGCTGATCTTCACAACCAAACAACTATAAAAAAGCAGAGACGTAACATCTAATGAACTTGTTATACAGGTAACGATATCTAATTAAGCTTTTTCGCGTATTGGTTTTGTTCGCCTCAATCTCCTTGCGGGTTCAAAGCCGCCAGCTGCGTAGGCTAATCGAGCAAAATATGCTAAATCCAAAGAAAGATGAAAATAAACTTTATCTTCATTCAACAGGTCCTCACCGTGGATGATGGGTGAATGTATACTTGAGTACCATGTCCATCCATGGTGCGAAAGCTATTTCCAGCGCTGCTTCTAGGAATGAAAGAAAACATCTACAGTTATAAACAAGTGGTTTCGGATCCTGTGCTTTCATATTATGTACTGCCTCAGTAGACGATGACGCGATATGCTGCCAAACAGCAGGAATTCAGAATGTTTCCTTTAAAAATCTGGTTATTCTTGAGACACATATCTGGCCCTCATTTATTGAAAGGGTAGCCATGGAAGCCGAATGGTTGGTCCTGCCACGAAAACCGAATGGTTAGTCTGCGTGGCAGGCGTTCGAAAAGGGAAGGGGAAGGGAATTCGCGCGTGCGCGAGGGAGAAGAGAGGAGGTTCCTCTCCCTCGCCCTAGCGCAACCTTCGCGCTTCTCACGCGCCCCAAATCCCCTTTTTTTTTCCTTTAGAATGCCTGCTATGCAGGCCTCCGAATGGTCATGGTTTGCAGTTATGTGGCTGTAAAGTGACATATTTCTGGTCGCCGCTTGAACTTTGAACAAATTCCCTCAATTAATTCTATAAGGAAATGTATGGATACCAGTTTGGAAAATTTGTACGTAGATATTGGGGCATAAAGGTTCAAGTTAAAATGGGTCGCAATATACATGTGCAAGAAAAAAAATGATGTTATAATCTTAGAAAAAAAGAAACATTCTCACTTTCGCGCAACATTGCAAAAGTAACCATTACACAGGGCCCTTCTTAGCATCTGTTTGGAATTTTGTCCGGTGTTGTCTGTAGCATGCTTACGAAGGGAATACTTTACAATCTGTTGACAGAGGAAACATATACAGTGTAGTGACAAGGTTGAAATGATCACCCATCACACAGGTTACTAAGAAAGCATCTCTAACCAGAGGTAAGGTTGATATTCTACTGCTGGGTCAAAGAAAACGTAAATGTAGTTTTTGGTAGTTAAATACTGAACTTGTTTAGCTTGAAACACAGGTCTATGAAGCTTTCAAGGAGTTTTGCAGCAAGTGTTTTGGGATCCACTCGTCGAATTAGAACCTGGAAGGGTTGGGAATGGTAAAACCAGGGGGCGTGGGAGGACTGGACTACCCTGAGAAAAAACTCTCCCTCACTGGAAGAGAGCACACGAAATCCGCTCAACCACATATGACCGCATACGGTGCTGAATCGAGCAAAAAGCCACAATGGTAGAAGGCTAGTACATGTAAGGGCATATAAAAAGTTCGCGGCCATGTAGGGATAGTTCCGCTTTTTGTTAGTTAATTTGTGTTTTCATGTAGAGCGAGTCACATTGAATTAATTTGCACTGAATCCATAGTTACGTTAATTTGCCAGGAAACTCCATTGACATACTCTTTTCGAAATCAGTTGCTTGGATAGTCAAGATCGAAATGTTTGCTTTCGCTGTGTTGAGGCCCGCGCTCCCCCCCCCCCCCCCCTATCCTAAATCCCCGCTCCAGCCCCGCGGGGGGACCAGTCGTCTTTGCCGGGTTACATTTTGCCTTCTTACCCCCCCCTCACTCTCCCCCCCCACACCGCGACCCAGACACCACTAGTACACAGTCATACAATTTTCTGGACACAGTGCTTGGTACAGTAATTCCGCACAGTTTGCTTGTGTCGGGTGTGGGCCCCCCCCCCCCCCCCCCCCCCCTTATTTTTTCCCCCACCTGGGGCCCAAAGGGCAACAAAAAAGTTTTTGGGGTTTTGGGGTCTCCCCCCCCCCCCCCCCCCCCGCCTTATCTCAAAGTCTGGATCCGGCACTGCTGGGTGATAGGTCTAATTGGCCAGGTGTAATTTTGTTTTTTCATTCTCGCTAGTTTACCCCCTAAACGCCTTGGAGGGAGTTACAGAATGTACCAAGATAAACCTGCCTGTTTCTGTAAAATCATCTCCAGCTGATGGTGAATGTTATAGGCCATTTTCAGCGCTCTCCAGTGAATAAAATGTTCACGGCACCATCGTGGAGGGGATGAACTAAAAGACAGAAAGATAATGTATTCACTGAACCTCCGCGACGGTGAAATGTGGTATGTTCAGAAACGCTCAAAAGCAAGTTTCTCCCCTCTCGCGAGTCGCGTTGCGCGCAACGCGATTCCTGTAGCGCAGGACGCGGTTCTCGTAGTAAGTGCGCGACGCCCTAAAAACTGTTAGTATCATGGCTAAAATTCTTGCGACGATTTTAAGAACAACCTCGTCCCCAGGGCTTTTCCCTTTTCCCGCCCCACCCATTTTTTAAGGGAAAAGCCCTGGGAACGAAGTTGTTTTAAGAATACATTGTGCATGTAAAGCTTTACCGTGACTAGCACGCAAACAAATTAATTTTTAACCACTTCCAACTGTAGACTGCTGAGTATCTCTAAATTCGCATTGTGAAGAATCGACATGTCGGCATTTTACGCATCTTATGTCAGAAAAATGCTTTCAAAAGCGCTTTTTTAACACTGCACAACCTTCAAAACTACCGTTTTTAAAAAACCTTGTAAGTGCCCACAGGTTTTGTTAAACGCTTCAAGCTGAAACGAATAGTTCTTTAACCTGTGTCTTAAAAACCCTCACCCACCACGCCTCCTCAAGACCACGGAGAGTATATTTGCACTCCACAACATCGTCCCCAGGGGTTTTTGCTTGTATATCGGATAACCAACCTTGAATGACATTGTCTGTAGATGTATAGAAGCGTTGCAAAGTCGTTCGTTCCACCTGCTTCCTCGGCAAGTTCTTTATGAACCTTTGTTGCCGAAGACAAATTCTTTTTCCCGCCTGGATTTACGAAGACATTTTCGACTGACAGCATAGCGGCCACAGCAAGTACAAGATCCTCGCAACCAAGACTGACCGAGTGGATAACAGTTCTGGACAGGCCTGGAGAGAGAGGGAATTCTGTCATTTGGCGACCGAGGGAGGTAACATTTCCACCTCTGTAAAAAGAAAAACAAAACAAAATAAAGCACAACAGGAGATTATCAATCCTTTAACTCTTATGAAGACAAGCAATGCAGCTTTAAATTTTTTGAAGTCAGTGGACAAAATCTTTTAATTATCTTTTATAAAATAACTAAGATAACATGTCTGTGGATGTCTTCTTCCTTTATCTACTTTCATTACCTGTCCAAGGCACCAAAAAAGTAAAGTTGCTTCAATGCTTCCAAAATCATCCTCTCTTCTGGTGGGTCTATGTACTGAAAACTAGAAAATATTCAATATCAGAAACAAGTCAATACAAGAAGTGTAATAATATACAATAGACCTTTTTACCGATACGGCGGCCATATTGAATTAATTCGATTTAAGGAGTATTATAGGATGCCCAGGGGGCATGAGCACATTTCGATAGTATTTTCGAGCACTTTTCAGGACATTTTTTCTCAAAGTTTTTGTAGAATAAGATTCTAATGCGAAAAAAGATCCTTGTGCTGTGTTTGGATGTAATAATGATTGCCTTTTTCCTGAGAAATATACAGTGAAGACCATAATATTTCTAATACTAAACTAGAAAAAGGCGATCATTATTACATCCAAACACGGTACAAGGATCTTTTTTCTCATTACAATATTATTCTAAGAAAACTTTAAGAAAAAATGTCCCGAAAAGCGCTCGAAAATAACACCGGAATGTGCTCATGCCCTCTGGGCATCCTATAATACTCCTTAAATCGAATTAATTCACTATGGCTGCCGTATCGGTAAAAAGTTCTATTGCATATAAATTATTTGTTTGGACTAAAGTTAAAAAGAAAATTCCATGATGATGTCCTAGTTTTCAAAGCAAGTCTGTAGAAAAGATATAAATCATGATTTGTTGTAGTGTGTGGGTTTTCTTTCTTCATCAACATTAGTGTAAGTCTGGGTGAAGCTTAAAAAGGTCCCTACCCCCTTGTCCCTTCCCAACAGCTTTGCAATATAGTCTGGCCTTTCTGCTGCTGTTTCCAAGTGTACCCATTTCTAGAAATTCTAAACCTTACAAAGATTTCTGCCACTTTTTCTAGACCAGTTTTCCTCTCACATACCCGGAATCATGTTAATTTAACCAACTGAATGATTTCCTATTTACATTGCTAGACGTCAGTTCATATTTACATAAAGAATGACACATGCTAGCTTTAATAGTCCTTACCCTAACACATCATGTATTCCCATGGATTTAAGGTACAGGATCACATGACCCAGACTTGTCCGCTGTATTTCTGGGATTGTCTCTTCTGTCATAGCTGTATCATACACCTCTCTAAAATAGCAACAAAACAAAAAAAATAATCTAGCCCCTTGAGAATGTTTACCTACAAGACCTAGTACAGGGGTTTAACTTACAGATCTGTTCTTTAAAAAAACCATCCCACTTAACACAGAAAGAATGGAGAAGACAAATTCTTACTTCGAGAAAAGACGAAAGCATTTTCCAGGAGCGGTTCTACCAGCCCTTCCTGTTCTTTGAATAGCTTCAGACCTGAAATGTACAAACAAGGTACGTACATGCATGTTAAATTATAACAGTCTGTATTCTTTTATTTCCCCAGCTTGCATTTACTAAAAGGACATTATTTTGTGCAATGTAAAGTAACATTATAATAAAACACCGGTAAGCTGGTTACAACATTAATTTTTATGGCTTACAGTTACAACTTCATTTCTTAGTGCTAAAAAATTTTATAATTATACTATATATTGAATGATTAATATTAAATATGAATTAATTTTGTGAGCTTCAACAGTGACAGAAAATTCTTAAATCACCTTGATATCAAGACAACATTCAGAGAGTCAAGCCTTGTGCGTGGGTTGTAAGACAACTGCTTTACAAAACCACTGTCCACAACATACCTACAAAATACAAAGAGAATTGGTGGCTCTGGATGATATTACACTTTTCAAATCAACAGTGCATTCTGCCAGTAAATAGTGAATTAATGCAACCACAGTGTCTGAGATGTCAGGTAGAATAGCATAAAGAGGTAGTTTTTAGCCTATTATTAATAGTTTATCTAGTGTAATGGCTTTGCAAGCACAGTTCACATTTGGGTTCATTTTTCTTTGGTCAAATAATAATTTAAAATTTTCAATTGAACCCATGAAGGTTGACTTTGCACAGTGGTAGAAGGGGAAAAGGAATGAGCTAGCCATTCACCTGATGCCTTCAATAGTAAGTGAAGTGGCTGCGATGTTGGTTGCCACAACAACTTTCCGCACAGCTGGGCTGGGAGGATCAAACACTCTTTTCTGCAGTTCTAAAACAAGAGAGCACTATAAAGTAAATTAAGTATGGATTATGTCTATTCTAGAGAAAAAGGAGAAGATAAAACACAAAATTTATGCTACTAGTTGTCAATGAGCAAAAAAAAACCTTTTCACATTATCTTCATATAGAAAATTGACCCTTCATAAATTCACATTAATGTCAACAACATTTGTATTGAACAGTTTTAGCCAAAATTCTAGAGTGTGTATGTGTCTGTGCACAAAAAAATCTAAAGTAAAAAATACATATAAATGAAAGTGCAATTACACATACATTATTACAAGAGGCTGCCCTCCAATCCTATTACATAAATAATAATTATCCTACAAGTACCTTCAGAGTACATGTTTATTTCATCCTGTACATTAGCGAATGTCATTACTTTGCACATGCACAGCATAAAATATTGATCAACTTCTCTGAAAACAAAGCTATGTTTAATATATTACACAAACCTGTTGTCATGGATCCATAGAGGGGTAAAATAAGCATAGCCTCTACTTCATTATAATAGACATCATGGCTGTAGTCCACATCCTCTGCAGCCTCAAACAACCTGTCACATGCATGCTCAATTTCCTCCTGACCAGTTAAAAAAACTAAAACATCTCCAGGTGGTTCTTCAAGATGAATTCTCATCACTGTTTCTATCGCCTAAATATCAGACACACCAAATAGTAAACAGCTTAGCCATGCACTTCACTATCACTAGTCAATACTGTTACATTAATTCCCAATGAATTTTGTGAGAAAAATAATATTATGAACATAATCTTGCAACTGAAAGGATTCATGGTACTGAATACTGGGTAGAGACCATTAGAAAGCTGTATAATAATTTATTACAAATATTATGGGACAGGTGCATCACTGTATCTCAACTTTGTCCTATGACTGGTCTCTCCATCTATCAACATTTTGGATTATCCCCTCATAGACAATTCTTTGGTCAAAACTAGACTATGTTTTAAGGCAATTTGTCTTCAATAACAGTTGTAGGTAGTCTGCAGATAATAAATAAATATTAACAACCAGATTATTATGAAAAAGGAAAAAACCCAGAGAGTGACATTAGATAATATCTGTGGTTAGTTTACCATTAAAGTCAACATAAAATTTTTATGTATTTTCCATTCCCTACATTATAAAGAGCCACAAACTTACACGCTTCAGATAATTAGGTGTCTGTAAGTCTTTAACACCAACATAGTTTAGGAAGACACTTTCTACAGGAAAACAACGTCCAGGAATTTCAAAGACAGGACAACCACCAAGGAATTCAGAAAACTTTTCATGATTTAAGGTGGCAGACATAATCACAATCTTTGGTAGGTGATTAACAGGTTTATATGCATCATCTGATCGTTCTCTTCGATTGTGAAACAGCTTCCTTACTAAACCAAAAAGTATATCCTGAAATAAAGCATACAGAAGATACCATTTTTTTCAGTTCAGTGGAAATAATAATATTGGACATTTAAAAGAATGAAAACCAGGTTTAGGGCTAAACAGGCAGAATTCACTGAAGCGTCTCAAAGGAATTGGTTTATCTTTTAAGTAAACATAAAGCAATATCTAGTAGTTGAAGATATTGTGGTTGTGTCTTGATTGCTTCAGTTTAGATTAAAATAGCCAGGGACCAGTCTCCTTGGTGGGGCAAAAGAGAAACAAGTGGCAAGCGGAGTGAACTGAGCGAGGGACTGGGGAGAGTGAAAGGCAAGGGGAGCTCAAGGGGAGCTCTTCCCTCATTACAGTAAATTTTTTCTCTTGCATGCTGTCTTGTCATGATTGTTAACCCCTTTACCCCAAAACAGGGAACCTATTCACTGGCTAAGTAATTCAGAGTCACTGATGCCAGCTCTCTTGGATTGTTCTACTAGAGTCTCCCTGACATATGTTTGTACTAGTAATATAAATCTCACTATATTTGTCTGTGCCTGTGATGATATTAATTTTTGTTTATAGAATAGATCCAATTTCCTGCAAATTTTCAGAGAGGTGAAAGGAGGTGGGCAGTTTAAAGATGGGAGACTTAAGTGAAGGAAAATTAATAATCCGTAGACTAGAGATCACAAGGACATGAACTCACAGTGTCCAAACTTCTTTCATGAGCTTCATCTAAGATAATTAAACTGTATTTGCTAAGCACAGGATCATCAAGAAATTCTCGCAACAGGCAGCCATCAGTCATGTACTTGATAAGAGTTTTGTCACTGGTGCAGTCATCAAACCGCACTTGATAACCAACAGTTTCTGAAAACAACAGAAAATTTTAATGTGTGAGAAAAACAGCAACAATGAAATGGTTATAACAATTAGTTTAGACCTGTGCACTTGTTTTTATTGTCTATAAATGTATATGTTACAGGTAAAATTAAATTCAGGTTTAAAATTTTTAACGTTTGTTTATTCTGGATTTCCTTTGTCTCCTAGTCTTAATTATGAATTAGGGCTAGGAGACAAGCAAATTGAGAGACAACCTAGGTTAAAAATTTTAGGCCTGAATTTAATTTTGAGCCGTAACATTTACATGTACATGTAAAACACCACGTTGTACAAACATGTACTAGTTGTGATGTAGGTGCACGTAGGGTGGATTACACTAGCTACCTTTCAGAAAGGCACTCACCTCCTAACTGACATTCCGTTTCTTCTGCCACGCGTGTCGCAACTGAAATCGCAGCAATACGTCTTGGTTGTGTAACACCAATCATTTGTCCCCGAGAAGTATACCCAGCTTGGTGAAGATATTGCGGAAGTTGAGTAGTTTTTCCGCTTCCAGTCTCACCCACAACAACCAGGAAATCATTATCGTTCACTGCTTTTACTAATTTTCTTTTATAATCCCTAATCGGTAGCTCAAACTTGCCGGTTTTCGAACACTTTGACTTCTTCTTGTCCGCCATTTTGTTAACAAGGGGTAAATGCGCTATGTACTATTAAACAATCTGTCCAATTTCCTTTACAGGACAGATTGCGCAGCATACACAAGCAAAAGACCGTTTATGTTGATCCCACTGTAAAGCGCCGGCCCGCATTGAAAATGGCGGCGGTCTTGAGTGCATGAATCCACTGAATTTTCTTTAGTTTCCCTTTCTCTATCCTAATGAACAAAGGTGGACCAGGAGCAAGGAGACCTAAACCAGGTCCACGTGGTAAGAGATATACTTGACTGTTTTTAGTTGAGTGCAATCATGGACTATCACTCTGATTCTTTCAGCTGATAAATCAATTGATATCATATTAGAGCTAAACTTCAGAATACCTGGCCACTTACTTTCGTCATGGAAAAACAAGAATGCCTATTTTTACAAGTGACTGGGTATTGTAAAGTTACGTTGCTTCTTCAATGAGTGACTTTCACAGATGCCAACTTCTGGAAATCTAAACTCTGGAGACTTCTCTTGCGCACCCCCCCCCCCCCCCCCCCCCCCCCCCCCCCCCACCAAAACCACGGGCGCGAGGGGCTAACTTACCTTCTTCCCCCCTCTCTCTTTTCTTTAATATTAAAATTCTATCCTTTTATTTATCCTGTCTGGTTTCTTTATCCGTCTATTACGGTGTTTTGTAGTGGTTGGTGTACCGGCCCACTTCTTTCGGCATGGAAAAACAAGAATGCCTATTTTTACAAGTGACTGGGTATTGTAAAATTTCGTTTCTTTTTCAATGAGGGAATTTCCCAGATGCCCACTTCTGGAAATCTAAACCCTGGGGACTTCTCTTGCGCCCCCCCCCCCCCCCCCGTCCCCTGAATGCCAACAATCATAATCCGGGAAAGTTGGCATATATGGACTTTCCCTGACATATTTCTGTACTAGCAATATAAATCTCACTATATTTGTCCATGGCATGGTTTCAAGTTGCCGACTATTATGGCAGTTAGTTGGCAGGGTATTGGACAGCTAGGAACTTCTTTTGGCTCTGTTTCCCTTTTGTTTGCTATGAAAAAACTGGGGTCATTCTCATAGTAGCTGGGTTTCTCAATCAGAGCCAGTGGCCAGCGAAATTCGCCAGCTATTTCATGTGAACTCTACCTACTTTTCTTTGGAAATATTACCCCCTAAAAAGCCAGAATATAATGATGTCCATGTTCTGTTCAAACACTCTAATTTTTGCTCCAAAATGCTGGAAATGCACTCTGAGAAGCCCAGCTTTCAAAATTTTTCGAGGGGTCATGCCCCCAAACAGAACCCCCCTAGTAACTTGCACTTTCAGCGCTCACAAGTCACGCCAGTGGCATGAGTTTTTTCCTTCTCTGCCTACTCAAAAGCTTTTGCCACCTACAGTACTGCTCAAGAGTAAGTTGACACTCGAAGCTCAAAACTCGAGACTTGATTCTTGCCTCCCGAAGCTCGAACGCTTCGAGTTTCGAGATGCGAGGATCGAGTCTCAAGACGCGAGGATCGAGTCTCGAGTTTTGATGATCGAGGATCGAGGATCCAAGAAGCTAGGTTTTCCGAAAGAACGATGTTGTACAGTCACGTAGCCGTTCAGATAGTCGCACAGTCGATCATTGCTTGCGGTGCGGTGTTCTGTAACTGTTTGAATTGTCCGGGTTTGCCAAGCTTTCAATAAGTGTAAATAAATATTTTCATTTTTGCAGATTTATCCTGCATGTACAGTGTATGTAGCCTTTGCTTGCCATGTTCCGAGATTTTCACAGATGAACGGTGCCACTCGGCAATTCATTCTGTAAATTAAGCTTGTCGCGGTTTTATGCAAATCTTGATGAAGAGTTGTTAAATTTGCTTAGTTGTCAAGCTTTAACTTCTTTCTTAAAGGCGGCTAAGGACATGTAGCCTTTCACTCGATAATTTTATTTGAAAACTCGGCGATTCCGTGCCTCGTTGCGCGTTTGGCATATTATGTAAATAATGTTGATAAAGTCATGAGAAACTATGTTTGTTCTAGAAAGCGAAATTTTCACGTGCGCGTTTCAGTCGATACCGTGGCTTGTCACGCTGTCACTGTATGTAAATTTGCAAATCTACACGTAGTCACAATAATTTCACGGAAAACTTTATTTGTAACAAAAAGCAACTTTTTAACTAGCATTTGAGTTATTAAATTTTCCATTAGTCAATTTCACATAATTTATGTATGTCTCCATTCGCCATGTTCATTCGAAAACACGGCTCAGCGACTCCGTGAATTATAAAACTGGCTTTTATGCAAATCTAGCTGATGTCACTGGAAACTTTGTTTGCTGAGGCGAAATTTTAACACACGATCATTTGAGTATTGAAAAAAGGTCCAAACTCGTTTCGTTCAAACGACAGAAAGAGACAAGGAATGCACGAGCCGGGCACGGGCACTTTGCAAAAAATTGGAAAAGTAGTTGTTACATGATTGGAAACCCTGAGAAGCTGGGGAAAATGCCCTGCTCGATCCCAGCCCTTACTGACAACCCTGTGGATGGGTCATGTATAATCTTTGTAAAACAAAACATGCATAAAACAGTACATTTTCCTCTCTTGTGAATTAAATTTGGCTAAAACATCTTTTATTTTATTATTTTTTTTAGGTCACCCACCTCCAGGAGATTTCATTGCCCTTGGTGAGTTTTATGAATATGCTGTACTGAATTCCAGAGCAGGAAGCAAAAAGGTCACAAAAGACATTCGTGAGCGAAAAAAGGAAAAAATTACCTTGGCTGTCTTACCATGAGAAAGCATGATGTCCAAATGCATTTTAGCATCGCTTTACCATTCTGTGTATGTGCCTCTGAAAGGGCATATATTTCTGCAAAAATCTGTCCAATCATTTCCTGTTACTTACATGTATAAATGCTTTCTGAATTTAATAATCCACACGCCATCCCACTTTTCAATCTTCATGTTATTTCTTGGGAGAGATAGAGGCTTTGTCATGGGTCTCTCCTGTTATGACAGGTCGTTACAGCATCCCCTGGATTTAATCAATTTAGCCTGTTTCTTGTTTCTGTAATATAATTATGTAATATAAAAACGAGGGGGGTATCAGCCCTCTACCACACCCCCAACATGGAGAACCAGAGAATCAGGCTTTGTTCGCTCTCTAACTTTCATCCTATTTAGCCTGGGTGACCCTACCAAAGTGCAAGATTCTTGCCAGCATTCCTCTACTTGTAGGGGTTATGAGGCGCACAAACTGTCCCGCCTTCATAGGTTGGCGATTCCATCAAGGCAGTTTAGGTTACTGTCCCTTCTTGGGAATTATACACAACAGGGAGGGAGAATAAAGCTTCCCTGTGAGAATCTGTGCCAATCATGTGCTATAATAAAATTGATAGTCCATCAGATACATATAAAGTCATGCACCTTTATTGTTTTAACATATTATTGTCTTGTGTTTTGTGGTTTTTTTTGTTAACAGGAAGCCGTGGCACCAGGACCTCTGAGAGTGAGCTAAAACCTCTTCAGCCCCTTAAACCTTTACAACCTCTTAAGCCACCTCAGCCTTTACCACAAAAAAAGCTAGGAAGTTCGTCACTTTCGGAGAGGAAGAGAGAGCCATCCAGCCCTCTGACGGCTCTTGGGTCATCAAAGAGGCCCAGGCTCTCGTCTTCTCCTTCATCAGCCCATTCCTTCAGAGGAGGAGATGGTGAAGGTGGGAAAAGATCTGGAACAAGCACACAGTCTTCACTGCATGCACAGGTTGCTCCTATTGAAGGTGTGTTTAGGTTATGGGTAATTATTATATTTCCAAATATACATGTAAGCAATTCATGAAAAGAAATCAATTTTAGAAGATTTAACAGTCAGTTACTCACCAGTCGAGAATACCGTACTTATGAACTGGTGTTAAATAATGAAAAATCAATGTAGATTTTTCCTGCCTTTTGATCTATACGATCTGACACCATTACTTTTAACAGCTTTTCACTATGAACCCATTAAGGCAGTTTTGTACGACCAAGATAAACTTGTACATTTTACCTTTCTGTCAGTTTTAAAAATGACCTCCTGTAGATCCATTACATTTAGGTAAAAAGGAAGCCACCTCAGTTTTCTTAGATTCTACTGGAGATGGTTAACAAGGTATTTGCATTTATGTGCGTCTTCGTCACTTGCTACAACTAATCTTGTTAGTGGTCTTTAAAATTTTCACCCAAATTAATCGTCACAAAATATATGTATTTTGTTGTTGTTGGAATAGAGTACTAAAGTACTGATATCCTGACAAATCCCATAATTTCAGAAATTTCATTTTTATGACGTCACACTTTAGTACTCTATAGACATTCACCATCATCATCATCATCATCATCATCATCATATCATTTTCCCCAAGCAGTAAACAGGGCTGGAAAACACTCCTTTTGGTTACTGAGATAATGATTTCATGATTGCAGTTGCTCCATCTGAATTAGAGGATCAGGTTCTTGATGCAGATGCTAGTGGGAATAAGTTAAGAGTTGACGCTCTCCTCCTTGGAGCTATAAAAAACCTTAAATTGAACAAAGCTAAACCTGATGCTATCCTTTACATGAACTTAATTTACCTGGCAAAGAGCAAACCTGAGTTGTTCTTATCCAGCCGAATAGTTGAGGTGAGTCTATTACAAGCTATGAAAACTTTAAAACCTTTTAAAGGCTGATATCTGAATACATAATCTCTTAACTGCTCTCCATTGATTATTATATGGTATTGATCATGGGAAGAATTTGTTTAACAATCAAAACCTTTTTCACATGTTGATTGTTTCTTTGTTTCTCACAGTGTTTATGTTACAGTGCAGATTGAGCAGTGTTACTGAGAGGAATTAAATGTTGGTCTCTCTGAGTGATTAAAGAGTAAAGCAATAATGCCATTGACAATGGAAACAAAAACATAAAAAAGTAGTAGGGATTATAAATAAGCAGAACAACTACTATGCATGGGCATCACATGTCTTGGTACATGGACTTTATTAATTTTTCTTTGCCATCAATCTGCTAGCATGACATAGAACTTCCTAGTACAAAGTTTTATGAAGGGCATTAGCCTGCGAAAACATCCGTTTCTCCTGGCTCTTCGCCGCTAGGGACATTTCGAGTGGGGGAATGTCTGCGACTCAGCGACAGAAATTCCATACTGATGATGCAAATCAATGTTTACATAATAAATCCGGTAGTCATGGGGTTCCAAATATAAGTTTGTCCAATTTTACACGTCTTCTGGTTGATTTTGGTAAAGTGTTGTGTTCATCTGCCAACGAGCCCCAGCGAAACTCAAATGCTTCTTGTGGAGAAGACTATATTCCACAAATATTGACTGTTTTGTTAGAGATTCTTCGCGTTTACATTTGACCTTTGTGGCCTTTCGTCTCTTTTCTGCCATTCGTAAACAACAGGTAAAACAATGTAAGTACTCCACTGACCCATCAGCGCTTCTGACCGGATTCCGGACAGATTTTACATCGTAAGTATGGAAATTCTGTCACTGAGTCGCAGACGTTCCTCCACGCAAAAAGGCCCCAGCGGCGAAGAGCGAGGAGAAACGGATGTTTTCACAGGCTAGAAGGGCATAAACATGCGCAACAACATGGAAGTTAAGATTATGTCAAGAATCTCAGGAGTGTCAATAAAAAAAAAACCATTTAGGGGAAACTGCATCCACCACTCCTTGCACCATGATGAGGTACCTGTATATTCTGTACATGTATTTTCAGGATGCAAAACTGCGCAGACAGTGATACATAAATGTTAGCCTTTAACATTTTGTTTTGTTGCAGGCACTTACAAGTATACTCAAACGTGAGGGTGGTGGTATAAAGCCAGCAAAAGGAACAAATGCTCTGGTACCAACAATGGCTTGTAACATTCTACTTTATGCCTTCCAAGATGAAGATGATTGGCCAGAGTCATTTGTTAAAGTGTATGTTGAGGATGCCCTGGGTGACCGAGTCTGGGTTGATAATGATCATTGCCGCAGTTTTGTGGAGAACATATGGACAGCCTTTGGAACAAAAACAGTGCCAAGAGTAACGTTGGCACGGCAGCAAAGTGACCCGACCGGCAAACAATCAACATCTGAACAGGCCCAACTTGGTGGAACTCAAGCAGGAGGTTGGCAATGATCAGTTTTATTTACAGTCAGCTCTCTCTTAACGGATACCTAGACAAAAAAACGGACACCTAGAGTTGATGCTGGCCTTTCTTAATTCATCTTAGTTCATCTTAGATGACTCCCAGTAAGACTGGCATGTCTCTACGACAGACACACTGTGCTGATCCCAAAGGTGTCCATCTAAGAGAGAATTGACCGTATTTTTTCTCCTTTTGTAAAAATAATGTTTTTATGATGTTTAATTCTACTGTAAATGCAATTGGGGATAAAAATTAGACAGTCACTTAATAAACACTCACTGTGAGTAGTTTTTATCATATCTTTTTTTATTTGCCCTATACTTGTATGAGCTCACTTACACAAGCATCTAATTGTGTCGTCAGCTCTGGTTTATTTTGTTTTACACTTAATAGTTCCACCTAAGGATGAAGAAGAAGTTGTTGAAGAAATGGAAACATCAACATCACTTGAAGAAGATTCTATACCTGTCATATCCAGGTCAGTAAGCTATGAGATTTACTTTTAATATTATATCTATGCTTATACAGCTTACTGTAGCTGGTCATTAATAAATAACTTACTCTCCACAATAATGAATCTCAAGACTCCGAACTTTAAACTTTAGTTTTGGAGCTCAAGACTCAAAGATTCAATTAATTATTCTTATCTCTCAAAACTTGAAGTGTTTGAGCTTCAAGGCGTGAGAATCAAAAGAATTTAGTGGTACTGTGTATTGAATATTATACCAGAATCAAGTAGAGTAAAATAACACTTAAGATCTCCAGTGAAAAGGCTGTGAATGAAAATTTTGCCTGGGAATCCACATTTCTCCAATATGTGAATTTTTTTGGTGGAGACTCAGTGTCATGTAAAAAAATTCATAGCTTTGTGTTAACTGGTTTGTTAGCAAAAATAGCCTACAGTCTGTCTTCAAAACTAATGCCTCCAGCAACAAAGGAGGTGAGCACCAAGAAAATATTAATGACTTACTGTAAATGACCCTATTTATTGCATAGACTCAATTCTTGCGTGAAATTGGTAGTGGTTTAATAAGTTCATGGTTTCCTTGCGAAGAAATAATTATTTGACAGAATTACTTGTACCGAAAGTATCTAATTATTTGGATTTAGCCATAAAAAAAGGTTTAACCTAGTTATTTCAGAATGTCATTTTTGTAGAATGATGGAATTGCAATGTACATGTATGACACAGTGTACAGAATGTACTACTTTCAAATGGATTCATCTCAAGAAAACCACAGAAAACTAGCTAAAATTCCCTGTTTACATGTATTATTTTTCCTATTGTCAGGAAAATAATAGCACAATGTTGAACTTTCAGGTTCATGTCAGCTTCTGTTGAACACAACATCCAAACATACATCCTTGAACTTGTTCATGACCAGTTAACAAGACGTCAGACCTTAGACAGCATCACACGTAACCTGCTGAAGTTGCTGACAGTCACTTGTGGGTACAGTCAGATCAGGCTATTAGTCTCCCAAAGGCTGGAAATGTGGTTGCAGAACCCAAAGGTATTCATTTTGTTTGTTTGTTTGTTTTTTCACCCTCATGTTGTATGCCAAGTGGTGATTTAACTGAACATAGTATATTTATCAGTAAAAACGTCCTTGCAATGATTTGAGCTGGAAAAAAGACTGATTGACTAGTAACCTTGTGAAAACAATTCTTCACTCATGGTGTTGATCTTGTAGTGTTTCTACATGCTGTAGATTAAGCACCTGTCATGAGGATCACTGGTGGCCCTTGACCATTGTCACCATCATCATTATCATCATGGTTATCATAATCGTCGTCATCTTTGTCTTATTAAATTATGAATTCTCCATAACTTAAACACATGAATTACGGAGTTAATGTAAAATTAATGCACTGTAAATATGTTTTGTTGCAGCTTACCCGGCCAGCGCAAGACTTGCTTATGTCTCTTGCTCTGAACTGTAACAGTCACAGTACCGAGGATGTAGAAGTGATTAGCAATCTAATAAGGATGAGACTTAAAACTAAACCACTTGCTAACCACTATGTGGCTTGCATCAAGTATGTACACTTTCAAGTACTTAATACTTTTTTCAGTGAACCCAAGTTCTGGAATTGAGGTCAACCCGAAGTTCATGCACATATTGTTGTAGCTTCATTTTTGTTATATATGTGATTCAAAAACATTTGAAGAAACAACGTGTTTTGGAGGGCAAAGTATACTATCATATACTTAAATTTATATTCTGATGCATAAAATAATTATTTGACTGTAAAGTAAATATTTGTTTCCTTATGTCACCCTGGAAAAATATCTGTACCGTGCTGAAATAAACGTGTAGCTACTTAACTAATAAAGAAGCCTTGACTGTGTTTTGTTCTGTTGTAAAGCACACAGCAAGTGGCTATAGAGAGCGAAAGAAATGTAGGGGAAACACAAGATGTAGTCGTCAAGTGTTTCTCCCTACTTTGAGTGCTCTAGCCACTTCTAATTCAGAACACCAAAACAAACTAAATCCCCCTCCCCCTTTCTAATTTTCAAAATAAACAATTGGCAGATGGCTTGACAGCTTTAGCTCCATGTTTTACACTCTCATAAAGCACGTTTTTTCAGCCAGTCAGAGTGCACATTATTTTTATCTGAACTTTTTTTTAAAAAGTACCAGATGTTACGTGTGCATTGCCTTACAGATCTCTTACTCATGCTTAATTCCTTGCATACACCTACAGTGTGTACATGTATGTGTGGAACTAGGTGTTTTATGAGTCTGAACTTGTAATTAAAATTAATTTTTGTTATTGTCTTGTGTCTTACTTACCAGGGAGCTGGCTAACCAGCACTCTGAAAATTTAGGAACAGTACTGAAGTATGTAATCTACAATGAACTCTCCAACACTCGCAATCCCAATAACATGACACTGCTGGGGTCTTTATTCCAGAACAACCAGGAAGTGGCAGCCAAGGTTTGTAAGTCGCATTGTAGCTTATCCCTTTAAGCCTCATTAGATGGATTAAGCATTGTATTTACGACAAATAGCAAATGTGAATTTGTACCACGTGACTTTGAGTTTTCCATTTACTTATCATTAACTGTTCATTATAACTACATGAAAATCAGCAGATTCACGCCAATTCTATCCATAACAATTGTGCTAAGCTGTTTTTATCTGCTCATTTCTTATTTCAAAGATTTCTCAACTTGAATCTCACGTTTGCTGTAAAGGTGATGCTTACTGTATCTAGTATCCTCATACAAATTCAAATTTTTACAAGCTTTTAATTTTAAGGGTTTAAACCTTCCACTATGGCCATGCATCATTGATTAAACTTCTTTTATTTGACCATGTAAATATGGTTGAACAAAAATTTGTAAGCTAAATTGGTGGTTAATCTAATAACTTTTTTTCAGCTGCTTGCCATGGTGTTTCAAGACTTGTTGACCAATAAGTAAGTAGACAAACTTTTTCATCATTTTGCTACACAGCTACAATCAGGGACAAAAGTAGTTGACACACTTGTTTAAAACGGGTGCTTTTAGCAAACATTTAATTCATCTATTATTTCATTCTTTTTAAACGCCGTAAATGCCCTCACCCCCCGAATCAATGTTGTCTGAAGTAAAAAAAAGACTTGAGGGTCCAAAATTCAACATTGATTTTTGGGGGGGAAGGGGTTGGGGTAGACAGGGGAATGGGATAAGTATATCCACTATGCAAAAAGGGGCCATTTTACGGAAGTGTGCCAACACTTTTGTCCCTCATTGTAGACACATTCAATTTCAGGTTCCTTTTCAGACAGTTGAAACATGTAATTCATGAGCATAGTGTCCTGTGTTTTAATTTGATCTATCCATTTTTAATTCAAATACTTTCTTCTGTCAAATGCAAAATACCATCAAGTCAGGATTAATTTGTTTTCTTATTAAAGCAATTTGCTTATTATAACTGGTGATTATTTAAGTAAGTACTGGCATATGGTGGAAATAAGTGCAATAACTGGTCAATAGGAGTTTGGTAAATTTTCGCGTCATAATATAAACTTGTAGATACTTGTATGTTACAGGTCAAAATTATATTCAGGTTAACTTTATTTAACCTGGGTCGATTCTCAATTTCCTTTGTTCCTAGCCCTAATTATTCATGAATAAGGGCTAGGAGACAAAGGAGATTGAGAATGAACCTAAGTCAAATCAAAATTAACCTGAAATCAAATTTGACCTGTTACATATACAATAATAAAATCGCCCATCATTACAACGAGGTTTGACTTGTTTTTAGAGATGACTACCTCCGAGCATCACGTGCCCTTCTGAGGGAGATTGTCAGGGCCCTGAGACATGATATGGACTTTGTTGCCTTGTGTCGTGGATTCATGAAGGAAAGAACAGAAAGTCAGTTTAGGGATCTGGAAGCTCCCATAAAGGTAAGCAATGAAAGCTTTGCAGTTACGGAACGTCCACAACTAAAATGGCTTATTTGTTTATAATTTTATTAATAATTATTTATTTATTCTTTAAAAACATTTACCTAAATAAAAGTTGAATTTCCTTAAATATACTGTAGTTACAAACAATACTGTACTCAATTTATTGTGACTACAGGTGTAACAAATAGTAGAATCCATAACCTTCAAGTAATGATCCAGGTAAGATAGGAAGTAATTTTTTCAGTTTTCATTTTCACACAGAGAATATATAAACCTACATGTATTTTTAAAGGGTGTTTTTTATATTAAAAGATTTTGACCAACCATAAGAAGTTCCTAACATAGGATTTCTGTGTTACTTAGACTCAGACAAGATTTTGTTATGAGGAAGGTGGTTAGAAAATAAGGGATCAATGCACATGCTGCTCTGCGAAGAATTTGTAAAATTTGATGTCTAAATGAATCAGAAGACTAGTAGAAACAATAGTAAAGTTAGCACATTTCTGCATTTTGGCGTGTTCATTGTTTTTGTTTCTTTCCTTCTTATCTGGACCATTACTTAACCTGAGTACAACTTTCATATAAGGTTAACATTTTTACCTTTCTCTCCTAATAATCTACAATAATTATTATAATAAATTATTGTTGTAGATTATTATTTGCATTAGCAACTGTTTCAGCTATATGAAATGCACAACTTGTAGGAGTACAAAACAGTGTGCTTCTTGTTATGTGATGATAATTATATTTTTTATCATAATTATGTAAGGGTTATCGGCCTGAAGCGAGGGGTTATGTGATTTACATGCACGAGGGGAATAAATCACATAACCATGAGCTGAAGGCTGATAAATGGCTTATTTTTACATTGGCGAGGATTCCTCAAGGGAGGAATCCTCAAGGGAGGATTCCTCTATTGTTCATCTTTCTTTTGTTTTTTAACCCTCCATACTGACACTGGTGGCATTCACAGCTTTCTTGGCTTTTTAATTATGTTAGTTTTTCAAAGTCGTATTTCAAATTAGTTGTTCGCAGAGAATGCTAGAAACAGCCTAAAGAGCCTAGCAGTGTAGTGCCATTCAGAGCCAGAAGTAGAACCGTTTATTACTCAAACTAAAGCTGCTTCAGTGGCGGTACTGCAAGAGCTTTCGGAAAACAGTTTGAATCTTCATTTGCGGGTGCAGAAAACGAGCAAGCAGTTCACAATTTCAATTTTCGCACCAAGGATCTTTCAACCGACCTGCATGTTTACAGAAAAAGCTTCCGGGCGAGGTATCACTACTGTAACGGACAAGGAAATTCAGTCGAGGAATGAAGGAAGAATACCACAAAACACAAAGAGGTCAACTATATGTCTTCATGGAGTACACGAGTTTGGGATAACTGGTTAAAGAACGGAACACCTCATCATGACAGCGACACTTTCGTGGATTCGTAGAATTTTAAAGACGCTGTTCAATTTCGAACTGTCCTTCTGGCTGTGGAAATCGATGAACCGACAAATAAGAAAATCCGTGAATGTGGCTCAAAAGAAACGCAGCTCAGTTTAATTTTAGTAATCATAGCGTCGTGTTTAATATTTCCAATAAACATTTGTGGATTTTTTCTTTATGAAAAGTTAATTGAAATGCGAGGGGATCATGTATTAATATGCGAGGGGGATAAGTGACTTATCCCCCTTGCATATTAATACATAATCCCCTTGCATTTTAATTAGTTGTTCATTAGCCCCGCTCTTCCCTTCAAACAATCAAAGCCGCACCCAGCTTTTCAGACAGTTGATTCGGGGGTTATGCAATATATTCCCCCCGAAAAGAACAAAGGAATCCGAGCTCATGTAAAAATAAGTTGTAAAATGTATTTGTATGTCTGTTTCAGGAACGCATGCTGATATCCTTAGCTGATCTAATAACAATGGCAACCTTTCTTAGTGTCACACCAGCTATTAAGGATGCATTCAGCTCATCTGCAAGAGGAGAAAAGAGAGGTACAGCTGTACACTGACACTGTGTTTCCTTGCTTGCCATATTTTGTACAGCCAAGGACATATCTACTCCACAGAAAGGCTTTTGGTGTCCTTGTGTGCCCCCTTTTCCACCATGAGAATGTGTTGTCCTATTTTGATAGCCCCCTCTTTATCATTAAAATAAAAATAATAGCAGAAATCAAGGGTACATGTACATGTAGAGATCTTTGTTGTTTTCATTATTTTTCTCTCAGACATGTCAGGGCTGCAGGAATTTCAGAAGTCTGTGTCCACAATCCAGCGAGATGCCGTCTGGTGGCTCCATGTTGTTGTTCCTAAAATGTTCAGCCCCAGTGGAAAAGATTTCCTTCATTGGTGAGATTCTTGTTTGTTGTACTTGCACAGTGCTTAGATATGGCATTAGAAGTATAAATAAAAAATAAATTTGAAAGCGAAAAGTGTCATGGTGTTTGTGTATAGTTTAATGCAGCAGCTGGCAAACTAATACTGAGGTCTTCTCTGACTATTTGTATCTTTGGCCGTCCATTATTGACTTCACACACACTTTAAAGCAGCTTCTTTCTTTTAATTCATTTGATGCTTAAAACACATTTTCTTCCTGCCATATGTGACCATTTAGTACCAATTTCACTGTTTACATGTACTTGATCATGTATGTTTTCAGCATGAATAAGGTACTTTTCCTTGATCCTGTGGAGACTTATGTTGGGAAAGACAACTGGCCACCAGAGAATGATCGAGGGTAAGAAAAAAGAAATTTATATGAACTAAGCAGTTGAGAAAACAAACGACTTGTGCTTTTACATGTACTTGGATTCACTTGAAGTTAATGTTAAGATTATTAATTTTGATCCATACACTCAGACTACATGCAAGAACTACTTCTAGACAAGTCATGTTAATTATTGTGCTGTCTTTGATACTGGTCTGTATTCCTTGTTACAGTATAGATACACTGCAGCGCTGTGCTCTAAGAAAAATTGAAGGGAGCCCAGTGATCTGGAGCCGTTCTCTGAAATCCGGGGTGGCCAGGATATGATTTCTGTAAAGAAATACAGTTGTAAGATTTTCTAGTCGCCCCGCAGAAAAGGTTTACATAGTTAATTTGGAAAGTTTACTCTTCTTCCTTTCAAACTGTTTTATTACTCAACTCTTCTTCGTCCATCAGTTTATTACTGAGTTTAGTCACAGAGGTTCCCCTTCAAGAGGATACCTTAATGAGGACCATCATAATTGGTCTGTCTAACGAGCTGCCCCTAACTGCACCCGAGACCCTTGAAATAGCTGATTCACTGGTCAGAAGAGTAGCAGCTGTAAAAGTACCATCAGCGTGGATGCAAGGTTCACAGTCAGGTCAGCTGATCATGGTTGATGTTATCTATTACATGGAATCCCTACCTGTTGGCTCTGATTTTGAAAGTGTAATTTTGTTCTTGATGTGGATTCTTATAAAATTTGGCAAATATACATGTACTTGTGAAGCTAGTGAAAAGCAGTTTAAAATGTCCTGAAGATATTAAAATGTGTTCGTTTAAATGTCCATCATATTATTTTTCACATTATTAAGAAGAACTAAGGTAATTTTTAACTCCTTTTAAACACCAGGTCATTATTGTGTGCATTTAAGTTTTCAATAGTTGTCAAAATTTTGAGATAAGATGAGGTAAAATAATTTTATTAGTATTTTATTAACATTCATTGATATCTATACTACTTATGCCAAATCAATGTCCTGTATGTCTTGCACAGGGAATCCATTTCTTTCTGTTAGTCGTTTGGAGCTGTTAGATGCTGTCCTTAATCTTTGTGCTTATCACCATCCCAAAGACATTATCCTACCTGCCGGGTATGTAATTACGTAATTGCCTAGAACCTTTTGGTTAATCTTTTTGGTAGAAATAACTGGAGTACTTGGGGGCATATTTGACATAAGGGGGAACTTAAGCAACGACGGGGTGATGCTCGATATACCAAGTAAATATATTAAGTACTATTGTGTTGTTCTACTGTGTGAAGTTTATTGTGCTATTGTGTAAGGGCTATGGATCATTGTTGTGTTCTTTGGTGCGTAACTCAAGACTGTTCACTTGGTATATGGTACACCTGCCTACTGTAATGTGAACGGCAAAAAAGGAATAAGTTTATATAAGCAAACCAACAAATCTGCACATGCAGCATGCTTTTTTGTACATTTTTTTGGCATCACCAACTGACGTTTTTGTAGCCTGCTGTTGAAATGTCCAATATTCATGGGGTAGATACAAAACTCGGACCGGATCGTCTCATTTACATATAGGGAAAACAGTGGGAACTATTGTCTCAGTGGTAAATATGTAAATAAGGTGACTCGGTCCAAGTTTTGTGCCTGCCTGTTATTTATGCTCACTTGTCTTGAATGTTAACTCACTAAGTTATATGTGATTTGGTGTTTACTTGACAGCTATACTGCTCCTAGATTAGCAATTGCTAATTTATACTGGAAAGGCTGGATTTTACTTGCCATTGTTGCATCGCTCAACCCGTCCACTATAGGTAAGAGTTACTAGGTATTCTCACTGCATTTATAATGAGTGTATCTCAGTGACATGCCTGCGTTTTACCAGTCCCAGAGTTCTCGGCAGTTGGGGTTGATTATGATCCTTTGCAGTCTTTTGCAACAAATTTGGGCAGTGTGGTGTGAATTCTCAGAGTTTGACAGGATTGCCTTCAGGAAGTGCTTTTCGTACCTCCCACCTCCCCTGATGGTGGTGATCATATCATCAAGGCTCTCTGCATATCTTTGCCAAGGTAGTCGCAGATTCTTCCCATAACTTTGCTTACCGTGATGTGACAAAGATATGCAGTAAGGATAAATTACTTATAAAAGACACGTGATGTTTTTGGAACAGTGAATAAATCCTGAGGTTAATTGTGACTATCAAATGGAGCGGAAAACAGTTTGGCATCCTACTGATAAACAGTTGCTACAGTTGGCATTTTATTTTGCTGGACCAACAAGGATTTGTCTGTCCCCTTTGAATTCGTATAACCAACTTTAGACTATGCTGTGGCCTATCATAAATTTTGCCCTTGAACGCTAAAGAAAAAATTAATCTTTGTTCTTTTCTTTGATGAGCATACTAAATTTTGCGGGTTCAAGCTTTTGCGGTTCCTATAAAATTTTCTTTAAGCACAGCCTTGATTTGTATAGAATGTCAATCCATTTCATAGCTCATTTTGCAACTACGAGGAAAAAATGCATAGGGAAATGATGAGGCAAAATACGAAAAAAAATGTTATGTTTCGTAGCTATTCAGGGTTGATTTTGTTCTATTGATAATGTATGGTGTTAGGTTGGAAAATTGCTGAAGTAATAATATCAAACATCAGGTAGCATCCAAATACACCAGAAAGTAGAATTATTAAGAAACTAGGAACAGCTTCTTTAAACTTACTTCAAAATGTTTTTATGGGATGAAATTTCTAAGTGCTTTTCTCTCCAGTGCTTTTCTTCTGAAATATTCTTTCAACTGCCTTTTGAAGAAATTCAGGGCAAAGTTCTCAAAATTTTATGATGATTGAAGTGATTTTCAAATCTCTCTTATTTTGGGAACCATATCGAATCACAAAACCATATCACATTGACTTGTATTATTTTCAGGTCACTCTGGATGGGAAAACTTTCCAATGCTTAAGTGTATCATGGAAATGCTGATGACTAAGTAAGTAAATTAACTACTACAGCTCTATAAAATTATCTCTTAGATAATAACCGACACTGCATACAGACTTTGCTATTTATCTCTAGGGATCAAATTTACACTCAGATGCTATTTGTAGGGAAGTACTTCATGTCGAGCCAACATATAGTGTCCCTTATATGTTCCACATTTACCTGCTTCACCTTACTTAGGTGCTTTCCCTTCTGAATTTGCTTTCCTTAGAAGACTAAATGTTACCTGGTCATGAAGTACTTACCATTTCTAGTCATCTCAGATATGGATTTAACTGAATACACTGTATCCCACTTCAGAAACCCAAAGGAAAATGGGTAAAAGCTTTGGGCGCACTGATTTCCGGGATCATTTGAGTGGACAAGTGTTAGGTTATGATTGGTCAATGGTTTTCAAAGCACCCAAATGATCCAAGAAATTGTTGCACAATCAATCAATCTACATACAGAAAAGTAAATTAAAGGTTTGCACCTTTCCAAAAACAAAACAAAAAAACGTCCGGAAGCTTGATTTTTTTTATATACTCACTTATTAAAACAAAATTATTTTTAACACACAAAAATAGTTCTTAAACCAACATGTTCGCCATTTTTTTGTTTCGGCTTATCAATATGGCCGTCAAGACGTCAAGTGAATGAACTAGATAGAGGAAATATTCATGAATCTTGTGTTCTTTTCGCTTTTAGCAATTTTACATTTCCTCCGCCAACTGCTGCCGTAAGCGAGGAAAAAGATGAGATACTTTCTCAAGAACTTCAGGTATAATTCGTTTTAGTAAAATCCAACTAGTGGTCTTTTATTAATGCTGCGTTCTGATTGGGTGAGCTACAATTAGGCTATATGTTATAGCCCACTAGCAGCGAAAGGCGCCGGCTTTGAAAACCAAAACAGTGGTTGCTGAATCACGTTTTGCTAGCTAAAGTTGTTTTGTCTTGATATTTTTGACCAACTAGTTGAATTGGCTATTGACTCAGAGCCCATTCGGGCTCGAGAGGAATAATTGTTAAGTCGTTTACTCTTGCAACAGTAACTGCAGCACTCTTGTGTTCTGCCAGTTTTTTCTTTTGCTCTTAAAATGACAAAGCAGTGGAGATAGCATTCCTGGAATCTTTTAATTTTTTGAGACGGGGTTTTCTGTTTGTTTGTTTTGCAGCTAGCACAAGCCGAAAAGGAGGAAATCCTTTTATTTGAGTCGCACCTGGCTGCAGCTACAACGAAGGTGACAATTACAGAGAGCAACAGCTTGTTATTGAGTCAGTTGATCAGTATGGATCCAGTGTAAGTAATAAAAAAGGATCACGTTTGTATAGCTTGCAGTACAGTGCGGACGTATTTTACTGGCAAGCAAACGATATTTTTTTCCTATTTGAAGTCGCCATCTGTTTATTAAAGGCGAGGGAAAAGGGGAGAAAAACAGGGTTGTCAGTGGAATGGGCATTAGCCTGTTCCAAGCATTAAGATAGTAGAGCACGGTTTTCAGATGGTGGGTAGCGAGTTAAATCGTACGCTGGGAAAGCGAGGGGAGTCTCCCCTAGTTTTCTTTTCCCAGTCAATTTTCGCCTGAGCACTACTATCTGAATGCCTGGAACAGGCTCAATGGGCATAAAGCGAAAAGAACACCCTCTTTCCTGCTCCCATGTGACTCGCGCACCCCAAACAGCGCGTATTGTAATTCAGTGCTACCCTCCGTCCACCAGCTCACATAGATAGCCCCTAAGGAAAAATTGGACTGTTGCAGGCGAAGTTATTATAAAGGCCACTGCATAGAGGAAGTACAAAGTTATCCTGGGTTTCACTTTCTATGGAGTAGTTTCTCAGCCTTCTTAGCTCAATAGAATTCCTTTGAGTCACATCATGCCACAAAAACGATAGATGTTTTGTATGAACTCATGTGGAGAATAATTGTTTTTCTTCCCAACATGGCTGTCAAATAGTTGCATATCTAACGATAAATTGAATTTTTACGTTGTAAAAAAGTCTTAATTCACCCAATCTCTTTACTTTCTTTCTCTGTCACTAGTGGCCCTGGGCGACGCCCATCTCAGACTGTAATTGATCAGTTGAAGGCTACAAACAGGAGTCTCAAACTTGGTCAAAGACTTTGCCGCAGTCGATCACCTGATTTCCTGTTAGAGATTATCCAGAGGCAGGTAAGAAAGTTTTCATGAGATCGCCGTTGGCTAAGTACAATCAGTGTTGTTTTTATTAGGATACCATACCTAAAAAAAAATGTTGTAAAACCTTCAACTGCAACTGCTACGTTACACAGGATAACCAACGTAGCGACCCTCGTACAGGTTACCCAAAGCCTATCAGATTTTCAAGATGGCGAAAATTTGACATTGTTTTTCTTGTTTGCTTTTGTGTCTAGTAATCGTTTCTTCTTTCTAAACTTCTTTAATGCGGATCCATGAAGAGGAAGCCCAATTTCGGTTTTATGAAAGCATCCATATTAAAGCTAAGAGTCTTTATAAACGTTTGGTTTCTTTGGGACCAAATGGACATGATATTTTAAGGAGGTGTAGTGTTGCGAAATGTGGGGAAATTCGACTGTTTGGACACTTGTGTTCCTTCTCTGGTGGTATTCGCGTTACGAAAGTTCCACTTTTTTTAAAACATTTTGCTTATCCTTTCATTGGTACTCTACTTTCAGGGTACATCCCAGAGCATGCCGTGGCTGGCAGAGCTTGTTCAATCTTCAGAGGGCTCGTTGGATGTACTACCCGTGCAGTGTTTGTGTGAATTCTTGCTACTGGAGAAAACCGGCGAAAAAGATAAAGAAGAAGGCTTCTCTAAAACACTGTCAGAGAAGAGAATTGTAAGTAGTATAGGAAGCATGTTTTACTCCTAGTTGCTGTGTTGGAATCTCAGTATAAAGTGAAACCTCATAACTTACTGTCTTGATTTCCGTAATACAATGAGGGGGAGGTCATGGCGTATTGTCTAGATCTCTTCCACAGAATAAGGGGGAATCTCTTCTATTACAGTAAAAATTGACGATGTTATAGCCCTTTATCTTGATCACTATCATGAAACGAAGGGGAATATCATGTGATTGTGAAAAGCCTAAACACAAAACAGTTAATTATTCCCACACCACAGGATAATAGCTAACCAACAATAGCTTTGATTGTCCATGGTTTCAGTTAATTAATTCGTGGCACGGTAGCAGTATGTATTAATTAAGGCAGATGCAAACTAATTCTACTCGCGATTCCATATACTAGTGGGAGTTTCTGGGAGTCCGAGAATGTGTTCAAGTGCTTTTGCAGAAAGATAGGTATCTCGAGATGTCACAAAGCGTGAAAAACCAAAATAAACCATGAAATGATCATTGATTACCAGTTTGAAAACGTCCTAAACAGTCGCAACAAGATGATTCACTGGCAAATATTTCATTTTTGTTTGTAGGGTATTCAGCGTCATGTCCTGGGACGACTAAGGTCTTTGCTGTTTGGTGATAATGCTGATGCAGAGTCTACAGGCGAGGTGCTGGAATATTTTATGAGGAGATTGTCCAGTGTACAAACCGCCGAAAGAGATTCAGCAGTCAACGTAAGAAGCGATCAATTTTTTTAAAAAATTAAGCTAAAGGATTGTTTTTAGAGAAAAGTGCACTTAGCTTATCCAGCCTGTTTACTCTTCCTCTTAAATAGTTAGTAGCAAAAAATTGAATTATAATATACCAGGATTTAAAACCCCAACTGGCAGGAGACAACCAGTTGGCTACCGAGGAATTTGAACTCGGGACGATCGAGAACAATCCGGCAGCAAATGGTCAGAGTAGAACTCGAACCCGGGACCACCGGATGCGGGTCCGACGCGCTGACCACTCGGCCACGCTGTTTCCTTATTGACGCATTTGCCCTTTTCTTCAAGGGCCTGGAACTAGTGTTATCCCAGGATACAATTCAGGTGGATGATCACGTAACGGTCGTTTGTGAGGAGGATCTGGAGGGGAGTGCTATGGTAACCACAGTGGAAGAACTATTTTCCCCATCATTCCCTGCAGACAGCACAGTGAGCAAGAATTACAAGTGGTTACTGCAGAATTTACAGAGTTTACCACATTTTGAAATTGTGCGAGCAACGTGTTGCTTTTCTCTCAGACAGGTGAGCCTTTGATACGGGCAATTCATTATTTCAACGGTTTTTAGCTGTCCATAAAAGCAAGGGTCCCCAAAAGGTTTTTCGGGATCCGGGATTACCCTTATTTAACGATCGGGATTCGGGTTTTCCCTTATTTGATGCTCCGGATTCGGGATTTAAAGCAAACTGAGGGCGAGATGCGGGATTGAAGTGTGCACTGGATGCAGGACGCTGGAAACAACCTTCGGGATAAAGGGATTGAACAAAATTTTGGGTCAGGATCGCGGAATCCTCAAAAGCGTCGTAGCTCTTATTGATATAGGTGCTTCTTTAAAGTTAACCAATTCTCAAACTTTTAAGAGGCATGCGACACCTTTCGGAGCATAGTAAGAGGTCTCTGAGAGGCGCAATCTCTGAAAAAAATTACTAGGATCGCATCTTTTTTTTTGGAGGGGTAGGTTGGTGGGGAAGGAACACATAACACAGCCCTGAGAAACTTCACGTAGAAGGCAAAGCACCAGCTTCTCAGATCTCTTATTTGTCTCGTTACGCTCTGTAAAATATATGATTTATTTTTCTTGTCAATTAATTGTTGGCTACCGATATTTTTGTTGTAGTCCTGCCAAGTGGAGATAATTCCCGAGAGAACACAAGCATATCTTATGTTTCTGGCAGAACACGCCACTGATAACGGTGAAGAGGAGTTTTTGGAAACAGTTATTGTGAGTAGAGTTGATATCTTTTACTTTTTGCGAAGAAGCGCTGAGGTTCTTGTTCTGGGTCCCCAGCGGACTTAACGAATTACCGGAAGTGGGTTTCGGATTTTCTTTCATCTTGATTGGCAAATCGACGATGACATTGATGGTGCGTACTCAAATCCTGGTACACAAGTGGAGGCCCAGAACAAGGGTTTCAGTGCTGTTTCACAGACTGACTTACCAGAGTTAATTTAGTTTAGTTTAGTTAGTTGTGAAAGGCAAAGTTTGCAGGACGTTGGAGCTGTGTTATTTTGCATTATTCGGTTTACATATATTCCGGGCCCCAGTTGTTCCAAAGCTGGATAGCGGTATCCATCAGATAAATCTGTACGTAGTCGATAAGTATTAGAAAAACCAATTGCACTATCCGCTGGATAGAGATTGAACAACTGGGGCCAGGAGATAATTTTTGGTTGCATGCGCATGTGCGATAGGTTTCACATATAGTGATTTTATAGTCATTTTAGGAAAGTGGTTACGTTGCTTTCGCGAGGTGGTCGCACTGAAACTTAGACTGCATAAATTTAAGAGAAAATTCTTTGCTATTACAATTTTTGCAGGACATCGCGCAGTTGATAATCGAACGTCCCACAATCATGAGCCCAGTTTTGGAAGAGGGTATCGCTGGTCAAGAAACTTATCAAGCTCTACTAAGATTGTACACAATAGCTTTACAACAAGCCGTTAATATGCAAGAAGCAAACTTCTCCTGGGTAAGCCTTTGAACCCTTTTCGTAGTAATTTTGCACTCGATCGTATCCCTTTTTAGTGGTAATGAATATAACATTCTGAAAAAAAAAATAGCAAACAGCGGAGAACCTTCGTGATTAAGTCAAACAATGAGAGTGCATGTTGTCTGGAAAAAAGACCTTAAATAATTTCATTGATATCAAAAACAAGGCAAAAGCAAATCATTTTGAAATAAGTTTTAACGTAAAAGTATTACTAAAATACAGTTCTCTGAAGTGACAAATTCCTGCAATTCTGCGGTAAACTGGTAAGTCGCTTACCATTATGGTTTCGACAACCCCACTGGATATTTCTGTCAAATGGTAAGCATCCCAGATGAGCCATTTCACTTTTTTCAGTGTTATCAGACCTCATCTATTTTGTATATAAAGAAAGAGGTCAGCTTTTAACTATTAATCGATAAATGGAGATTTTCTATAAGATTTGTTTGCTCTTTGTTTTCCTTTAATAATTCTTCGTTTACATGTAGCTAAGATTCAATTTAGAAAACGTTAACAAATATCTCCTAGTAATCATAAGAGAGGCCCTATTAGGAAATTATCGGCCACGACGAATTCAGTCTTCAGCTACCTTAATAACTGCATGCAAAAGAATTGTACAATAAAATACGACAAAATCGTGACCGTGGACTGTCTAGAGTGATATGGTGTGAAATGTTAGTTTTGCTTTTCTACAAATACAGCAGCAAGAAATGCCAGATCAGTTGTTTGTCCAGTGGTCCAAGGACACAGAGTATGCCGGGAATGCGGCCTCTATACATGTGTTGGTTATACATGCCATGATTGTTCTTCTCACTTACGGAGAACCAAAAGGTGAGCCAGTCAGGTTTGTTGATTTGTTCTGTTACTTGCATGTAGCTTTGCATCAATAAGTAATCCGAATCAGAAAGAATTGGAAATCCGCTCATTTAAAGACTCAGGCTAAGTTTACACTGTACGGGCCTCATGCAATGTGCTTTTACGATAAGGCAGTTGTAACGCATTGCAGATACCGTATCATGTTTAACAAAACTAACAGTAAGTCGTTGTTGCGGAATAAAAACTTAACTGCATTTTAATGGTATAATTTTGATACATTAAATTCATACCTGGCAACAAGACATAGGGAAGTGATTCATCCGAAAAAGAAAAGATTATTTATGCCTGAAATACGAGGTGATTTCTGTTGTTCTATTCGCCCAAGCCTTGGAGCCAAATACGAATTGTAATTTATCAAAATTGGTCTTCTTCAGATCGCTTCAGATAGACATATTTTGTGTGTGCAACCTCGAGTTTCGACTTTTTAGTGAAGCTTTCAAGATTCGTCTTAACCATGCATGGCTTACTCATGCCTGTAGTTTTTTTTCCTTTTCCTTTTTTTAAATTCATACAGGAGACACTAGTGTATACATGGCTCTACTAAACGCTTGGTGTCCTGAAAATGGACAAGTCAAGGTTTATCTTACTGACACTGGAGAAGAGGCTGTACTGCTGCAGGAATGGCTCAGACTGCGCATGATCAGGTCCCAGGTCCCTAGGATAGTCGATGCAGGTAAGGTTTCGGTAAACTGTGCTTACACAGGATACCCACGCGGCTTAACTGGAAAGCCAGTGCACATAAATGTAAGCGCGCTGTTAGGAATGGTTGCACAATGCTGTGGCAGAAAAATTTTCGTCCAGTAAGAAAGAAATAAAAAGGGATCGTTTTAATAGGATGAACTAAATTGACATTTTGTTTGTCAGGATAGGGCCCTCTAGATGTGAACTCAATTAAACGTTTGAGTTTCTTTTCAGCCTTGAAAGAGTTGATGCCATCTCAGCTGGTGTTGTTTGCCCAGTCGTTTGGAATTCCTGTCAACAGCATGAGGTATGAACTTAGAGATGCTGTTTGTTTGAAGCCGGGGGTTTGAAATCATTTGGGAAACAGAATGATAGAGTTCTAGTGATCATATCTGATCAAGGAAATAGTTCTGCGTTTCAGATTGGCTCAAATCCCCCGTTTAATTCTTCATAACCAAGTAACTGCTAACTTTAGAAGACGTTGGCAATATAAGATAGGTATGCCTATGCACACAGCTGCAAAAATTGCGAAATTTGCAAGAAAAATGATAAAAAATTCGTCAACTCAGTGAAAAGCAATGCAAGTGAAAGATTGGAAGGGCCCTGACTAAAACTGCGATTTTTGCGAAAATTTGCGAAACCTTGGAAAATCCGCAAAAATTAGAAAATTTGTTGAATCAGTGAAAAGCAGGGGAAGAATTGTTTGAGTTAAAATGTCTAAACAATGAAAGCCCAGACCAGAGCCCAAAGCCAACGAGGAAAACTCCCTTTCTGCAGTCGATTGTTGACATTTGTGTACTTCTGCTTTTCAGCAAACTTCTCCAGCAGCTGGACAAAGCTGCTCAGGAGGACCCTGTGGGGATAGAGGAAGCCGTGTTAGACAAAGGTTAGTGAGCTTGTCGCGTAAATTAATGAAAGAGCTTCATTGGATTGCTTTGAGGGATAATATTATACCGGCTGTATCTGTTAAAATTTAAGCCCGAGTGTACTGCCGTTAGGGCCGCGAATTCGCCCTGTATGGGATTTAGTTCGGGTGTCAATAAACCAGCGACTCATTTTCATGCTCAGCATCTCCTCTTTAGTTACAGATTGTGTTTGTTTCTTTTTTCCTTAGCCAAAACAGAGAACGACAACTAAATATCCTTAGTCGGCATTTTACGCACACATTCGTGTGTATTACTGAAGTAATACACACGAAATCTTTTGTTACTTTTGTTTTTGTTATCGAAACCTTTAAGACGAGGACGACTACGAGTACGAGATTTTCTCAGTAGTAAGTAGTGCGCGCGTGAACCAGCGTCATTTTGGCGGGAAAACGTGATAGCCGTCGTCATTTCACTTCGAGTTTTTGCAAGATTGTCGTAGCGGCAGAAATGTTAGAAGTTTTATCATTCTGTGATCGGGAGAGGGCTTAACCTCCTTCAATAAACATAACAGTGCTAACTTATCTGGTGAATCAAAAGTACAATGACGCTTTCCGGTGTGCCATTTTTTTGAGAATACGCGAAAAAACTTTCAGTCAAATCTCGTCCTCGAACAGGCTTTGGCGAAAATGTCGTAGTGGCGGAAACAAGGTATCAGCGGTTAGAAATGTTATTATTTTGTGATCGATAAAGGGCTTAACTTCCTTCAAGAAAAAACGACCTTGCTAACTTTTCTGATGAAAAAAGTACAATGGAGTTTTCCGGGGTGTCGATTTTTTTAGAATACGCGAAAAATGAAAATTCGCCCTAGTCTTCGAATCTAAGTGTCTCTCCAAATTCCAATTCGTTGCGGAGCATGGTAGACGAAGAAGCACTTTGTGGGTTTGCCACCACTGAGGCGTTACTTAGTTTAAGTCTTCCTTGAGTGCATTTATTGTCTTTGTTTAGGTTACATGGTTCAGCTTGTTGAAGTTCAGCAGCTCCGTGGAGCTGTTGGTGGGGACATGTTCTGCTGTTTGCTGACCGAGGAACCACCTTCTAAGAAAGAAAGTAAGTTTTCATTTCTTTGTAATAGTCGTGGGTACGTATTCAGGGGAGAAAAGCAATTTCCCGAAGTGTCTTTTTCGCAACGCATTATCTGTGATGGACGCGTTCACACTCAAGTGTGTTTCCCGCGGTATTCGACTCGTACAGTGCGTCGCTTATGCTGGAAATTTAATGACTAGTCGTCGATTTGTCGTAAGAAACCCGAGACAAACATTGGGGAGCAAGGGTGGCGCAGTGGTGAGGGCACTCGCCTCCCACCAATGTGGCCCGGGTTCGAATCCTGGCGTCGACGCCATATGTGGGTTAAGTTTGTTGTTGGTTTTCTCCCTTGCTCCGAGAGGTTTTTCTCCGGGTACTCCGGTTTTCTCCTCTCCTTTAAAACCAACACTAACAAATTCCAATTCGATCTGGAACGCACGGACACGTTTCAACGAGTTCTTATGAACTCCTTAGTGATCCGTGGGTAAACAAATTACAATTTACAATTTTTTACAATTTTTACAATTTACAACATCTCGACATCTCGGTAGCTGTCAAGGGTGCTTCCTTGGGAAATACTAGCGTAACCGTAGTTATGTCCCACAGTAAATGTTCGCTGGGAAGGTGCAGTCGTCACAAATGCAGTTTTATCAGATCGTTCACTTAGTAAAAGGCCTTGTCCTGCAGGAAAAGGCTCATTCTAAACGCAATAAGTTTCTCCCATTGTAAAGCCTTTTTGCATGTTGTTGGCTATCCCAGAATTTGGACCACGACAATTGAGATTGCGGTCAATTAGCCTGTGAACAACCTCTCCATTTGAGGAAAGGGAGGTAAATATCGGAGGGGATTGGAAGAGGGGGAGTGCGTGGGGCCTTTCCCTTCTCCCTGGGAAGTTGGCGGGGCCTTTCCGCTCTCACTGGTAAGTAGTTGGGGCCTTTCCCCTCTCCCTGGGAAGTGGGTGGGGCCTTTCCCCTCTCCCTGGTAAGTGGGTGAGGCCTTTCCCCTCTCCTTGGGAAGTAGGTGGGGAATTTTCTCCTCTCCTTGGGAAGTGGGTGGGGCCTTTTTCCTCTCCCTGGGAAGTGGGTGGGGCTCTCCCCTCTCCCTGAGAAGTGGGCAGGGCCTTTCCCCTCTCCCTATAACTAGCTAGTCGTTATCCCTTTTTCCCTACCATGGAGTGTGGTCCCAGGCTAGCCGGCAAAACGAGAACGACTTTTGATATACGTCTACAATAGTGAGGAGAGAGCAGAGATCTTCCGGCCTAAGTTGTTACCGAGACAATACAACACAGTCCACCAGCCCACTGTCTGTATGTTCACCTATCGCTAGGGAGGATATGTGGGGAGGAAGACATATGTCTCTTCAAAGATTTGCCAAACCTCCAACTTAGTTTTAATAAGCAAAGGTGATGGGCAAATCAAAGATGGTTCTTCCCATACGATGACGACAGCGAACAACATTATCTTATTATTTAACCCCAATTTAGTTATTATTACACGGGAGGTTTTGACTAATTTGCAATTCGTATTTTCGAGTTTTCCTGCCCATCCTCATAACCAGCGTTGTGTCACAGGTGCAGATTTGGAGTCCCTGGATGGTGGTATAACTCCGCTACCACTCGCTACTGCTGCTCCGTCTCTACCTCCTAAAGACGCGTCAATGAGGTTTGGCATTTCGTATTTATTTATTTATTTATTTATTTTATTTTGTAGTTTGTTTGATTTTTGTTTGTTTGTTTGTGTGATAAAATATTTTGTATCTTTATTGCATTTTCTGCTTGAGGCTCAGTATGAAGAAGTGGTGTAATCCACTGAAGCTTTCATGCATTTCATTTGGTACTGCTGAGGTAGCATGCCAATACAGCTGCTGGGAATTTTTGGCGGGGAGCGATGAGATGCGGCTGTATTTACAGGCTATCGATGAGGGGAATAGACATTTACGATTTATCCCTCATGCTTTTTCCTTTACCGTAAACTGCCGCTTATAACCATCCCGCCCCCACCCAAGTTATAGGTCCATCGGGTTATAAGCTCCCCCTGACAGGTGTCCCCCACCACTGAGCACTGCTATAGCTTGTTTCGAGTGCTTTTCTTATTCCGGTTATAAATCCCCTCGGATTTTAGCCCCTCCGTACATAAGCTCTCCCAACACCCCTTACGAAGATGTATAAGCCTAGGGCTTAAAAGCAGCAGTTTAGTCTACAATATTCTCATTACCCTCATTTTTAATTAAGCTGTGATATTGTATGGAGAAATTACATAGCGGTCACTATTTAGCGCCTAACAGTTAGTCAAGCAAAATCCCTAAAAACATTTGCATGTTGTTTTAGTGTCGATGATACCGAAACCAATCAGCAGATGGCTGCCAAAGTAGTCAAGGTAGGACGAACTTACAGTAACATTCGTTTAATGTGCGGTGATTTTTTCTTTCTCATTTATTTACGGAGCTGAACATTAACCATTCTCTATTTACTGGGACAAAAAAGGCATTCAATGTATTTTTGATGTTAACGACATGTACGACGTATGTCACATTTGGACTTAGTGTGAGTACTCGAGTTCCATGAGTTCGCCCGTAGTTCAAAGGTTAGAGTGCCCAAACGGTGTTGTGGCGATTTTTGGGTTCGATTCCTTTTATACTAGTAGACTCGCTCGTTTTTTTCAAGCGACACTATTTTTCCTTCGTCCCTTCCCATGAGTCCCCGCGCGCTTCAGCCTAACCCCAGTCTTCTTTCACCCCAAATACACATAAACAGCGACTGGGTACGAGTCTCTATGCAACTCTAACGTAATAATTTTCCTCCTCGCGGAGGCTTAAGGCTACAAAGATGCTTCTCTGTTTGTCTTGTAGATTTTCTTGTCTCCTGAGGATGTTATAACTGAAGAACAAAGGATTATTGAAAATCGTGTGCAAAAGGTGAACTCACGTTGAATTGAATCTTAATAACTGGGGCCAATAAAAAGTCGTTTACGATGGTCCGCCTTAACCGCTAACTTCTTACGTTCAGCCCAGTCAAACTTGGCCCCTGTAAGGTTATCCAAGACAGTCTTGGATTCCTGATTCTAACCGTTAGCGAAATTCCGGATTCCAAGGCCCAGGATTCCGGATTCCACAAGCAAAAATCTCCCCGGAATCTAGAGTCTGGATTATATTACATGGGTGACAAACTCTTTATTTTATTACCAGACATAATCGGTTACGGTTGACGTAGGTTTTATGTGACTGGCCACATTAAAATAGCATTTTCGTTAATTGCGAAGACAGTTTTAAGATCACGCAGTGAACATCATCGCGAAGTATTGCTTGGTATCTTTCACTTGATGATCACACTTGGCTATTTTGTGGAACAACTAGTTCAAGTTGAAGATTTAAGAATGTAACCCCCCAGCAGCACGACGTTTATCTAGTAAGTTAGAATATTGTTCGTTGGATTTTGTTTTAGGCTTTGACCAAGGAAGTTATCAGTGCGAACCGTGGGGAGAATCCACAAGACTCGCTGGCGGAAAACATCATGCACAAGTTTGTCGAGGTTGCCGTGAAAGTTTTTATTCACTAAAACTAGTTTGATAAATTTATTTTGTTTACAAACGGTTACGTAAAGCCACAGCATTCGCATGTTCCAGTCATAACAAATGTAAGTAGCTAAAGAACCTATCAGGTTTTGAAGCAGATTTCTGTCGTCTTCGCTAAGCGCGGGAAAGCATGCATTTGGTGCCAAACGCGGGAAACGAACAATGGCGGGTTGAAGCTTGCAAGAGGTGCAAGGTGATGAATCTGATTCGCTAGTTCGTAGTGATTGACGTTTCGCGAGCAACCGTTTCGCGCGGGTGTGGTTTACCGTAAATGGCCTAATAAACGCCCACTTCCAGATATACGCCTCTTATCTAAAAACGCCGCCTGTCTAATAGTCGCCCCCCATGACAATCACTCCAAAATACTTGGAATTAGCAAAAAGGAGCAAAATTATTCAACTCATTCAGTTTCTTGCTTGATTAACAAGGCTTTGCGGATTTCATCTTGTTATGTGTCAAGTTCAAAACGAGGATGGACTAACGATGGCAACACAATAACCCTGAGCGAGGATTCTAACGTCGATGTTGGATTTTAAGAAAGCGATATGGGTCTCTAGACGGCCTAGACGTATCAATCCGCTATTTTTAAACTTTCGTAATATTTTCGCCGAAAGCAGGTTCTGAGTTTTGTTCAGCTTGTTACAGCTATGAGATTGAACGCCTTTCTCTTTTAAACGCCTCCTATCAACTAATCGTCCCCGCTTGGACCCCTACAATTAAATAGACCCTCTGGGCGTTTATTAGGTCCTTCAAGGTATACTGAAACAGATTTTGACCTCTGCTTCTGTAAGTTTTATCGATCAGTCAGTCGAAAAGAGTCGAAAGCAATACAGAAGGGAAGTTTTTCCTTCAAAATAAAAATACTAAATTGGATGCATAATTTCATGCATAATTTCTAAAATCATTTCGTCATCTAACTCTCTTTCCCTGCTCTTTGTAGATCCTAGGTTCAGATCATGGCCAGAAGTTTGTTGATGGATTGTCTAATAAGGCTGCTTTCTCCTGTCCTCTGCTTAGACTTTTCAAGTCAAGACAGGTACCACTCAGTCTGTTGCTGTGCTTTAATCCGTTGATTTCTGATAACCTTTTTCAGCTTTTTAAAGGCCTTGAAGTTCTCTAGAATACATACTCTTTTATTTTTTTTCTCAAAAATTTGAAAACGTTACCAGTCAAAATTGAAACGGAAATAGAGGCAGTCAGCAACGATAGTTGATGGTCTCTCGCGGTCTGAACTCGAGATTTTTTCTAGTATTTTTGAATTTTTCCACGCCTGCGCAGTATTGAAGAGAAGCATCAGCCCAAAGATCAATGGAAAAAGAGATCCTGGCGTAATTTGTTTTCCTCGGTCTCTCGAGTGCAATTTCCCAAGAAACCTTGCCGGATATGGACGTTTTAAAGACCTTCAATGTTATTGCATTTGCATTAGTAAGTACCAAGAAAGGCATGCTGTTGTAAAAAACAAAATCAGTAATAAACGACAGTTAGTTGTATAGATTTGTATATATTTATGAAATATATTACATTTTGACATCGTGTCGTGGTTTTTAAGACAAGGAAAGTTGTTGAAGAATTAATGTTACCCCTCAAAAACAATTATATGTAAAACAGGAAAAAGCGTTTTTGTCTGTCTTAGGCTTGTCATACTTAACAAAGTTGAAAGCAATACGCCAGCTAACTTTAAACTTGTTTTGATTGATTTTTAGACAGCACTGGAAAAGAAAGGCGTGGATTGTAGTTTTGTAAAAACTATCAGTAAGCTTGCCAGTTACAGTCTTAAAGGTATGTCAGTTCCGTGTGTAGTGAAGGGTGTGTTATTTTCAGTTTCCAAGTATCATACTTCCATTGAGTCCTTAACCTTTCATACCGGTAATCTGTTTGTAGGCGGGGCGTTAGGTGTCGCCATTTCACAGTACAAGAAGCAGCTGGGAATCACGGAACAGAAACAACCAGGCAAGAAAATTGTTGCTGTTTAATTTGAATTCACATTTGGATAACGCGTTTCTTTCCACGGTTGTCACTCCTTTATCCACTGGATTAATCTCTGTCCAGTGGACAACGCAGTTGGTTTCCCTAATATTTGTCCGGCAGATAGTGTTTCACCCTATGGATAGCGCTACCCAACGTTTAAACAACCGGGAACAGGGGTGAATTCAATGAAGCATTTACAAGCACAAGCGTTTTTAGCACAAGTGCAGTTATTGGTTTAGAGTTTGGAAACAGTACAGAGCTTAAGATTTGAGGACGAGTACGAGTACGAGATTTAACTTAAAGTTTTTGCACGTGTTCTCGAAAAAAGGACACCCCGAAAAGCTTTATTTTACTTTTTTTTCACTAAAAAAAGTTAGTACGGTTATTTACACTGAAGGAGGTAAAACCCTCCCCCGATAGCAAAATGATAAAACTTCCAACATTTGATAACTTGTTCCCGCCACTATGACATTCTCACTAAAACTCGTAGTAGAATGACGACGGGTATTGTGTTTTCCCGCCAAAATGACGCTAGTTCACGCGTGAGCAATACTCAGTATTGAGAAAATTTTATACTCGTAGTCGTCCACGTCTCAGAATCTAAAGCTCTCTAATAGCTACAACTTTAAGGTGGCTCCCTAGAGTAAATTGGTCGTGCGCAGCCTGAGCACTAGTATGGCGCGAGCTTTAAAATCTGCGCGACGTCCACGCAAAAATAAAACAAACATGGCCTCTCAGTTTCGAAATATTCCACCCCAAAAAACTTTATTAACTTTCTGTTGAAGCTCATTGTGTAAAAAGTTTGGTTAGTGTAACACCGGTTACAAGTCACTATCGATCTCCGTAAGAGTAAATTATATGTGAAAACGAAGCAGAAATTGTCCAAAGACATCAATTCTTTCGCTTCAAAAGTAGACAAACGTAAAATAGTCGAAGTAAATGGTGAATGGAAACTTTGCAAAGAAAACAAGGTGTAGACGTTTTAATGAATTGACCCTAGTATCTACTTTCGTCTTGTAAGATAGCTCCTTGGTCTCCTTAACCCTTAAAAGCCCCTGTATCCACATACGAATTCTCCAGACTGATTTCAATACATTTCCTTAAGGAACTAATTTGAGAGACTTTGACAAAACATCAGAGCATTTTCCTTAGGTGATCATTTCAGTAATTGTGATAACTTTTTGTTTTCTTTGTTATGTATGGATGTTGTCAAGAGAAAGTTGATGTTATTCCCTCTTGGGACTGGAAGTGTTAACATAACGTATAGCTTGTGAGGGAAAAAAGGGAACGATCGCCAAAGATAAATTATATGATTGTCACAACAAGTTCCGCTCATCAGCAGCATAAAGGTTTACAGAGTATGAAGAAAAGGGGGTTTTCACATGTCGTCAAGGCAACCATATTAGGGAGCTTAAGCAACAACGACAGCGACGGCTACAGGGGTTCGCCTTGCTTCAAAATTTATCGCGCATATTCCATCTCGTTCAATTCGTCAATTTTTGGCAAATTTTTCTGGAGTTAAATTCGAAAATACTGTATCGAAGTCCAAGAAAAGAATAAGAAATTCGTTGTCTTGTGTTCACGTCCTCGACTAATGCTGTTTTGACGTTCTCGTTGACGTCGCCGTCATCGTTGCCTTAGCTCCCTATTGCTGTTCAAGAACAATGAAACGGCGGCCATGTTGGCGTCCCAAACGAATCCTGTAGGGGTTCCTTAAACGCTTTCTTTTGTCTCCATGAATTTACATAGATGCTGGCCGCATGGGTGAAAACGCTCTATAAACTTATTAATATTGGTTTACTGTCATACTTGAAGCTTACCAAGATTTTTTCCCCGTCAGATGACACAATCCTCGAACAGCTAGCTTCAGACAACAACACTGGTGACATTGCCCTTGTTAGAAAATTTATTTCCGCCTCAAAAGATCGCGCGGTTAAACCAGAATCTGTTACTGTGGATTCGGCAGTGAAAGGTTTGTTAGAAAGTTCCTTTTCCAGAATTGTTTAATTTGTATTAAAATGGTAAACAAATTTGACTCTAGTCTTCAATAAATGGGTATGAGTATGTAGTGTTCCATCTAAGAGATTTAAATACAGGATGTCGCCTGTTTTCGCGGGTTTAAATTTCCCAGTGTACCTTTAGCTCGATTTTTGTGACGTCATTCGGCTGCCGCCATTACAGAGTTTTAACTTTAAGTTTTCTCGCATAAGAGGTTCTTCAGTACAGCAAATATTCTCCTCCGTCGATTTGTCTTCTTGCTGTTCTTGCCATGTTTTTAGTTAATAGTTCGCCTATTTCTTCCCCGAGAAACGAGTGAAATGTTCCGCCATTTTGTACTCACTACCAAAACAACTAAACCTCGTCCCCAGTTCGTCTCGGTTAAGTGTTTAGTTTTCTGGCAGTTATACTGCACAATTGACGTGAATTTTGACATATCGCAAAATTCTTTGACAGTAGCAGGATACGATGAATTATGCGTGGGATTTTAGCCAATCAGAAACAGAGAAATATTTTGAATGAATAATGATTTGTTTTAACTTTCCTTCGTGAATTATTAAGCAGTTTACATTGTTCATTTCAGCTTGTTTGAAAGTGAGGAAAACAAACTCTCCGCTTTTTGAGGATTTGGTCCAGGCTATTGTGGAAACGCTTATATCTGGGCACAGCAGAACTGACTCGAAGTCCGCGTCTGCATGGACTCCTCAGCAGTCTCTCCCCTTGAAAACATGCTCAGAAATCCTTGTTCAGCTGTTGGAACAGTCCAATGACTCTGATCCATCGCTTGATCACTTGGTCAGTGGTCTGTTAGTAGATTGGTGCGAGATTGTGGACCCGGAAATTGTTCATGTGCATCCTCTTCTGCAGAGAATGCTCTTGTTTCGAGACAGACTGAGCATGCCCAGTTGTGATAGGTCACTGACCAGTCACGAAGAGCGCTCGCCGTCCGCGTCTCTGTTGAGCTTGCTAACACACCGGGCACGCTGGGAAACCTTGCAGGACTGCTTGGACTGGCTTTTGGGTCATAACGGTGACGAAAACAGGTAAAATACGGCGCAACAGCTAAAAGGTCTCAAAGACCTCGCTAGAAGGTCAAACATTTTGGTCCAACTTGATGTTTGTCACACCCAACGTAAGTGAGCCAAAGATGTTTGATCGGTGTAAGCCCACATAACTCTTAAAACGTATTAGTATAGATTAGTATAGGTAATAGCATGATTTGTAGTGATATTTGGCATAAATACCACGAGTGATATTTCGAAATTGTTTTACGTAATAGAACAGCTCGTTAAATTTGAGACAATTTGAAATATCACGAGTGGTTATTATTTGTTTATACTACTATCTGCAAAGGGTTTGTAATTTTCACATGTGGGTATTTCAAATTAAGCTGAAATATCACTGCTCTAAGCCAATCAAATTGCAGTAATTTCTTATGTAGTAGTATAACCACTGAAATTATGGCTTTCTGATTGGTTGGTTTTACCCGCTTGGGCTTACAGTCGAACCTCTCCGCAACGGCCACCTTTGGGACAGAAAAAAGTGGCCGTTGACGGTTGTGGAGAGGTGGCCGTTATGGGGATGTAGGGAGGTAGTATGACACATTTTTCAGGGAGTACAACATGTTTATTGTGCTAACTTCATGCTTGCTGTGTCTCATAATAGTAATCCAATCATATACAATAATTATATACAGATACAATACCCAAAAACTTGACTGTCATCAAAACGGTGGATGAAACAACGAAAGCCAATTATTTAAATGCGATGTCGAGATAGGCAGCTAAACGAAAAAACATGCCCTTCCAACACGATGTTGGACGAAAATGTTTGATCTTTTATCTGGGGCTTAACAATCAAGCATTTGTCCATTACGAAAAATGTTCAATGAAAATGTTTCATTTAAACCCAACATGGGAAACCAGCTAACGGCAAAGTTGAAGAAGGTAGTAAAACAGCCAAGCATGCTCTTCCGCGACGGGGCTGAACAAAGATGAGTGTGTGATTATTTAGCTTTGGTTTGGTTAGGAAAAAAATTATTTATTAACTGGATGAGTGACCTTAAAGGAGGTAGTCTGCTGTCGACGTCTAATTATTTAGTGAACGAATGCTTTATTATCCAGAGCCACCTAAACGGAAACAAGGGATGATGCGTATGTTAACTAAAGGGGTCGTTCAGAATAAGTAAGTACTCTCTCGACTTTCGCTGTTAATTTATTTGTTTCTTTTTCTGTTTTTTTAAGGCTCAACCCAACCGCCGCTTTAGATTTTGTGTGGACGTGTTTCCACAGTCCCCGGCTCTGGCAAGGAAGGGATCAAAAGTCTACTGCTGTGGGCAGCCAAGGAACAAATTCCGTACGTTCATTCATCTTCTTTAATTGCACTTGTATTTGTGGCCGGGCGGTTATATGAAAAAGTTGTTTGGTTACAAATGCAAATTAAGTCTTGCGTTACTTTATTTTGCTTACAAGTTCATAGATAACTTTAAAACCAAAAGAAATGGGTTTTTTTACAGAATGGTTTCAAATACAGAAAAAATTTACAAACCTTTTGAAGAAATGTACCCGCAGTAGCTAAATCAATACTTTTATGTTTATCGGCAAGAAAACGTAACGGCTCTTCGGTCATTTGCGCGCCAAAATTTTTATCGTTGGCAGCAATCAAGGAGTTAAAAATCATCATTTTTGGCTCAATTATCTCACTGTTTTAGTTTATACTAAAACAATTATTCATTTCATTGTCGGTGGCTAGTGATGGATATTTATCCCACTAGCCACCTCCACTTCTGTGAATAATTGTTATATATTATCCTACAACCCTTAGATCCATTTGAGGTTGTGTGAAATACTTCTCTTTTTTTTTTCTTTTTCTCTCTCTTGAAGGCTGTGTTTGAAGAACCTGTTTTGGATTTAAATCCAGCCCAGATCTCTTCTCTGACCAGTTTAATTTTATCCGAGCTTTCTAGCAATGTTGAGGAGTGGTGTTTGAAAAAAGGTACGTCAAGTTGATTGCTTCACTTTTGGCATGGGTAAGAGTCTTAGTCTTAGACCAAGAAGACGTATCTTAACTTTTTCTTTTCTTTTAAGGTACCACTTACACTGACTTTCTTGAACAAACGAAAGATGGCAAAACTCCATACGTGTCAGAGGAAATAAGGTACGGATCGAAACGTAAGGAAAAAAGGGGTGAAAGTTGAGAAATGAAAATTGAACTTGAAAAATAAGGAACGGTTTCAGCGGAATAGCAATCGCTCAGCGCAAATCGTTATTCACAGACTGTACACCCCTAAGCCACTTCCATCTCTGTAGTTTTACACTTTGTCATCAAAAAAATTTGTTCTGTTTTTCTCTGCAGAACCTTTTTAGCCTCGGTGAACATTTAAAAATGTAGTATTCTACTGAACTAGTTCGGAGAAACGGTAGTCTCTCTTCTTCTCTTTGGAGATCTCATTAATCCATCGCAATGTTTATTCGTTTGACCATGAAGACCTTGTTGCGAGGTAGTGGTACTGTTAGTAACAAGATTTATACCACGGTTAGATTGCTTTAACAATTATTGCGGGCGACAAGAGGAGCCCGCAATCCTAATCTCCAGGTTGTTATTACGCATGCGTCGCATGTATGCAGCCAGCATTCGTTTGGACTTCGACTAAGAATGAATGGGATGCACAAAACGCAATTTAATCACGCGCGTTTCGACCTTCTACCCCTCGTAGTCTGATCACGCGTGTTTTGACCATCTCTCACGTGAAACTTACGCAAAGCGCAGCGTTGGAGCAAATGCGTTTGGACCTCTGATCGTTGTTGCCCGCACTCCCTAATCTTTGGTTATTGATAGTTTATTCCTTCATCTCTTTATTTTAGAGAGAATGTAGAGCAGTTTGCTTCGAAAGTTATCGCAGCTCGACTTCAGTTAGTCTCGTTGTGTTGCCATGGTGACAAGGGGAAGATTCAATCCGTTGTCCGTTGTACATTGAACAGTAAAAGGTATTTGTGTTAGAATTTTTTTCTCTGACCCACAGATTATGGGTCACGCAACGCTCCTTGTCGATCGAGTAGGAGCGTTGCGTGACGTCCCCAAATGATGGCTACGTAGCGTACTACCTGCGTGCAGACGTGTCTGATGTATGTGTCGTTTTTTTGTGTCATGAAATGGAGATAAGGAACGTCTGCACTCAGACTAGAAAGTATGGGATCTTAAAAGCTTTTTTTTCTCTCGCTAGGTGGTCGAAATGGCTAACAGCCCAGTTTCTTGTTCAACTTTATCTCGCACAGCCGAGGGTGATGAGGAGTATTAAAGATTTCCGTTCCCTAACAACTTCCGGAACAATCACTCAATCCAGTGTTTGTCAGGTAAGAAATCAAGTCTCCCTTGCATAATTTTTTGTACTTTTTATTTTCTCAATTTCATATAAAATACAATATTTTATAACGCTGACAATAATGAGAAGATAGATAAGATATAATGAAACTTATTTTCTCCAGGCTAAAATAGGAAGTACAAAGAGAGGAAACGGGAAAACTTTGCTTACAACCTGGCAAAGTAGTGCTAAAATCTTTTAAGATTTGTTGTTGTAGACTGACCTCGTTAGCGGGCACGATGGTAACTTCTTCAGACAGTGACCTCATTATTCTCCAAACTGATTCGAGTATCGTTGGTACTATTAATCTTACCTCGGTTCATAGTCCTGTGGTCTAACTTAACTGTCGTTTGACCTTTTCATTAGTTGGATGTCCTGTGTCACCGTGTATTGACAACTCTGGCTGATTCCAAGCCGGGCAAAGAATATGAAGATAGAGCCTATAACACAAGTCTGTTGCTACGGAAACTGGCCTGTCAACATCCCATGCTGCTTCTTAGGTATGTTAAAATGTAGGCTGATTGCCCGGGGAGGGGTGCTTAAGGGAAGTTTTGGTAGAGGGGTGCCGCCGAGGCCTTCAACCCTGATCCTGTTCACAGGGTTCGTACATACTCTTGAATTCTTGAAAAAGTCTTGAAATTTGCTCAGTAATTTTCCAGACCTGGAAAAAGTCTGTAGAATGGAGATAAGGTCTTGAAAATTATTAAAAGTGCCTTATAAGTAAAAATTTTTTTCGTTTTGGTCAAATCTTGTCCAATCTCGCCCGTACGTTTGCAGCGCATCTAGACTTTCTCAAAGCCCGTTTTCGGTTTCTGCCTTCGCGAGAGTCCCCCGCGCCTTTAGTGCTCATGCAGTCGACTTGTGGCAGGTCTAAAGCACATCATGAAAAACCGGGTTTGTTCCTGCGTTTTTTAAGGTCTTATATTGATCACCTATTTGATAATTTTGAATCTGGAAATGGAAATTATTGCTTTGGAAAAAAGTCTAGAAAAAGTCTTGAATCGTGCATCCAAAAATCTGTACGAACCGTGTGTGTAAGTTTAACATCCTGTTTAAGGCAAGAGACCTGCTTTATGAGCCCGATTCATTTCGTTTCGCATACACAATTAAGCAATTTTTCAAGCTTATATCTAGCCTGCAGAGCAGGCGTTTTTTAACGAAAACTCGGAGGTACATTGATCGTGGCCGCCATCTAGAAAAGCAACGAAAAAGACTAAACCCATCTACCTCTCCCTTAAAAACACTTTTTGACTCGTCCCAACTCTCTGGTAGTATTGACGTTTAAGATGGCGGAACAACGTCATTCCTGAAAACAATTCATGGATCCCGCTTAAAAATACGCCTGCTTTGCAGGCTAGCTTATATCATGGCGGAACTAGATTGTTTTTGGATTTAATTGCTGGTAACACAAATGTAGACCGCTCATCTCCAACCTTCAGTCTCTTTTAAAGGCTTCCGATCCAAAACACACCTTGTTCAAGGCGCAAAATAGTAAAATTGCACACCCAGTTTAAGAGTCAAGACCCAGAAAGCCATAACCTATTCAGTGGTGCATACCCGTGTAGGCCAAATATGGGAATTCTTCCCTCCCCCTGGGGCTGAAGGCAATATTCCTGAGCTTAAATATGCAAAAGAGATCATTAGCAGTATCGATCAAGGATAAGCAATGTTCTTTGTAGTTTTCTAATCGTTGCACTTTTAGGTCTAATAAAGATCCTGACAAAGTTTAGGCTTGATGTGGGATTTCAATCCTATCCTTTTCGATAAGCGGACGCGGAGTTAGGCTAAAATGATTCCATTTTGTTCTCTCTATGATCATGCCCTCGGGAGGATTAATTAGTCTAATTGGGCATTTTCTATCTCCATAAAACCTTTTCTCGCTATATATTCTAATCCGCTACCCCGCTCAAACGAATATAAAACTTTTATCATGTAATAAGCAACCACAATGGGGGTGTGTCAACACGAGCCTTGTGCAAGCCTCTTTATTATGCCTTCATCAACAAAAAGGATAGGGATGATACAACAAACAGAATGAAAACTTGGAAATGTAAAAAATCCAGCAAGAAAAACATTTTACAAAACGATCTAAACTATGTTCGTACAACAATCATACCGTAAACGTGGTAAACCTTTCATACAGCAGCTTGCAAAAACTACGTCCAAGAGAAACTGATAACCCCTGGCCACTGGGTATTTAATTTTGAGGTCGTAGGGAAGGTTGTAAGACGCGAAAGAATATAAATGGCAACAACTCAAATATACATAGCCTACCGCTAATGAAGCAATTGTAACAGCATACCGTGCGACAACCCAAAGAAAGGGTTACATAACCCATGATAAGTACATTTCTTTTTGTTGCTCTTGTTATTTTTCAACAGCTCCTTCTCAAATCATTCGATGCATAAGTTTGTCTAAGTCACCATGATTTCAAAACTGCTCGCCATGTTGGACAAAACCGAGAAAAGAATATTTGTTGTTTGTGATCTTGTTGTCAGTTGATCGTTTGTACCGGTCTAAATGCTTTGTACTCTATAATAATTATAATATTGTTGTAGGCACCTCCCGATGATAGCTGCACAACTGAGAGGTCGAGTTCATCTCAAGTCTAAAGAATTTACAAACCAGCAGCATCTGCTCATGTTTTCTCACATCTTGGGAATGTTGGATCTTCTCAGGCCCCATATCTTCAGACATGATAAGGTTTGTCTTCATCCTTAGGCGAAAGCCGTTAAGGACTAAGAGAAATTACTTACGAAGGAGTTCATGTAATATGTTATTGTGTATCCGGATTACAATCACTGCAGTGGTTTTTGTTGTATTGTTGTTGTTTTTTTGTTATTTATTTATTTATTTATTTATTTGTGATTTTTGTTTTGTTGTTTGTTTGCTTTTATCCATAAAAATTGCTAATGAGTTTGAGAAGCGAAGCCGGACTTTCAATTTATGTCTATGTCCCTTAAACAGTCATTTTTATCGTGAAATTCCCGATCACCAAACCGTAAACCGTAAATAAATAACCTTATAATCGCCCACTCGCCACTGAACGTCCCATATCGTATTAACCCCTCCCCCATGAGTCCTAATTACCTCATCGCTACTTTCTAGACCAATCGGAATTAAAACCAAACCTGAACGTGACTTGCTGTGAACTGTTTTCCCGCGCTTGGCTTTGAGACTCAACGGCTGTTTGAATATTGTTTTAACAGCTAATTCAAGAGGGCTTACGGGACATTTTAGATGCTTACTTTGGTCTTATCCAGGTAAGACAGTAAAACCGACGATATTTACAACCCTCCACCAAGCGGTACCACAGGGAGTTTTGTACTGTTGTGAAATTAGGGAGTAATTTCACGCGCGTTTTGTCCAAATCCTTATAATTTCCCGCTTGGTGGAGGGTTGTAAAAAACGCAAGTGAGGGTTGTAAAGAACGCAATTTCACATGTGAAATTACAAATTGACGCTGAAATTTCGCGCCAAAATTAAGGAGTAATTCGTCACCTATGATATTACTAAGATAGTACGCACGCTCTGATTGGCCGAGAGGAGTGTTTGCATGAGAGTATGTAAACATGGTCGTGGCGTCAAGTTGTTTGGCTTTCCGCGCGCTAATCACGCGAGCACGAATTTGAAAAAGTTTTCGAGTTCAAAACTCGACAAACTTACTTTATTTACCCATTTCTTCGTCGGCTGAAACTTGGAAAATCGTTACAAAGAAGGTGTGTCAATTTTCTTCGCTTTTGCTGACATTTTAAGCGAGAAAAATCCGTATTTTGCAAAGCATCTTTTTGCAAAACAAGAACTGATTACGCGTGCAAGACTTCGTGGACAAGATTTTGCGACTGGTAAGAATTTCTCTTTTAATCAGTGCCATACAAAGAGTTTTGCCTTTTTTCCACGGGAAATTTATTTTATAAAAGCAATAGAAAACTTTTTACCTGTGTTTGCATAGCCTGATATAAACACTCGAGGCGTTGGGAGAATTCTCGACAGTTGTGCAAACCCTCGACTTCGTCTCGGGTTTGCATAACTGTCTCGAATTCTCCCAACCCCTTTCGTGTTTATATCAGGCTATACAAACACGGAAAACGTTTTCTATTGCTTAAGTAGTGCTCAATTAACCGTACCACAGGCTGATGCAGCCTTATGACGCATTGAAAGTGCTGAGAAAGAGTGCCACGGGTCAAAATTCAGCTGGGCCAGGCCGATCAATGCTAATCCAGGATTAAAATTGTGTTCCATTTTTGTATTTTAACTTTCTATGTATTGCTTAGAGTAACATTTTGTGCTGTCATTACTGTACTGTACCGGAGTAAAGGCTCAACAGTATTTTGTATTAAAGCTTGAGTTGCATGTTCTTAGTTGTGTTCTGTTACGTAATGTTCCGTTTGACTTTCGTTTCTTTCTTTCTTTCTTCCCTTTTTTCTGGCCCTCTTCCAGGCCGGATGTCTCCATAACAAAGAAGTAGCTGCTGTTGTGACAAAGTTAATGGCGTTTCTTCATCATTTCTGCGCGGAGAGTCCGGATCATGCTTTTTCAATCCTTCATAAACGAGCTCCATTATTTCAGTAAGTAACACAGTTAATTCATCGCCTGTGAGTAGACTAAAAGAGTATGTTTAATCGATCTGTTTCTTGTAGAATGGTCTCTGTACTACAAGATCTGATCTCCACCTTCATGTTGCGCTCTTAAAACGTAAAAAGCTCCCGTAACAAGAAATTCGCCTCTTTCAAATGTGTGGGAGAACCAATTGCCTGCTTTGGGTGAGAGCTTTGATTGGTCAGTGGTTGCGTCAGAAACCATCACATTATCATAATAAAAAGAGACCGTTTACGCATTCCTTTGAACAAAGGCGCCGACACCAGGCATGATTGGACAAAATACGGTGATATGTATTGCCTACCCAGTCGCGCCTCCACCTCGTTTCATTGCTTGTGTTCACTGAAGCAGAACTGAATACAGGAAATACAGGTCTATTGGTTACCTAAACGGTCCCAGAAGTTCAAGATTGATTTTACTTAACCCATAAAATTAATTCTTGACTTCTACGCAGTATTACAATCTAAGTTTATTATTTTCTTTTGTTTTCTTTGAATCCATTTGGCAGCAATTGTGAGAAACTGTTTCACGGGTTAAGGAAAACCACTCTATTTCTGAAAACCTATGCACATTGTCTTAAAAATAATCATAGTTAGTCTTTGATGAAGAGGTTAACATCAAAAGTCGTTTACAGAAGGGTACTTGAGGTTTCTGTGGCAAGTTGTTCATATCGCCACTTTTCTTCTAAATTTGACAATTGCACCTGTTATTCTCAGGGACCTGTTACAAGATTTTCCTGCCCTCCCCTCCCTCCAGTGTGTTGTTAGCGCGATGTCACTTACCTGGACTCCGCACTACGAGGATCAATTGACACCAGTCACCACTCAGGAGGCCTCAGATGAGGGCGCCTCCACGAGCATCCAATCCAAGGTCCGGTCCATTATCACACCACCCGAGAATGTCACGTGGTCAACTGCACAGCTCGCTCCTTTTGTACAACGGCTTGCCCCTGGCCAACCAGTTGAAGGTAGAGTGTTTTAAATTGTGTTTACAATAAAGATAATAATTAACAATAATAATATATGTTCTTTAGCTAAGGTAAACGCCTTAGCTAAAAGGCTGTTATCGACTGAAAGAATTTTGACCTCTGCTTGTTTTTAATCACAGACGTGTCGAAGGTTCTTGTTGATTTAGACGAAACCTCTAAACGAAGAGTGGACATTTTAGAACATTTTGTGGTGAGTATTTTTCCTTGTCTCGTACGGCTTGGCATATTCTGTTCCCAAGATAGATATAAAGAAATGATTTAGCCTTGTTGCTCTAAATTGTGACCATTCTTCCAAAAAAAGATACGGATAAATGCTGTTTTTTGTTGTTGTTGTTGTTGTTGTTGTTGTTGTTATTGTTGTTGTTAAATATTCATCCAAAATATTTCTCCGTTTCTGATCCATATCAGCCGGTTATTACTATTTATAAAAAAAAACGAGGCAGCATTCGCCACAATTGGAAACCTACGGTTTTGCATGTCCGTTGTATCATACTCAGCCTACTCCAACAACTGTTTATCATTGCGGTTTTTACGTGAAAATTCCTCCAAATTACATTTTATTCGTTTGTTGTTGTATTTCTTCACAGTGTACAGTTAAATACTTGGTACTGAAGTACTAGTTGTTTTTTTTAGCCCCATTTGGTTCGACTTCTCTCAGATGCCACAAGCAGTCATAGGACCCAGGCCCACACTCTTCTCCTGCGACATATTCGACAGAGTCCTGGGTGCGGTTATGTTTTTCTCTACTAATGCAGTGTTTATTGCGGGCTTCTCTTGTGGCCCGCAATTCTAATCTCCAGGTTGTTATAACGCATGCATCGCATATATGCAGCCAGTATTCATTTGGACTTCAACTAAGAATAAATGGATCGCACAGAACGCAATTTGATCACGCGCGTTTAGACCTTCTATCACCCGTTATCTGATCACGCGTGTTTTGACTATGTGTCACGTGAAACCTACGCAAAGCACAGCGATGCAGCAAAAGCGTTCTGACATTCGATCGTTGTCGCCCGCACTCCGTAACCTTTGGTTATTACTAGATAGTATAACGTGTTTTTGTTTTAGGAATATTTCATAAGAGTTTGTATTAAGCCAATTTTTCAACTAATTGAACTTTTTTGGTGCTTCTTTTCACTGTCACAGAACTGCTCACAAGTTTGTGGACGCGTACATGGATTGTCTGAACAGCTCAGAGCCTGAGGTAGTTTTGACTGCTGCAAAATTCCTACCCGAATTTGTTGTTCTGGACAACGGTAAGCAGACCCTTAATTATAATCTGATATTTTCTCGCTTGTGAACTGACGGCTGGCCACCCCAGCTATTCCAGAAATCATTTCGCTCAAAGCTTGGTCCCATTCTCCCTGTAGTTTGTGGAGTTGCAAATAGGCCATATCCGAGTTGCAAAAACCCTCAATTTCAAAATGAGGTCAAGTGGACAACCTTTCTTGTGAAAATGAGTGTTATTTGCATGAGAATGAAAAATCATTTCTATATAAAAGGCTGAGCACTTAACCTCGTTTTGATACAGGGGCCCGGAAGAACTTGGAAATGGCCTAGCGTTTGCAATTCGTCAGGTTCACACCGGCAAGGAGACTATCACTTGGATAATTCATGAATTTTATTTACAGTGAAATTAACTCTGTTTATAATTATTGATAAACATTGCCATCATCAGGGTCTTCTTCGGGTGCTTTAGTTTGAGACTGCTAACTTACTGTTCGCCATTCATTAGTCTCACACCTCATCAGGTCCATTTCCGGGGGGGAAGGGGGTACTCCCTATAATGGTCCAAGCGGGGAGGTTCCACCCTAAGGGGTACCTTTGTGAGGCCTTCAGAGGTATATGAAAAGAGGGATTTTACCATTGTGTATGAAAGGGTAGGAGAACCTGTCATTGTGGTCTCTAAAAGTGCCTAAAAGGGCTAATAGACGCATTTTATGGCGACAAGAAAACTCCCTTGTTAAGTGATTTATTCATAAATACGTCATACTGGCATGAGGACTGAACCACCGATTTCCTTGGAGATGCCCCCTCCCTCCTGGTATTAAAAAAGAGACGGTACCTTTACAGCATTTAAAAGGGATGCAAAGATCTAAACTAGTTATGTGGAAGGGGTACCATTTATCAATAGAAGGTATACGAAAAGAGTACCTTTTCTATCAAAAATATGGCATATAAAAGGGTAAAGGGTTGGACCTCGGGGCGGAGCCTCGCAGTACAAAATTTTGTTGTGCATACCCCCTCCCTCGGGAGGGAACTTTTACCACTAGCTGATAAGCAAAGGCATTTTTGAGCGACGCATGTCAACCGGAAGTGAGGCTTTTTCCCTTTTAACCCTTTAAACCCTAATATCAAAATTCAAATTCTCATTTGTTGTCCCTATATGTTTTCAATAGAAGCAGTGGGCAGAATTTGTTTAAGTATCAGTTAGATTCATCTTGTGTGATCAGGCCCTCAATTCTCATGACCACTGTGTTTTATAAAGCTGTGATATTACAAGGAGAAATTTGACGCTGATCACTCTTATGCCTTGACGCTACCAAATGTTTGTTGCTAAGTGTCTTCACTAGATGTAGATGCGATTTGCCCGAAAATTTTGACAAAACTTCGTCCCAGAAAGTCCAGTTGTGGTTAACGTCCATCGGTCAAAAACGTCTTTGCCTAAGCTCTCTAAAAAAGGGCTGTTTACAGGATGATTTCGTCCATTTTATTCGAAGTGTTTTTTTTAGACTGTTCACAGTCCCCTATTTTTCAGTAAGATCGTCGAGATCGGGCTCTTACCGGTACGGGCGGCCAACTTGGTTTCATATGTTCCGAGCCTAGCCTAGCGAGGAGTTTCAAATCTACTTAGAGGGCGGGGACGGTTTGGGAGGAGGCAGGAATAAATATAAACCCCGACGTCCGCCCCCCTCGGTACAGATGAAACCAAGATGGCCGTCCGTATCGGCAAGCGCTCGATCCTGACGATCTTACAAAAAAAAATAGGGGAATGTGAATAGTCCATGGTATTTTAAGCACCGTTTTTATCGATAAGTGTACGTGCCTCGCTTGTAAAGACAAACGGTACACTAAAGTTCAACTATGCATCATCGAATTAGCGAGAACTTGGCTGCGGTAGATTGCGCTGAAATCGTCGTCTGTCAACACGCGCGATTTTGGGTTGCAACCCGGAGCGTAGGTCGACTTTCAGGTCGCGTAACAATCGCCGGTGTGAACGGCTCTCTCATGTTCAACTGATTTGTCGTTTTCTGTTTCTAGAACACTCCGACTCGTTACTCCAAAAGATGTTTTCTTTGGCAGTGTACGAGGCCCAGGATGTCGGCATCCCCTTGTTGCAAAGTATTCAGCTTCTTAACTTGCACTGAAATGAGTCTTCTAATAAATTGCTTTACAATAACCGCGATTCTTTTTGTTTGTTTCCTTTTGTAAATTTTCCGAAAGCAACGACTATTTAAATCATTTAAAAATACTGGAACCTGTGTCAAATGAGAGTGAAAGTAACTTTGACCATTGCGCTGGATTTCACTTCTTTGTGATCAGCCGAGATATCTGGCTTAATAGTTCCTCTTCAGTAGCTTCCTCAGTTCCTCAGGCTTTTCTCTTGTTACGGCGCAGTGGAGGTGTAGTTTTTCCTCTTTCCTTGGTGCATTGCGTTTCATTCGTTTCTATGATTAGAAGGCTGTCTCAACAACGTGCAATTGTCCAATGAAAGATTTTCAAAGAGAAAGGGCAAGCTTGGAATTGAATGAGTTATTATCGCAAATTTAAAGATTTTACTGGTAAAATGCAAACAAACAAACTACCAGTTTCGCATTCAAGTGCGTTACCAAAAACAGGAGGTCTGATTAAAAAAGGGTCTAATCATTCTATCATTTTTCGAGTTCGAATGTGCAGCCGGTCGACTTCAATCTCATTTTCGTTTACCAAAACACTAGTGAGAAGGTTTGCAGTTGCGTTTATTCGATCGATGCCAAGGAAGGAGTTGACAAAACATCGAGGCTGTACATCCTAGGACGTACAATGCACTGGTTATGACAGGTCAACATAAATTTCTCATAGACCCATAACTATTATCGAGCGAGAGGGGCTGATAAATTGCGCGTATCCAAGAATTTTGTTAGTGCAAGCTGACCGCGACTTAACTCTATTTTATCTCAAACCAGGGCAGCAAGAAAGTTTACGTTAAAAGAATCAGTTAGAATGTTCGGAACGGTTAACGAGTTCTCGATAATGTTTACAGTTCTCTTTTAGTCGGGTGTACAGATAACAAATTTCAAAACTCGGGTACTTTTAATATTTATTTTAAGCGGATGTTCATTGCATTCGTGTGACATCAGGTGACATTAAATGTGCACATTGATAAGAATCTTCGTCAGACATTCTATATCAAAAGCGGAAATCAGTACTTAAGTAAATTATACCTCAGATATAACAGATTCAAAGCTTTTCCGTCGTCTGAGACTCGTCTGTAAGAAACGGTTCTCGCACGCCGTCAAAATGGTTTGAACCTTTGAATTCAAGAACAACTTGTGTTTTCAGTTTCTAGTGTGGCAGTTGACATTTGTAATTATTCCTCCTACTGGAAACTTTGTCTCTTGGTCATCGCAAAGGTCAAGACTTGACTGAATCCAGGGGCGTTTACTATGGTGATTGAATTTCTGGATTTTAGATTGATTGCTGGTACAGCTCATCTTAGTGAGAAGTTTCCAGAAAAATGGAAAAATTTCCAGAGGGTTTCCTTTCTCTAAATGCAACTGAAGTGACGGAATATCCCAAACTAGGTCAGTAGCTCTTCAGACATGGTCTGTGATTGAAAAACAAAACAATAGATGATTCAACACAAACAATACCCCTAACCCTTAAAACAAAAGAAGCCAATACTTAAAGAGGCCAATGAAAATAGATGTCTGGAAGAACTACTGTATTACTCAAACTAGCTCTAAACCACTGTTTATACTGTCCTTTATAGTTCGCCCTTTGTGACTGGTCAGCTAAGTCGGCCGTCTTCTCCTTCGCGCTGATTCGAAGAGGGGTGGGTCAACACATTACCCGGCACATTACTAGCCTTGTTTGCTCGGTTACGCAACCGCGGGTTTTAATCAAGATTACATCTTTCCAGCCCATCAGTGTTCTTATTCTCAGTAACAAGCCTATAAATCCGAGGGAAAATAATTCGGTCAGTAACTCCTAGTGGCCGGAGACTGCTTCAAATTCGCCTAGTAAGAGGTATTTCTCGCCACACGCATCTTGTATTGTATATTGTAACCCGTTTTTTTTTTTGCACTTTTCGCAGAACGATGTGTTTGAGTGAAGACGAAGCCGTTAAGTCCGCGAGGGACTCGGTCTAGTCATTCTAGAACTGTTCCATTCCATCCGGTTGTTTTGTGAAAATAGTAAACGCTCCCGGGGAGGCTTTCATTACTGCACGGAATCACTTCTTTTTCTAAAAAAGAAATCTTCTTGTTGATTATGTAACCACAAGGATCACATTCATTTCATCCGCTTCGCTCGCAGTTTATAAGGCATAGTATGACTTGTATCCACATTCCCATATTCTCGTCGCCCTCAGACATCCTTGCCTTTTTTTAAAAAAAAAAAAATTCGTGAAGTTAGCATGGCGATGAAAAGAGTCGGCGTATAGAACATCGATACCACGCAGGTGCAAAGGCAATAGTCATAAGCAAACCAAGCGGGCGATACGTCCGGTCTTTATAATCCATAGTTTTTAGGGGTTTGCCCACTGACAAAACACCATTAACACAGGAATCCAGTGAAATCTTAACATTTATAAATCATAGTTTAAATATAACATCCACACGGGTTTACAATCCTCCATTCTGCACAACGGTTGAAGTTTTCGTGACCGCATCGCTATGGCTTGGTGTTCCAAAAACTCGCTGTCTCGCTTCGCGCCACATGGTTTTACACAAGTCCTGTTGCATTTCGTTAAAAACGTGTTTCTCTACTTCAGGAGCGAGTTTTTTGTAAACCTTTCCTTTTCGCTGCAAGGTTGGCGAATTTTCATTGCATAATCCTTCAGCGACTTGTAATAACATGCTACTTTGTCGGGCTGCCTCGGTTTTACAGGCCTCTGAAATTCTGACGAAGACATTTTCATTACTGTCTGGCTCTTCCAATTCAAACGAAAAGCTCCTTCCCATTTTTTCCAGTGCTTTTCTGCGAAGCTCTGTTCTTTCTGACTCGCTAAGTAACCTTGTTTCCTCTAGAAAAACCTGCTCGCTGCTTGTCGTTTCATTACGATCCATGCTGTTTGCATGCTCTCGTAACATTTACGTTTTTGCTGCTGTACACTCCGGAACTTTCAAAACAGAAAACGCTAATCTGCATAGTAAGCCGGAGTCTTGAACGTCTGTTTTGCCTCTGATTTCCATAACATAATTACATTCTTTTGTTCATTGATCTTCGTGATATCTATTGAAATATTCTCAGTTCCTCTGAGGGCACCTTCAACCTAGCTTTTCCCCGAGTACGCGATACCGCAAGGCGATCCGGTAATCATAAAATCCAGTTTTGCAGCGGAATTAAAATGTTTTTACCCAAGCAAACACGAATGTTACAAGTATTGTTGATTGCACGATAACGAAATAGGTTTGAACTCTTGTCGACCTTGTCCCTAGGGTACGCTGAGGACAAAGACGTTGTAATTTCAGACGCAATGTACATTTAGTAATTTAGCTGCAAAGTACTTGGCCTATTTTGTGACAAGCACAAGCTCGCATTCTTTGTTTTCGGCAAGCTTTGATGTGTGAGTGTTAAGAGTGTGTTTTTTGAGTGCGAAATGACAAACTATGCTTTGTGATCGACAGAGCCCTTGTTAATTCGATCTTTACAGTAAGTAGCACTCTATCAACGATAGTCATTTAGGACCTATTGAAAATAGCGATAAACATCCAGTATATTGAAACACCTGCAAATGGTATTTAAATACGGATATCGAGCCCGGCAATTTCTTGGTTTTACTCTCGTAATAGCAGCATTTCACGTTGTTGAATTGAACCGGCAATTTAATGCTTTTTTAAAAATAAAGACAATTCAATGATAAATTCAACTAAAATGTTTGGTTATACTGAGCGTCTAGAAAACTAAAAGTGAAGGTAACAAAAACAACGACAGTTATTATTATTATTATTATTTTTTATTATTATTATTATTATTATTATTATTATTATTATTATTATTATTTAACACAAATAACAGCACATTCTGTAATGTTGCGTAACCTCCAGTCAACGATTTTATTTCTCTCAGTGACCTTGAGCTATATTCAAATGTTATCTTCGAGCAAATCTTTATTTGCCTAGCGATACAGCAAACTAAAGAGTTTTATTTCCCTTTTTGATCGATCTACTAGCCTTTTGGTGACACACCAATGCAGTCGATGACAGCTTGTTTAAAAAACGTTTGAAACGTCCAAAGTTGGATCAAGAAAGGTGAGGCCGTCCAAATATAGTAAAGCTGCAAAAGAGTACAATCGATTTTAATCATCGATCAAAGACCAGTTTAAAAAACACACACACACATGTGTAAATAATGTCCCAATTTTATCTTGTTTTGATAGAAGAAAGCTGCATTCTGTGCAAATTCTTTGGCGAAATAAGAATTATTTTCAAGTTCCATGTCTACATTTCACTGAGCACTTCTCAGTGTAGGGTTTCCTGCGCGTATTTAAAAACTCTAAGAAAAAAACATTGCCTAATTTGTACATAAGAAACAACGGGTGGTTAGTATTTTTCTTTTAGCCCAGCGGCAGTGAAAGCAGCACATGCCCAAATCGAAATTTTACTCTGACAGTGCAGTAGGCTAAGGGGTTTATAAGGATGTGAATAAAATAAGGCTATTTCGCTGTTTGGCCTATCTTTATAAATCACGCAACTGGCCTTGATAGTTGGTAATCATATTGTAAGTAAAGCTCGCTTTAGCACGGTATATAGGTCAGGTATTTTTTAACGTTAGAATGCTTTATTATGTGACAAACAACCTATTTTTATCCCCACATAGTGAGTTTAAATGACTGTGATTCTTAACCTGGTCATTTTTTTTAAATGCTTGAAGGCTTTCAGGGCCCTCAGACAGATAAACAGCTAACGTGAACACTTTTTAATAAAGAAAATAAGAGGATTTCGATAAATGGTCGATCTTGAAGTATAGTGTGACATGTTTATCTACTTTTTGTTTTTTGTTCGCTTATATTTGGGAATAGATTACGCCGAAATTTAAACAGGTCACTTTCGAGTAATCAAAATTCATATTTGGTACCAAGGCGGAGGAGAATAAAAGAATACAGTGAAGAATTCTTTATCGCTAAATTTCAATACCATTTCTGTTGTTTTATAACCCTCAGGCTCGCATCCAAGAATGAATTTTAAGAATTCGAAATTTGTCATACCATAGTATTTTGCCCACAGTCTCGGAAGGTAAAAAATACGACATAGTTCTACAAGCCAATGAAAAGGTCACAATGGTGCGATTAAAACTAAAAGAGGCTCGAAAAACAACATGGTTCTTGTGGAAATAGTTCTTTGAAGATCTTTCTTAATGGTGGCTGAAATAGAAGAACCAAAAGAAGAAAAAATCTTGTTTAGGTTTTAAAGAAAATCCACTCCCATCCAACCCAATAGAATAAGAATGAACTTCGAGAAGTTATTGATAATTTCCGGCGATGTTCTTTGGTAAATTGTCTACAGTACCATTTTCTAATAGCTTCAGACAATTTGAAAATAGCTAATACACTTAAAAACAGTATTATCAAAGCTTATAAAGGTTTTAAAATTGTCTCCGGCTCCCTTAACGGTACAGTTAGGCCGTATGCTGCAGCAGTTGACGACAGTGAACAAATCCCTTTCGATTGTGAAGTATTTCCGCGGCACCTCTTTATTGAGCAGGTAACAAGATTAACGAGATCATACTTTTCTTTAATCGCCTTAAAATTTTGTAATCGGCACATTTACAGTATCTACAACTTCCTGTTTTTGTTAATTGTTTTGAAAATGTTTCCGACATACCTGTCAGTAGATCTGCCAGCCAGACAAGTGGCATCAAAACAGAAAGACTTCAATTGCCCATTACTGTGCAGTGGCGTCGCCCCTCACTCTCCTTCTCTCTCTGCTAGCTATAGCCACACCTAGCCTCCTCCGCAAACAACGAACAAAGAGATAGACCACGGCCTTGGCTCTCTTCTTCTCTCGGAAGAGAGATAAACCTGGCAACGAGTTTGTTACATCACGTTAAAGATTTGATAAAGCGTTTGTGAAAAAAAGAGGAGACTAACATGCACACACGCTGACGGTGCTGAAAACTTACTCTCAAAATACGTGAAGTGTTTCTGAGCTCAGTCATTGATATCTAATTCTCTTCACTCGAAATGGAACTCCTGGCGCCCGCCATTTTTGCTACGTGGCATAATTCCATGACGACAATTTGTTGAGTTCTTCTTAACCCGTGAATGGAATGAAATGTAAGATGAAAATGATGTAAACTGCGGAAATACAATCAACAAATTGGCCTGCTCGGAATGAATGGGTCTTCATAGCCTTTTTGTAAAGCACTGCAGCGCTAACGCAGAGGCCAAGGGTCCGAATCCTGTTTAAGTCCCGAAAATTTGTTGGGTAAATTTGCAATTGCTCGCATTACAAGCACCACTGCGACGATCATATTTTCATTTAGATTTGTATTTCCGCAGTTCACATCATCTTCATTCCTTATAGAGATGGCCACCACTTTAAAATATTCAGTATCCAAGTGGCTTCACCGAAAAACTTAATTTCATGCCTTGATTAACCATGCTAATTTTGTATTGATCGATGTTCGAATGTAGCTTGGAGCAAACCAATCCCGTTGAATTGTTCTTTTCTTTTAAGATCGATCTAGAAACTAGGCTTGTTCTGCAATTCTATTTCCCGGCAAAAAGCTTAGCAAGGTCAGTTAAACCTCCCAGATGGTAGTTATGATAGAACGCTCTTCAAATGCAAGAGCCCATTCGTTGATAACTCACTGCTAATTATACATTTAACGCATAGAAAGCGGGCTTTATGATTTTTTTTCTTTTCCATCAAAATCGGTTTACCGTAGCGTAAGAGTCTCACACGCGAGACGCGCGCAAGCCTCACACGCCCGTAGGGGTGACTTGATAGCTTGCATCAAAATTTAGCTAGTAGGAATTGCCCGTCCCTGGTAGAAGCGGGTAATTCGAATGAATATAACATATGCAAAACGGACAGTCCGTAGTTTTTAGCCTCTCTCTCCACAGTCTCCCTCTCCGTTTTCAGCCTCGCTCCAGACCATTTGTTTGACTGCGTACTAAATTACGCAAAAATACGGACTGTTTTCAGTCTATTTAACACAAGATTTAAAGCAAAAAGAAACTGCGCTGTAATTAATGCTTAGCATTAACTTGGCTTCCTACTATTTCCCTACTCCCCTCGCCCTTTCCGTTCCTTCGGAACTTCTACAACTCGGGCTTGAAATTAAAAAAATGGCTGGCTAAGCCCCTGAAAACAATTCTATAGTGTACCGAAAGTCCAACTGTTGGACGAAAGGAGGCACGGACGATTAAAAATAAATAAAACTAGCAAACAACCAAAAACAAAAAAGGGAAAGATAACCAGTTGGGAGAAATGACTCGATACTGGGTGTTAAATATAAAAGTTCTGTTTTATTACATCTCCATAAATGACCAAAATACACTCTAAGCAGAAGTTTTCTTAAACATTTTCTTACATAATTACACTTTTATTTTTATTTAATTTTTTTCAGAACTTGATTGTGTAATAGTACTAAGAAGGCGTATGTAGTATAAAAACTAAAGGGAGTTTAATTGAAAAAGGAAGAACACTTTCCTTAGATCTATAAATGCAAGTACTAAATATGCAATGCTATAAAACGTGATTTGCTTTCTTTAATCTTTTAAAAAACTAATTTCAATCATAAAATCTTAACTGATAATTCTTCAAATTGTTAACTTTCCCTCTCGATGGCACGAAAAAATGGTGTTAAATCAAGGATGGCTTCGAGCAATTCTCGAGGTACGCTGAATTCTTTTATAGCGCATCCTAGAGTCGTCAGGGAGACCAATTCTTCCCCTCTGTTCTCACGCAATTTGATATTTTCACAGTTTCTTTCTAATGCACCTGTAACCTGGGTGATTGTAGAAAAGCAGAAACCTTTTTCTCAAAATATAACATCTTTTTGCTTCCGTTAAGTTTTTCTAAGGTGAAACCTCCATTGCTGCAACATGCTCTTTGGCTTTAAGCCGCAGCGAAAGAAGACTTGAATCGTTTCGAATTTCCAAATTCTCAGCTTCATTTTTAACCTCCTCTGGGCCTGACGTTGCTGAGTCGGTGGACTTTGGTGAGCACGAACCGTTAGGACTGGGCGCTAGTGGTGTGACTGTGCTTGGAAGCGAGGCAAAGTGAAGAGCTGCTACTTGCTGCCGTGCGCATGTCCAGAAGTCGGTGTTGTAATACTCGTACGGGAATAGGCTGTAAGGTTCGAATCCGCCGCAGTAACGCGCTAGATGACTAGGGTATCCCAAGCCGAAGATTGTTGGAACATCGTGACGGCGCTTTCGCTGTTGCTTACGCCATTTCGCTCTTCTGTTCTGGAACCAGATCTGTTTTTAAACAAAACGAAGATTCAGTGATTGACCGGGGAAACACAAAATGTGGGATTGTCGGTCTGTAGGCGTTGGTCAAATAATTAAAGTCGAGGTTTAGATAAAAAGCTTGAATGTCTTGACAAAGTCTATAAAAGAGTAAATTCAAAACCTAAGCAGGGGTTCAAGTTGGTAGACTTCTCGTCAAACGTGTAAAATTCCGTGTCAGGTCTGAGTGTGTCTTGAGACTCACAGCACTTACTCATACCCCGTATTAGGTAATTGAATTTTCTACCCCGAAAGATATCAATAAATTCATATTGCTTCTGGGTGTCCTTAGAGCAAATTCGGGTCACATCATTTTCAAACAGCTTTTCAGCAAGACACTTAATCACCCCGCGTCACTTGAAGGCAAAGTTAAAGATATCGCATTTAAGACCAACAAAAATTTCTCCTGACCTGAACTTGGGCTTCTGATAAGCCCGTGCTTTTCGAAAGGTCAGATCTGGCAGCCACATCGGGGTAGTGATTAAGAAGAAATACTCTTTCCATCTGGTAAATCTGGGACTTATCAAAGGTTGCTCGGTATCTCTTTTCACTGTCTTCTGCCCCTGCATTCAGGTTCCTCTTGATCCTCTTTGATGGTCTTTCGGCCTTCTCTGATTTCTTTACATTTTTGTTGCTGGATCCTTGCTTATCTGTTGATATGAAAGAGACCTGTATCATTAACATTTATAGCAAAAAATCTTTTTCACTTTATCCCTTGTTTGCCTTATTAGGTTATGTGGAATTGAATCGAATTGAAATTCACTCTTCAAAAGTTAAACACAGAAGGCTTTGATTTACAATGGACTCGTTTCTTCTTTAGTTTATCCCTGTCTTTTAGACTATGCCCAAAGTATACTTAACTTGGTTGTCGAATAAGGGCGTGTTCGTTTGACCGTATTCCGTAATAATAATAAATGGAATAAACTCTTGAAATCATTTATTTTGGCGTTCATTGCATCGCAATATCCAGAAATCTCGTAAATAAAATATTCCGCTGTATGTAGCGTTTAAGTGGTTCAAAAACTACGGCACAAGAGATTTGCAACAAAACTTTTGCAGCGTCTTCTTATTCCGGAATACGATCAATACAACGCACTCTAATTATTTCCAATGATCATAAGTTTAGCAACAGCGTAACACATATTTGGCTACATTTGTAATGAACAGTACGCTTGACTGCATACCTAGTTACTGATCACAATTTTCCCAGCAGATGAGGAGACAACAAAGGCTTGGTCTTTCTTTAAGTTTTTGGCCTCTTGATTTTTATTTTATTGAAGGCTGTTGACTATAATTCCCGGGAGAGTGCTTCGCGTTAAATAGTCCCGCCCTACTAATGAGCTAATATTTGGGAACAAAGTGTGTTGTTGTCTTGTCCTACGCTTAAATTTGTGCCCCAAAATATTTCACCGCCTGAAAATCTCTTTTATTTACAAGCTAAGTGGATCAAAGGTTTCAAAATTATTTCTTCGGCCAATTTATCTTTCGAGTAATGCGATGAGCTAAAGCCAAGACGGTACGACTTTTAGTCCTTGCACGGGTTTCTTCATTCTATCAAATATTATGAATCTTACTACTTTTTTTTTCTTTTTTGCTTCTTTGGGAGCATGTAATCACAAGATAAGAATGGTTTTATCAGATATTCTGCCGTTTCGATCCTTTGTTATATACATCATGTCAAGGGAGTTTTAGCCAATCGAGACCTTTCAATGTGATATTGTCTTGTACTACTCCGAATAGGTGGGTAAAATTCATATTTAAATATAAAACTTTCAAACGAAAGCAATTCAGAGATCTTCTTTGGCACGATCGATCATGCAGTCGGAGATCTGATAATCACTTTTCAGAGTATGGAAGTGCTGTTTTATATGAAGCAGTGGTTTTTAGTGGCTCCGTTAGCGTTCTAAGGAGTTTTAGCAGACGCAGAAGAGGCAAGTGTCCATAATAACTTGCACTAAGGGGGAACAAGTTACCTTTGGTTTAACCTTTAAAAAATATATTTTTTTTTAGTTATTATATCGGCATAGGAACTTGTCCATAAATCCGTTAGAATCCATGTTGCCAAAGACTTCAATGATGTGTTTTATTACTTGTCTTGGTAAGATTTCGAACACTGCGATAAGTGAGTTCACATTTTGTCATTCTTCTTGAAGCCTGCTCAAACGGTAGAAATCGTGAAATTCTAGACTTGCCTTTAAGATGGCCCGAACCTATTTATATGCGTGTTAGTTATGTTTTTGATATGCGTTTTTCAGAATGAAAGATTCAACCGATTTCTAGTAGGTATAAAAACCTAATAGACATCGGAAAATGTTTTATGGAGTGAAATGTTAAACGTTTGGGTAAAGTAACGAACAAAAAGTCGTTCTCTCTCACCTGTATTTTCCGAAAGGTTTAGCTGATGTCTATTGTCAGAGTTTTCTGGTTGTTCGGCTTGTGCTCGATCGAAGCCAAGAAGATTTGAAATTGAAAATCCTGCTTTAGCTTGCTCGGAATCCATTGCCCGATTGTTTCTTTTTTTCGCACACTTGGGAAGAATCTTTGACTCTGAAATAGCAAAACGTGTTTGAAAAGGATTGCTAGTCTGTGTGAAAAGCTAACGAGTGAGCCACATTTATTGGCCTGCTCCGGCTCCAATATCACCTTTTGTGCAAGAGTCCTTCAACAGCATTAAATCAATTAACAGGGATTTGAATGAAAAGGCATTGTTACAGATGTGGCATAATTGTTGGCTTTTCACTTTGTTCAATAGCGTGGTCGTGCCTAACGAGAAAAGCCGTTCATTTCTGTAGTGTTCCTAACTTGATATAGGCGGAGCCGGGAATCAAATCGTTGCAATCAACCAATTAAGTCGAAAAAACGTCACACAGGACTGGCTGCAAATGGCAGTAATTAACAATTCTTTAAGTTCTTTTGATTAGAGCATTAGCACATGGCTGTTGGTCAAGGTGCCAATAAACTCAATAGCCAGTTCATTTACTACAGGCAACACAGTGAGCCTAGTTCCGGTTCAAAACCAAGCTACATTTCTCGCGCTTGCACAGAATTGCCTCATATCCTTAGCAGGAAGTTTGTGTTTCTAATTTAATTTTAACGAGGTGTTCATTGGAAAAACCCAGCTAACGCCAAAAACGTGAGTTGAATTATAAATTTATAATCGTTACTTGAGTAGCAATTTTTCAGGTTGTTTTTCCTACAAACGTTGCATAATACTTCGTGCAGTTTATTCAAGCATCTTTAATGCCTTTACAAACGAAGCAATTTTTAAACGGCTTGTCTACAAGTATATGTACTGCAACTTTAATATGAGTATATTGTTGTAGAAAATTGTATTTTTTCTTTCTTCACCAAGATAAAAATTCTTTCTATAGTTTGGATCATCCAGAAAAATCGACATTTTATCAACAGGTTGATGCCGGTTTATGCTAAGGAATGTGGGAAAAAATACACTAAAATTTGCGTGGTTACCGTTTGCTATAGTTTTAATCAAATTATCAAGTTTACTAACTCAATATTGAACCTTGTTTAAATTTGTTTCTTGGTGAGTGACGTGATAAGCTTCAACAGGTTATGGAATAAAGTGAGGACAGCATTGCCTTCCTGGGAGTTTTACTGAGCTACTGTTAAAATTGTCTCGTTTCTCTATCAAACAGGGCAGAGGCGGCTGAGAAAACTTGTTGCAATGAAGTAAAGAATATTTGGGTTTTTATTGTGATTTTTCCAGCCATTTCCGCGCAAAGTAACCGAGTTTTGGCCAGGATTGGATATTCCACTGGAACTAACTGAGAAATTTTAAAGTTACAGTGTGCTTTACTCATATGCATGTGCCATGGTACTGGTACAATAAAAATTAAACAAGGTTTTTAATTTCATCGTTGCACTTTTCAATTGGAAACATATAAATTACGATAGGCAATACTACAAGAAATAACTTCTCAGCAAAAAGATAAACCCATTCTCCAAGGCAGAAGCAAAAAAAACATAATCTAAGGTTTTAGAGCCCGTTTTTTTTTTTTCAAAACAGTCAAACTTAAAAACGTGTCCCTGACTTTTTCAAGATTCAGTCCATCCTACACATATTAAGTCAAAGACACTTTTTAACCATTTTTTGGTGTGCTTTATACATGGTACCTATAGGAGAACAAGCAGGCGGTCATTTTAAAAGGATTTCTATTAATCCTGAAACACTACTGTTGAAGGTTTACCCTTTCATACCTATAATACATCAGTGGTGAGATTATTAGTCAATGTAAATTTAAATCTCTGGACAAAATACTATGATGTTACAATTCAAATGAACTGAACCTCTTTGGTAGAACGTTTCCATAGTACTATGTAATTCCTTAGGATTTTATGAAAAGACATTTGTAGTTTTTTCTATTTTTTTTTTCTTTTTTTGGCCACCACTGGGAGAGAAAGGGTACAGAGGCATAAAACTCTGGGCCACTGCCTCTTTAGGGTCCCCTAAACATCCTCTGTTACAAATAAGGAAAAGGAATACTTTTATAGATACTTCACTGGTAGCGGAGCAGGTTTAAATTTTATAGCCTTTACTTCAATATTCATGGCATCGGTCTTGGAGACAAACGCTAAAATTCTGTCTTTTACACATTTAACTGAGTTAGAAAACAAAAATAGAAAAGTCGGATTAGAAAAAAGCAACGGGTTTCTCGAAGTAGAATCTAGTGCTTCTATCAAGTTCAGAGCCAGCCATTTGGCACTTCGGAAGTGATATTGTGAGGTTGAATGGCCCTGGGTTTATTACGTGGTGATATCACAAACAAATGAACAAGAATGATCCCGTCTATACTCTGCTTCAGCCATAAGAAGTCATTCTCATGAAACACTTGAAAGAATTAAGACAAAGGAGAGAGTGGATCTAAAATTTCTCGCTAATCTACAGTCAGCAGTTTTTAAGGCGTGATTTTAGCCTGACGAGAAACCTATAGTCCAGGGATATAGTCACACAAAAGCAATAATAGAAAAAGTTATTATCAGTGGTAAGGTTTTCTAATTGCTCTCTTATTTGTATTGTAAACGCCAAACTAAAGTAATTACACTTGGCCTTTCTAACAACAAACAGGTCGAAGCAAACATGGACTGAGGCCGGTCCAAAGCGCATGAAACAAGTTGAAGGGAGCTGCTACAAGGGCTTTATTTTTTATCATTATTTTTGTACTTGGTGGGACAGTAACAGTAGAAGGAGTTAGGGGAAATATTAGTGCGTAATGCAAGTACAATAGTAACTATTATTCACGTGCTAATTTGGATGATGAATTTGATATTTAAACACTGCTATATGCTTGTGATAACTGTGATAATGAGAAGGGAAGCTCTGACGTCACAGCGTCTACGATGAAGCAACAGTCACAAGTGTGAATCAGCGGAAATGCTCCCCGATTACAAAGCTAATAATTCAGATCGTTAGCAAAAGTCTACTAGTATAATCCAACTGTTACCTACTATAATATTTTAGATATTCACATTTTAATACTTTTATTGCCAGACTTACAATTTGACATTTAAAGTTGGTGTCAAAATTTTCCTTGAAATTTAATTTTCCATTCTATAGATATGAAATGACTTTTTAAAGACTTTTTATTAACAATTGTCCAAACTTTGTTTAGAAGCTAGGAATTTGTCTTCAATTTTGTTTTAGAAAACGAAATGTGAGTAAACTTCAAGAACTGAATTATCTACTTTAATCTGTTACTTAACAGCCAGTTATGATTTTTCGAGATAGGAGTAGCTGAGCAAGAATCTACTACTACCTGCTTTAAAAACTTCATTGCAAATTCTTCCAGTGAGCCCCATATTCAGTTCAGTCCAGTTGATTTTAATTTAGCCAAAATGTAATACAATACAGGAATACGTATAGGAATTGTGAGGTTGCAAGCCCGGGGTTGCAAGGGAGCCAAGAAGAAACCAGAAGGCTTATGAAGCCTGGGCTCCCCAGTCATAAAAAAGTAAGTACAAAGAAATCCACAGAGTGATACGTTCAAAATAGGAACTTCACAGAGACTGAGTTAAGTTATGAATTCAGTAACAAGGTAGAAAAAAGTTTTTAACTCTGGATTGCAACTAATATAAGGAGAGGGCATCGCGAATGTAAACTGTGGTTGTGTAATGTATGTTGTAGTTGCTAAGCACTTATTATAAACTAACGAGGATGGAAAAAAATCACTTCGGTCACTAAAACGGACTTTGAAGGAATGTAGATCAAGCTTGTGGGGCTTTTTCGGTTGGTGATCAGATTTAGCTGTCCTTCGCGCTTTCCTTGTAAAGGCCGTTCTCACAAATGGCATAACTGTGAATTTTCATTGACCGATGGTTGAACATTTTAGGCATTCATATTTTAGTCTGTTGTTGTTAGCTATGGCTGTCCACATCACAGTACAGAAAACATAAAAGGTTGTCTTAACTTCCTGTCGAAACACCCGTCCAAAAAGTGCGAACGTTTACCTGCAAAGGATCGAGGATATTCTTAATTTTGAGAACGGGACAGTTAAAATAACATTCTAGCTTTAAAATACTTTTCTTAGCTACAACAAATTTCTTTCCGACGTTTAACTGCTGCGAGGGTCAAAAGTATTAGAGAAAAGACCCTCAACCAGTACAAGTATCTTTTTAATTTTTGGGTGCGTTTTTCTCGCTAGTGAGATCTTTACCAAGGGGGTAATCCTGAAAATTCTTGGTGGGGGTGTGCCGACCGTTTCTCCAAATCCTGACCCCATTTCAGACCAAGAAATGCCATTTTCTACACCCGTTTTCAGATCAGACCTATAAAATTCATACCTGTTTTCAGACCTGGCCTTTAGGCAGAAATTATGTCATCATTACTCAGTCAAAGCTAAAATAAAAAGAAATTCAAATTCATCTCGATATCGCATATTTCTCTTTTTTTCTTACTCATTTGGAATTGGAACGTTAAATAGTTTCATACACTACCGTAGTTCCCTCGAAAACCATACCCGTTTCCAGACCAACATGGGCAAAGTGTATACCCGTTTTCACACCAAAAATGCCCAAAAACCCTACCCGTTGGGGCGGCACATACATGTACGGCTTGTATAAGAGAGTAGCCCCCCCGGGGGTCTTTAAATGTGATGTCAGGGGAAAAGAAGTCATGCAAAGATCTTGTCAAAAACATAGACGTTTACTCATCAGTCGTTGGTAATCTGACCTTCAGTAAACAGTTTGTTTAGTTTGAGAAAGTTAATATTTTAGCCGGATTCTAAAATCGTAGTGCCGTGATCAGTATTGGCATGCCGAACGCACGTAGCAGGCTTAGCAGCTGTGTTAGTCTACCCTGCATAGCAGGCAATTCGGCGCGAGCTTGTCGAAAAAGTTGGGCCGATCTTCCATTTCTTTTCCTCTCGCTCCAACTTTCAAGCAATAACTGAACTGGAAACGGTTTCTACGCTGGCCAAGATTAGTCTCGTTCTAATACAGGTGTGCAAACTGCAATGTTGTAGGTTATAAGTGTGAAAGCGTTCCAAAATTCACTGGAGAAATTGAGGCAGGGTTATTGCAACACACTGACACCATACCATACCTAACTGCTCTCTTGTCTTCCTGTCGCTAATGACTTAGACTCCATTTCACTGGCATTGTCTCCGATTGTGAAGATTTTGCGAGCAGTTAGCAAGTTCCATTGTATTCTAGAAAGTATTTATCAACTTTAGGCTTAACCAATATATCATTACAGTGATAAACTAAAGACCGGGAAAGTTTGAGGCGTGATAATGTGTTTTGTTTTAGATTTTATTTCACCGTTCTTAGTTTGAAGTTGAAGCCTAACTGTATTCTACTAATCACGCAAAAAATACGAAAATGACATTCTCTTATTTACAAATCCGAATGACAAGACATCAAACCGATATAAATTACTTGAATGCAAATTTTTAAAACTAGCTCAGCGAACGGGAATCCGGCGACATAAACAAGTGCTTAAAAGGCGTTTTTAATAAGCTGATGAGGCTTGTGTTCCTCCTTACTTTTACGCTGCGCACGTGGCATCTTGGGAACATTGCACTGCAGAGGTTTGCGTCCTTCCCGTGGCACCTTGCCCTCTCTGCCCAGTGACCTCTGGGGACAAGCCAGGTAATTTCTTCGCGCGCTTTTACAGGGAATAAAGGCGCGCATGTTTGAGAACCGCTGTAAACAAAGACAACACAATCAGTCTGCTATGACAAGTAAACAGCTGGTTTTTTTTTTCCTCATTTCTATCGACGCAGTGATATGTTGCGCAGCATATCCATGATAGCGCGTCGAATGTGTCTCATCTTCCAGGAGTAAATCAGAGGATTCAGAGAGGAATTGAGGAACACTAGAGTGTGGGTATATTTTATCAACTGCCATGTTACGTTATTGTAGCCAGTTTTTTCCAAAATTATTCGTGTACACGAGCTTGGTAGATGACAAGCCAAAAACACAAGGTAAGCATAAAATGGACCAACTGCACATTTCCTTAACTTCGCAGTATTCGCCATATTTTCAACCCTAGTCTGTGTAGGCTGTACTTGCAGAATTTTATTTTGTTTGCTGTGATACAGTACGGCCAAATAAATCTTGATATAAAAGAGGGCTGCGGCTAAGTAACAAACACTTTCAACGACTATTCCAGTGATGGAAACGACAATATACCGAGTGTGTTGGAAAACAGCCGTTGTCATGGAAAGAATGGCACTGAACACCCAAACCGAGATCACCACAGCAACAAGGCGCTTGTGAGTCACAAGTTCTTGATATCTTAGATGAAGATGAACAGCCAAGAATCTGTCTGCCGCTAGAGCCGCAGCACCAAAGAAAGAGGCATAACCGAAAAAAGTTATAGTGATGATGGAAACCTTGGATGTGATCTCGACAATTTGAGTTTCAGTATTTCCTTGCTGAAATACCATGGCAAGAAATAGAATGTACAAAGGTTGAACCAGTAAGCCAACACCAAGATCAGAAACAGTCAGACTCAGAAGCAATGTCCTCAAAGGCTTGGGCAAAGTCGTAGAAGATTTCCTTAACGCGAGTAAGGTTACAGAGTTCAGTGCGGTGGCTGTGTAACTTAAAAAGGCGTTCAAGACGCAGTTAACAATGATGGCCGAACGCAAGTCATCAGCTTTCAGTGTCATCATTAAAAGAAGCAAGAGCCCTGGAACCTGAGGCTGAAGTTTGGCTAGCCAAAGAATAAAACAATAAAAGATTAACAACTAGGCTGTTAGCTTTTCATTAGAGAGCTAGACTGCAAATCCAGATTAGGTTGTTAGACCATGATGTTCTATACTGTCCAAGTTAGGTAACTTAATTAATCTTGAATTTGTTGAATATATCGAGCTGATGGATGATCTTTCTCTTCCTTCTTGCACCGTGTTGCTCTTAAATTCCGATCCCTGAATTCATTTCGTTTGGAAACACAAACCAGATCAGATAAAATTGATCTCTCGCTTTTATCCAGTCAGATAACAGGTGTTTCAGCACAATGTAGAATTATGGAAATTCACATTGTCAATACCTGTTTTAAACAATTATCTGTCAGGAAACTATATCCGGCATAGAAACTCTTCCAATGATACGAAGTCTTTTAAAAGATTGCAACTTGTAATTGCCTTGGCGAGAAAAGGCTATTTTCTAAATCACGGAAGGAGCAAGGCAAATGTTCATTTTTACTTCGTCATCCTTCCATTCTAAATTAAAGAAAGCAAAAGATAACACCAATTACGAGAATTCCAACTGATTGTACAGTTCCCTCAAGAGAAAAACCCAGTGCGATTCTCACTTCTCGGTGATGAATGAATATGAATTATTGTACGCAGGGGCGGATAGAGGATTTTGTGATAGGGGGACGGGGGGGGGGCTAGAGATATAGCATAAAGTGGTAATATGGGCGCGATAGCGCCCATCAGGACTGCGAACGGCGCACTTTTCGAGGGAGTTTCGGTCGCATGCTCCTCCGGGAAAATTTTTGAGATTGAAGTTATCTGAGATGCAACCTAGTGCATTCTGGACGCTTAAATTTAGCAAGTGCCTGGATTCCATATTGAAGATGTAATGCTGAAATATTTAATAAACCACGGGTGTGGTTGTAGTCAAAGAAGTAATATAACACTTTATGATGCTAGCAGGGGCAGAAGTGATTGCGGGGAGAGCACAACCTCCTGGCAAAGGCGGCAGCATTGTCTCCCTGAAAAATTGTCAAATCCAGTTTGTTGGAGACGGATAGTACGGCATGCATTCTGGGAGCTTTGGTCATTTGCGACTAAAAATGGCTTCGAACACAGATTCTTTCCTTATCAACAATGTACGGTTTATTAAAGAAAATATATTTAAGTAACAAAGTTCGAAGTACCATCCGACACACGTTTACAAAAGAAAAAAACTTCCCTGACAAAAGGGGGGGCCGGGGCCCCCTGGGCCCACCCCTAAATCTGCCCTTGGTACGTAAGTAACTGTTTGTCTTGAAGTTTGATACACATCTTTTAAAGTATAGAGTTCACAGAAATGTATTAAAACGTGTGTACACTTCCCCATACAATCGTTCGGTTTTTATTAATTTCGTTCAAAAGCTCTTATTGGATTGCGGAAGAATATTAATTGTCGCAGTCACCCAATGGAGAGTCTAAACTGCGATCAGGGGTCCTTCTCCCTTTTTGTTTGGGAGACGAAAAAACACCTCCTAATCGCAGGTTAGGGCGAGTCAGAAAGCCTTGACTAAGTTTACTACATTTACCTTATTGGTAATTTATTTAATTTTGCCACTAATCCACAATCGCGAAAAACGCAAAATTAAAGACCGGCGAATAAAAATGCCCGCGAAATTTAATACCCATATAACCAATTCAAATCACAGGAAAAGAAAAGAAAAACATTTTAAAAAGTCTACAACATGCACTTTACATGATATAAGTGTCGACGAAAACCGACAAGTTATTAGCTGGTTTTCCGGCCATTCCGTGACTGTCTTCTGTTGTGAAATGACGTTAATATGCGTTAATATGCCTTGTACACTGCGAGCAGTCTCTCTTTTACTCGAAAATCTGTGAGGAAGTGGGACATTTGAGTATTCGAGCTGCAAAGCCGCGAGAAGCGTGTTGAGCGTGTTGTGTCGTACTGGCGCTCGCAAAAGACGCTGCTCATAGCCGCCGCTCGAATATTCACATATCCATGCCACTCCTTCACAGATATTCGAGCTAAAGAGAGACTTGGCTCGCAGTCTTGCTCGACAAAAAGCGACCATGGCTCCTTCTGTTATAATTTATTGGTCAGGAATAACAATAACGAGTTTACTGCGAAAATAGATGAACTGGAAACAACAACGCGTGCCATGAACGACAAAAGAAAAAATTTTAAGACAGGATTAGCATCAGTTCCGATGGAAACTCCTTCGATAAACGGATGTGAATCAATTCAAAAAATTGAAATGTAAAAGCTTCTACTGACATGATAATGGCGCCCATTTCGTCCTCTTCGGTGTAAGCTCCGCGTGCTGTCAGTCTATTCCATAAAATCACCCGAAGACCAAAAGACCATCATCGAGCGGCCGAAAACGGACAATGACTGCGATAGACAAAACAACGGCCTTAGCGATGCTTCTTGGAGCTTTTATATTTTTTGTGATCGTTTTCTTCTTGATCGTTGGCTGCGTGCTGTGTCTTACAAGATTTAGGAAGAAGCAAGAAGATCAGGAAAGCCTTATGGACTCTGCAATGAGCCCTGTTGAATTTAATGACGCCGAGGAGGACACGACGGACGAGGAGTTCGCCCCTCGTCGCGGCCGTCGTTATAAGTGCAACAGTGCTAACAACCAAGTATTCGAAATGGAGGTTTTTCATTGCAACGAAAGAAATGATTATGAAAACTCGTCCGCTGGATCGCTTCAGGATGTTCGGCTTTGAGAAGTGAAAAGCTTGTCAGAGGTGATCAAAGCCGGCCAGGCGCTTTTCAACCGACTACCTGGTGAAACTTTTAAATCAAATAGAAATAGAGCCTTTTTTCAATTTTCTTGAACAATATATTGGCGAAGAGAATTTGTACTTGGAACCAGTGAAATCCTGATTCTTCGAACAACCTTGGGAAAAGCCGATTAGTTCGAATTTATTTTCGGGAGGTTAGAAATATCGGGGGTAAAATAACCAGTGTTGACTGGTGAAGGGACGTGAGGTTTGGTTTGAATTACCTGGAACTTCAAAAAACCGAGGTTACGAGAAATCGGGAATCTACTCAGCGTAGTTATCAAAATGAGACGCGCGCGCGAAACGTTTTTGAGCTTCATTCGTCCATTTTGAAACGTTGCTTACGTTGCGTAACCCATCTTTGCGATGAGATACTCTCTCCTACAGTAGAATGTTCAACTCTTTTAAGGAAATCACTTTCAGATCGTTAGTTTTGGCATATCTTAAGCACTAGATGACTAAAAATGATTATTTTTGCATAAATTTGGGAGTTACGTTTAAACTCAGTAGTTTTCTAAATCATCTTTGATCAATTAGGTCTTTCTCCCGTTCGTCGAGTTTTTAGCACCTTTGCGTATTTTATTAATTGTTTTTTGCTTTTTGCACGATCATATCCCTTCGATTTCATCGTCTTTGTAAAAATTGACATATATAAGGTAATGGCTTGTTAAAGATTGCCAATCATTTTCTGGGGATTTTCTCCTCCAGAGATCTCGCCGTTTTGCTTATACAATGATTATTTAGTGAAAAAAATTTCACATTTTCACATTTCACATTTCTACCATGAATAAGAAGAATCAATGTAACATGGAATACACCAATTTTAACATCGGTCAGCTGTAATATTTTGAAATGTGAAAATAATTAAAAACTGTAAAATCTGCATGCTCCTCGTCGGTTTTCGCACTCCTCCCATGATTTTTTAGCAGAAGTCAGTTAAGCAGTTTAGCAAGTAGAACTTAATCACTGCAGCGAATTGTTGCAAGGATTTACGGTTGCTATTTTTCCAAGCTTTTTATTAAGAGTCACAAATTTTTTTTTACTTTCCCAAAAAAACGCCACTTAGACGTCGCAATGAGTCTTTTATTTTGCCTAACAGCAATTCCTTTAAGGCAATTTTAAAAGCCACCGTTTAGTCAAATTTCGAATGTTTTGCTTTTAGTGTATCCAAAACGTAGGATGAAACTTACTTAATCTGATTAGCATTAGAAGAGAAAATCATCTCCATCTTAAAATAATACATGTTATTTTTTTTCTGAAATGACGTAAATCAGAGCATTGATTATTGGAAATAAAATTCTTGGGTAACTGAATGTTTGGCGTGTTTGATTTTCATTCTGTCATTTTTTCTTTTCCAATAATTGTAGTTCAAAGACCGGCGTTTTATAAGTTTCAGCTTATGCCATGTCTGTCTGTGTACCTTTCCTATCAAGCAAGTGTTAATTTGGAGTTTTTTCCTACCGCCAACCGCCAATATATAAATGTATATACCGCACAATTGTAAGGTCCGTTTAACATGTAAACCACGTCACATACAGCGTGTCAAATTCTCGTCCTTGCCGAATGTTTTTTAATACCTATGGGGACTTTCCATCTCGCTGTTAAACTCGAAATTTATATTTCTTAGACTATTTAGTCTCTTGTTAAAGAGTCAGTTTGTATAAGATACTGTAGATATTCTTGATTTACTTCAAAAGCACCGCCTCGTTTTTGCGACTTCGCCATTAAGTGGATTTTGCCAAAGACGTAGGCTGTAAAGAGCAGCATTCAATGTAACACCAGCTGTCCTTGACTCGGCGTTCGTTTCGTTTCTCTCACATCTCCTTTTTTTGCCTTTGTCTTCTGTTCATCATAGCAATTGGTTGTAGCTAGATTAAAACTTCCTGTCAAAGAATGGTGACTTCTATATCTTCTTTTGTTACTGTTTGCCGTACATTAAATGAAGAGGTTTTACAGTGATCATTTTGTACCGCAGGTGCAGATATGCTCGTCATGTTCGACTCCGTAAATACATGTAACCGGTCCACGCTTAACTGGTTTTGTTGCTGGTTGGCTTCGGTGTGAATAATTTCAATGGCTTTTACGAGGCATACTCTTCGGAGGAAATAATATAGGAGAAAGAAGAGTGCGACGAGGAAAATCAGTAAGAAAATTCCACATACCACAAGAAAAGATACCGACGTTTTGGACGCCATGCACTGGTGGGTCACGAAAAAAAAAGCCCTCAAAGTTAGACCGCAATTGCGCATGCTCAAGATAGTTGAATTGCGATCATGTTTATGGTGATTCCGAACAACCTCTTCCCCAGGGTCTCGTTTTTCGAAAATGAAAAGATCCTGGGGACGAGGTTGATCCTGTCGGCGACGAGACTTGTCCCCCATGGATTACGAGGATGAACGATCATTTTTCACAACTCTCATCTCCACAACCAAAACAATTATCACCCCCAATGTGATTAAAATCGCAAGAAGACGACAACAGACCGCTGAAGGAAACACCTTATAATTATGTATCCTCTCACGGACAAGCAATTTAAAAATTTGTGAGTCATATTTGCCCCCCCCCCCCCCCCCCCCCCCACCCACGCCCCCTCCCCCCCCCATCCCACCCCCTCCCACCCCCCCCCCCCCACCCCCCACCCCCGCCATTTCCCCCCCCCCCCCGCCCCGCCCTAGCAATCGGCTCTTGCCCCCTCATTCGATTCCATCCCAGCAACCTCTTCGACCACGTAGCCTGATGACTCTGTTTAAAAGAACAGATGTTATGTTACAGTAAAAGCCGCCAATTTGTACCACGTGACCAGGTGTTTTCCCGTACTTGTCCTTTACTGTTCATGCCAGTGTTGTTTATCCATGAGAATTTTTTGCGACAGTTCACTTTTATCTGCTCATTTCATAATTTAAGAAACTGTCAACTTAAATCTGACGTTTGCCGAAAGCCGTGAGCGTGAATCTAAATCATCTTAGTGCTACAATATAAGTTCAAAACTGGACGAAGTTAAGTTCAGGCTCGTTTGAAATACATATAATCGACGCATTGCAGGGTTTCTAATCTGATAACAGTTTTCATTTCACATTATAAAAAGCAGTTTCGCCATTGTTTTGGCTTTGTACAGTGAAATCTCTATAAAGCGGACACCCTTTATTAAGGCGACAGTAGCCAAAGTCCCCAATTTAATTTTTTCCCTTTATTTACTGTAAATGAAACCTTTATTAAACGGACACCTCTATTAAGCGGACGCGGACATCAATAAAGTGGATGCAATGTGTAATATTTATGTGCTGGTCATTCTTTTAATGCAACTGCGCATGTGCAAAACTTGCCCCAAAATATAAGAGGTCCGGAACCTAATTTAATACACAATGGTGATTTCTCTTTTCACAATCCTGTATTAATTCTGATTACCACCTTCCAACAAGCCAGACACCTCAAAGTCCAAAAATTTCCACCCACAAATTTGCCGATTATGCAATCAAAACTGTGATTGGCAAAAGATGCATTAATGTGCGTTAACATTGTTGAATAAGCAAAGAGAAACGAAACCGGAAATACAGCAAGTACATAGAGGATATTACATGGCCGCACAGAGAAATTTCTCTTCGAGTGTTGAAAAATATTTCACGAGTGAGCGCAGAGAACGAGTGAAATATTTTTTCAACACGAGAAGGGAAATTTCGTATCTCCGAGCGGCCATGTAATGTTCTATTTTTTATATAAACACCAATGAACTACTAAACATTTTCACTTTAATAGTTTCTCGGTGTGAAAGGCGCGATTTATTTATGAAGCCATAGCAACGGTGATATTTTCACATGTGAAGATAACACGTTATTCTCTATCGAAACCTGTATTTGGCGGACACTGGTTTATTCCCTCCGAGGGTGTCCTTTTAATACAGGTTTCACTGCCTCCTTACGCGCCGTCACTGCCTTAAACGTTTGGCGCCCCTTGCCTCATAATGAAAGACTTTAGGGCTGGTTTAAACGATGTTTAACAAAACTTTGTTCTAAGTCCACTTTAATTGGGCTACCCTTTCCTCTCCCCAGACTACCGCGCAACTCGCTTCACTCGCCGATTTTGTTCGCCTTTTTTCCTTAAAGCGGAACCTCTCGGGCTATGTATATTTCCAGAAGGCGTTGCAACCCACCCCTAATGGTCAGATCTGGTCATAGAAGACGAAAAAAGTAAAATAAACAAATTGGTCTGAATAGTTTTCATTAATTTATTCATGATTATAATTTTACTTAATCGGTCAATTCCGATGAAAGACGAAAAAAAATTTTCACACAACTTTTTTATTGACTAGTTGGACGCAATTTACAGTTAGACGTTTAAAATTGTATATTTTCCTGAGCTGATTGCATTTTCTTTTTGAGAAAACATCACTGCAGTTTGCGTTGAAATAGCAATGTAAATACTAAAACGTTTTAAAATACGCCATCAATGAGATGTTGTCATCTTCAAGTTATATACCGTTAATAGATAAACTAACGGTCAGAAATTGTTACTTGAATTTGAGTAAATTTCCTTCACTGAAGAAGAAAAACAGAGCGTTTCTTGAACGTTGCACAGGGCCTGTCACTGCCTGGTTCCTTCGGACTCGACCATGCATCGCAATAGGTCTTGACATTCGGCGAGGGAAATATCGATATTTGTGGACTGGGTCTCAGATTTAGCTGCAGAATCCTTCATCTTTAAGTGTCTTAGGATTGCCTTGTGGTAGAAGCAGTTGTAGACGACGAAGAGGCAAAAGCAGAGAACAATTATAGCGAGAATTAAGGATAAGAATCCCCCAACAGCGATAACTGTAGCGCGTTGTGCACCTTGCAAATTCCCCATCTCAGAAAGTATCCTATGCTATGTATCATTTGTCTGCAAATGGATTCTGATTTCCTGGCAAGCATGTAAAAATGTTTGCGTCTACGATGATGTCGAGCATCGCTTTGACGTAACGGCCACCTCAAACTGGATAAACATGTGTTTATCCAGGAAATCTTACAACAGCAAACTTATCAACAGCACTTTATCACGAGGAAGCACGTTGCTGGTTTTGTCTTCGAATTTGTAAAGGAAATGCTGCCCGATTTTCAAGAGGAACTTCAAACTTCCGCGTTTTACATCACGATTACTTGACTATATTGTAAAGAAGAACAAAGGGGAACTTCAGAACTAAGGAGAACTTCTTTTATTAAGATAAAAACTACGTGGTCAACATTTTAATAAATAGTGTTAAAATAGGAGAAACGGTCAGCTATTTCCGACAGCTTAATCATTTTCCTGAACACTTTGTGTAATTTTCTACATTTTAATGAACATAATTGACCTTATTCTGAAAAGGGGAATATATCAATTCTGGATTACCCTAATTGGTTTAGTTTTATGATAAAAATAACTAAATCTACTTTTCCCGTTTTGAAATATAAAATTTGATGACTGCACGGCCATTTGTTCATTATGAAGAGTAATGTCTTATGATGACTGCTGGAAACATTTTGTTTTTGTGGAAGAAATTTTAGCCGAGAAGGATTTTCCAGGGGATAACATTTTCATATAGCATGAGACGACATATTTTGCATTGTATGTTGTAGAATAGCGCCAGCACGCAGGGAAGCTTTTCCCAATACTGGGGGTTTGTGCTAACTGGGAAATTTATGAGCAGATTCTTCGCTTCCCTCTTTTGGGAAAAATTTCCAAAGAGTTTTTCTTCTCTTAAGTAGTCAACCCTTTTACGAATTAGTTTCTCTTTCTGGTTTAAATATCGTTTATAGTCAGTAACGCGTCCCGCCATTTGTTTGTTGTCGGAAACCCAGCTTTCGTTATTCTTTTTATTCCAAGCGAACGGATATCCCGGATTATTAAGCATTGCACGCACTATCTGTCTTCTCATTTGCGCGCGCAATGTATGATTTCCAAGCATTTTCTATCCTTTTTTGGAAATAATAAACTGTGTCCAGCGCTTTTGCCGTTATTCTCTTTAGTAAGAACAGTTTACAGCAAGGCAGTTAATTAGATTCGGCTTTTGTGATGTCTGGAATAATCAAAATCTCGGTAAGTGTTATTTACCAAGGCCTTCGGCTTAGACCGATAACATTTACTTCGACCTTGTTATTCCGGATATCGCAAAACTCTCATCCTGTATAGTAGTTTCCTCGCTGTCATTCTATGAATTCCTATTGTAGACAGAGATTCCAGAATATTGATCAATTGCACTCAGTACGCTTCAGTTCATTTAGTTCCTTTACTTTGCGAAAGTAACTAATAAAATATTTGAATGAATACAAGACTGAGTACTCGATCTTGGTGCTGCACAAATCGCGAAAGTAGTTTTCGCGCCGGTCAGTCCAGCATTCTTGTTTTAGTGACATGCTGATTAATTCATTTTCACATTTGTTTCACCTAGCTCAAGGGCCTGTTTACATGGAGGTGGGGGACCCCAGGTAGGTGAGGTAACCCGCTTAGGTAGGGTAACCCGTTTGTCTATATAATCTCTCATTTTAATTTGATCACGTTTACATGTTAGGTGGGGTGACTCGCAATATTTTACCTCACCTACCTGGGGTCCCCCACCTCCACGCGAACAGGCCCTAAGGGCCTGTTTACAAGGAGGTGGGTAACATGTGGCGGGCTACCCCACCCATCATGTAAACGTGATCAAATGAAAATGAGACTTTTATGGATAGGCGGGTTACCCCACCTAAGTAGACTATTCACAGTCCCCTATTTTTTCGTGAGATCGTTTAGATATTCCGCGTCTTACCGTCACAGCTATCTTGTTTTTCAAATGTACCGAGGGGGCGGGAGCCCGTAACGCAAAGCGCTCGATCTCGATGATCTTAGGGAAAAATAGATGACTGTGAACACAACGAGGTTGCTGTGAACAGTCTACCACCTAAGCGGGTTACCTCACCTACGTGGGGCCCCCCACCTCCATATAAACAGGCCCTAAAATTGACCATTTTTCATTCTTTCACCACACTGTTGTTGTTGTTGTTGTTGTTAGTGTTGTTGACAAGTGCATAAAGCCGGTATTTACTTACGGTTTTCTCACACGCCTTGGCAATTTTAAAAATTTGATTTTTGAACCGGGTCTTAAACATTTGATGTTTTTATTTCTGCGTAGATGCCTTCTTTGAGGGCCCCTGCCTCAATTACGTATATGCCTGGGTTTGCTTAGTTCCAGTCCCACTCAAGAAGCGAAGATCGCGAAGATCATTTGCTCCAGGACCTCTCCTGTTTCACGTAAACAAGTATCAAGATGGCGGCGAAATCGATGGCGGCGATTAATGAGTTTTCTCGTTCTATCAGCGTTTTTTAGTTTTTATTCTTTGAAATCGTCATGGAGAAGTTAAGTGATGAAATTTTAGTGAGAATTTTTAGCTTTTTATCGGCTCGAGATCTTTGCAGATGCTCCCAGGTATGCAGTGTTGCTCATTTTCGTGAAAAAATGCTTGATGTTCGCATGCTTTTTTGCCAGGCGGGCGGGAAGTTTACGAGCTTGTTTACCCCAAACTTTTTTGTAAGAATTGTTTTCAATTTCTCTTGGGTATTACGTTCGTCCCAACAGAAAGCGAAAACAATGTTTGTGTTTAACTTTGTGGGGTAAACAAGTTGTATTGTGGACAATGTGAAAGAGCCGGCGAATGTTTTTTGACTTGTGTTTTTGTGATGTATTTCTTTAGGTGTGTTCTGCATGGTGTCGTCTGGCAAACGACTTTCATTTGTATCCTTTTTTGTAGTTGTTCAATATGGCTGTAGCCAAAAAGTTTAATACGTGGTGTGAGAAAATGCAACAAACACACGTCGCTCAAACTGCACAATATACTGATACATGTATTTTAAACCTCTTTTGTCAGCTTCCCACCCCTGATGTGTCCATATTTCTCCTGATGCGTCTACAGTAGAACCCCTGGAACTCTGAAGCAAAAGGGGAGTTTGAGGGCGCGATCCATTCAACCAAAATTCCAACCGGTCCGATCGGGAAAAGTGGTCCACCTCAAAAGGTGGACCCGTTTTTTCCAAACTTTTCTGGTTGGGCCGAACTGATCCATTGAGTTTTGGACCGAAATTTCCGGAAATTTTGGTTGAATGGATCGCGCCCTGAGTTAGAGTAAAAACCCGCGACTAAGAACCTACATTCTCCCAATTTAGCCTAAACAGGTTCTTACATAAATGTTAGGTTCTTAAATGGGTTCTTATTTTCTGATGAAGAAAAAGCATGGTAGCTATGAGTATTTAGTGGTATTCAGCTTATTTCTTATATAAAATCTGCATACCAAATTAGTACTCAATATTTAATTTTAATATGTAAAAATGACTTTGAGAAGAAGGACTGATACCCTGCGAGCAGAGGCCCTTCGATCTTCCTAGATAAGTCGGGATCGATCTTCATAGATAAGTCCTCTTCCTGACTTATCTAGGAAGACAGAAGGGCCTCTGCTTGCAGGGTTAAGGTCTGAAGAACTGACCGCATGAATTTGAAGTCCTTTGGCCCAAGCATAGGCAATTAATTTTTATTATAGATTTTAGAAAATATTTAACTGTTTCAAATTTTAGGCTAAATTGGTTCCTTTCTTGAGGGGGCCTAACTGAAAAATTTTAGCCTAAAAGTTTCTTAAAATTAGGATCTTGGTTGTGGGTTTTTACAGTATTCAAGTTCAAGTTACTGAGGTTCTACTGTATTTAGAAGCGTGTAAGATACATTTGGTTCTCATTCAATTTTGTACATGTGTAAAAGCAAAGGAAGTTTTATTTAATTTAACAAACCATGTACATGTTACTATTCATTGTTGAGAAATGAATTATGGCAAATTTGGATAGAACTTGTTAACTGATTTTCCTTGACTTAAAAAAACTTGTTCCTGCATACAGATGGAAAAAATTATTTATTGAAACTTTTGACAAGTTTATCTTAGACCCTTCTTACTATAACAATGTGTATCCAACTCAGTGGAAGGAATTGTTTATACTACGATCAAACTGGTTCAGTGGTCACTGCCATGTTCAGAGTCTCCATAGAAAGACTGTCACCTCACAACAGAAGGAGTTCTCAAGAATTATCTGCTTAAAAATCTCAAATTGTGGCGGTAGCTTTTTAGCAAGTGTCAATCATGACTCTAAATTAGTGCACTTGTGGAGTTTAATCAACAAGAAATCACTTCATGTGGTCTTTTGTGAAAGCATTGTTGGTTGTGTGGACTTTGGAAGTGAACGTTCAAGAAACTTACTGGCCATTGGCCTCTTTAATAACAAGGTGTGTACATGTAAGATCAAACTTGAACCAAAAACAAAATTCAATCACAAAATTTACTAGTAAAGATAACCACTTTATAACAGTCCCAAGTTTTTTCTTGAGGTCACATCAGTGTTGTTTGAACATTGAACTAATGTACTATATCTGTTAACCTCACAACATACCTAAGTTTGTTAAATTGGTTTTGTCCAGATGCAAAAAAAAAAAGAAAAAATTATCCATTTATGTACCCTAACTATAGCCAGTACCTTGATCATGTGGAAGTGTTAAAAATCAGTGATATCAAAATTAAGATCAATCAATGTTCTGACATCTTTACAGCCCATTTTACTTTTACAGTTGGAAACGAGACTGGAGTTGACCTTGTTTTGATACATTGCTTCTTGTTTTATTATGTAAATCATGTTGTTCTTATGCTAACTAGTATTTTTTTTAGCAAAATTTAGACCTCAGCCTCACCTTCCCTCAAAGGCTAGGACACTAAGCCCACAACTTTAAAATGGCCTATTCATTTACAATCAGGGCTGAGTTGTTCGAAGGCTGATTAGCACTTAACCCGGGGTTAAAATTAACCCGGGTTTCTTTATCTTGTGTTCAAAAGCATTTTCTCGTATAATTTTCTGTGCTATTTTTAGAGCTTCCAATCATCAACTTGTAGACAAAAAGAATTAAAGCTGAAATGCTTTTTAAGCTTTCAAAACTTAATTCAAATATCGCACTAACCGTGGGTTATCTTAACCCAGCTTTGAACAACTCGGCCCAGGTTTACCTGGAAAAAACATTGATATCATGTTTATGGTCTTAACAACAACAACAACAACAACAACAAATTTTATTGAAAATTGGAAATACAACTAATTAAATTACTTTCCCACCCTCAAATAGCTTATAAACTAATCGAGGCGGGGGAGAGCTGAAGACATATTACAAGTACAAGGTTTATCTATAGATAGACTAAATAACAATAAAGACACTACTATACAGGAAATAGAATAAACTAACATAAAACAAGGCAAGTACGTAACAATTAGGAAGAGAGGGTAACCTATTTAGTATTAAATAACTTAATAAGATGGGAGACTTCAACATAATCATCTTCTGACTGCAAGAAATTTAGTAATAATTCCTTTATCTTTTTACAAAAGGATGAACGTTTAAGTATTTTAATCGAATAAGGAATAAAGTTCTTAAATATTTGCAGGATATTCAAAAAATGTTATCTGTGTGTCAACACAGAATAGGATTCTTTGATACAATACTTTGAATAACTAATACTTTGTTTTATTTCCAGTTCTGCCTTTGGGATTTCCATAGGGAGAAGTTTCTCCTAACTCAGGTTAATTTATCAGAGATTTCAAGAGAGTTTACTCCAAGAAATAACACCTCCACCCCTAATACTGCTGTGTGTCGTGTCAATCTAGTGGATAACAAGATTGCAACAGTTACAACTCAGTGTATTGTTAAAGTTTGGCAGTTGGATTTCATTAAAAGTGGTCAGCTTTCTTGTCTTTGTCTCCATACTCTGACAACTTTTAAACCAAGGTACCAGTAATAATATGAACTTGAGTTAACGCAGCTACTATTAAATAGTATTATAACATTATAATCAAATTTTGATTATAATATTGGGGCCGAACAGTCTGTGAGTTTGTGAGTGATGGGAAAAAGATAAAGTTTTATGAAATAATTTGCAAATACATGAAAAATGTTTCCTGCTTAGTTCCTTATGGGTATGTGCGGTTTTGCTACTGGAATATTTGAAGAATTACTCAGTCTTGGTTGACTTACAAAGATTAAGGTTAAGTGCCCATTTTACTGACTTGAGTTAAGCACTCATTTTACCGATTAGAGTTCAGCACTGTTTAGGGTTAAACACTTACATATATTTACCTTGGTTAGCTTTTTGTTTTTTTTTTTCATATCACTGCTTTTTAAATTTGTTTTGTAATTTTCTTGCATGGCTCTCATGGTTCTCTGGCACCACACTGTGTCCTAACTTGTTTTATTTTTCAATAATGAGCTGCATGACCAGGGATGTAGCTTGAGATTTTGAAGGTGTATGCACACGGGGAGAAAAGTTGTAGTGTCAAAGGTAGCCCAACCTAGGGGGTCTGGGGACATGCTCCCCCGTTATGGACTTGGAAATGCCATTTCCAGCATTTATAATTATAATATTATTATATCATATTATGTGTATACGTTTAAGGTGGCTCGATATGGTTTTTCAAGGTCAATACCTCCCAAGTTTGAGCGTAAGCTCATCGCCATAAGCAAAGATTTGGAAAAATTGACACCACAGTTGTGTTAGATGAAGATGAAAATTTGTTATGATCAGGGTTGCAATGACATCGGAGTTGTCATAGCAACGAAATGACGCCATTACCTATTTTACTTGCAACAGTATTTCTCAGCACTGGGAACTGTTCTTCCAAAATCGTTTACTGGAGCTTTTTCCCACAATAGCCGCCTCGATGTTAGTGAAGTTTAAGCGAAATCTGTAAGAGCGTTATCGAGATATTTCGGGAAGAAGTTTTTATGGTTAGAAATACAGTAAAAAATGGACAATCTTGATGTTCGACTGTTATCTGTACTAAACGAAGCGCTTTTGACATGCAATTTCACCTCATAGTAGTTTCAATCTTTTTAAAAACGTGTGTGAAAGATCACGGAGATACCTCCAGCCGATTACTAGAAAGAAGGATTTGATTATTATGTATCAAGGCGCTCTTTTTAGCAGTAATGTAAACATTTCGGTCTACTTTAACAAATTAGTGAATAATTTTTAAGGCGCTCGATAAATTTTTTAGAAAATTTAAGAATCTTGAGACTAACCGTCCTTTTATATGACCTCTCTAGTTTCAAGAT